CGGCGCTGCAGAAGGGAATGGACCAGGAGCTGGACGGGGCGGCCCGAGTGTTGCTGCAGAAAGCCGGAGAATCCAACGCCTTCATACGGCAGGACGCGGAGCGAGCGCTGGAGCGCATGTGTGAACACTGCTCTCTGACCCGCAGCATGAGCGCGCTGCTCACCGGGGGACTGGGGTCAGCACACACACACCGGGGGACTGGGGTCAGCATTAGGGTTGGGTATCAAGAATCGAGTATCGATTGGAACCGAGACTAATTTTTCGTTTTTCCCGGAATCGTTAAAAAGTTAAAATTTCGATTCCTACTAAACCGCTGAACACCACCAACGAAGAAGCGTCTACCGGAAGTGTTGGTATAACCGCGCGAGTCGAACATGAGTAGCTTACGTCGGCGATCCAAAGTGTGGCTTCACTTTTCTAAAAATAACGAAATCTCGGCAAAATGCAAAATTAGTGACAAAAGGAGTATTTTTACAGAAGGAGTATTTCCTTCAAAAAGGCCGTTGGTTAGCAAGGTTAGCTAAAAATTGTTGACCCTGCCTCTTAAAAGAATCGGAATCGAGAATCGTTAGGAACCGGAATCGAAACAAGGAATCGGAATCGGAATCAGAATCGTTCAAATTCAAACGATACCCAACCCTAGTCAGCACACACACACACACACACACACACACACACACACACACACCGGGGGACTGGCTACTCAGAAGCTTCTGTTATGCTGTTCACATGCTAAAAGGTGTTTGTGTTTGTGTCATCAGTCACCTGAGCTCGGTTGTGCGTAAGTGTGCGGCTCAACATGTGTGTGTTCTGGTGGAGAGAGCCGGTGCCGCTCGTCTGCTGTCCGGGACCAAAGACCTGACCGACCGCATTCTCCCCGCCGTCTCCAAGCTGGCACAGGACTCGTCTCAGGAGGCCAGGTGAGCAGGGGTCAGAGGTCAGGTGAGCCCGAGGCCAGGGGTCAGAGGTCAGGTGCGCCAGGGGTTAGAGGTTAGGTGAGCAGGGGTCAGAGGTCAGGTGAGCCAGAGGCCAGGGTGATTAGAGTTTCTGTACCTGAAAGTTGTTCTATGGTGTTTTTAAACCACGGGCAACCGCTCCTGTAAGTGTTCTTCAGTGATGATTTCTGAATATTGTTTAGCTACAAATGAATGTTTTGCAATACAATACTACATGTGTTTTATTTTATTTATGTTTTTCCTTATTGGAATCGAAATTAGGAATTGATAAGAATCCAAATCGTTCAAATTGAAAGGACACCCAGCGCTAGTGATGTGTGTGTCTGTCAGGTACTTCGGGCGACGGATGCTGCTGTTTCTGTCCTCTCACCGGGACTTCGACAAAATGATGGAGAAGTTCGTCCCGGCTAAAGACCTGCCGGCCATCAGGGACGCCGTCTTCACTCTCAAGACCAAGGTGTGTGTGTGTGTGTGTGTGTGTGTGTGAACACGTCTGCAGGGCTCCATGTTAGCGCTTGTCCGGCACAAGTGGAGTTTATGAATGGAGAAGTGAAAGAGAATTGAGCTCGCCCGACTGGACAATAACCCGATTGACACATCAAAATAACTCGGGAATCACCAAAACACGAGAATCATTTTGCATGCTTTTACTGTAAGTGGCAATTGAATAATAATATCATGACAAAGTGGTGTTTTTTTTTTCTACTGTACACGTGTGAATCTGCATTTCCTTCTGAAAATTATTATTTCACTTTTGGTGTGAAAGGTACATTTGCCTAAAAATATATATTTTTTGTTATAAAAAAACAAGCCCAGAAATGCAATTAGTTAATTTTTAAGGGAGTGACGCAGTATTATTTTAAAAGTGACTTTCCCCAACACTGCTTGCAGTCTTCTATCTGTGTTGATCTGTGTGTGTGTGTGTGTGTGTGTGTGTTTCAGGGTTTGGGTGAAATGCCTCAGGACGCTCCGTCGGCACGGGGCAGACGCTCTCTCATGGGCAGCGGGATCGTGCGCACCTCGTCCCTCACACGCGACCCTCTGACCGCCAGCAGGTACACACACACACATACACACACACACACACACACGCACACACACACTCATCAGTCCGTGTCTTCACAGAGACAGTGGTCAGTCCGTGAGCAAAGCGGCCGCCCACAGTCTGGCGGACAGAAGCGAGTACGTGGCGCAGATGAAGGCGCTGCTGAGCTCCAGAGACTTCCGGGAGAGGATCAAGGCCTTGGATCAGCTGGTGTGCGACTGCGAGGACAACCCGTCCCTCATCACCGGCAGCCTGTTCCCGGTAACTGAACCGGACGATGATGATGATGATGATGATGGTGATGATGATGATGGTGATGATGATGATGGTGTGCGCAGGTGTTTGACGCTCTGAAGGCTCGTCTGCAGGAGTCGAACAGTAAAGTGAACCTGCGTGCGCTGGAGTCGCTGCAGTCCATCATCTGCGTGCTGAGAGACAGTCTGGCTCCAGTGCTGAACATCCTCATCCCCGCCGTCGTGGACAATCACCTGAACTCCAAGAACAGCTCCATCTCCACCGCGGCGCTAGCGGCCGTTCAGGCGCTCATACGCAACATCGGTGGGTGACCTTGTGTTCGCTACATAAAGCTGTCGCCTGAACCTGCTCACTGTAACCTGTGTGTTTTCAGACAACAGCCTCCTCCTCCAGCCCTTCTGCTCCAAGGCTCAGTATCTGAGCGGGAAAGCCAAGCTGGACATGATTGAGAAAGTTGCAGGTGAGTCGTTAGTCGTCAGTCGTATTGAAAGAGCTTTGAGATGATGATGTGTTCAGGCTTCCTGTTTCTATGAAGCCCCTCCTCCTGAAAAGCACACTGTGCTCTGATTGGTCGGCTGGAGCAGTGTGTTGTGATTGGTCGAGCGCTTCGAGTGTGTTTGGGAAATGCCCCGCCCCTTTCCATAACCGCCAGTTTAACACTCCACTAACTAACTCAACCAGGCCCCGCCCCTTTATTCTGCGCATTAATTATTATAATGAGGAATATTGTGACGCGTTCGTTCCCGGGAGAAACTCGAGACTACAGTGGAGGCGTTTCAGGAGTTCAGGAACACTGACACTCATACAGAACTGGAGCATTCTGGGTTCGTACAGAAACTGTAAAAAGGACTTTAAGCTCGACTGTACACTTATCAAACAATATCTGCAGGACTTTTTAAACTCAAGTTACAGATATAAGGCCCCAAAATACAACTTACAACACATTTAATTATATATATAAGTTTATAATGGCTATTATTGTTCAATAAATAATATTTTAGAGGACTTGGTATCTGATGGGGGTTTAATAGACGAGCTGCAGTGTTTATTTTGCGTGAAAAGATTGTATTTGTGTTTTTGTTTTTTTTTTCACAAAAATTAAATTTGATATATATTGTGTTCAATAAGATTCTTTTCACGAACCCTTCATGAATATGGCTGTCTTCAGGGGTTTTCCAGAACTCGCCCGATCTTCTTCATGCTCACACACAGATGACGTGACGAATGGTGATTGTGGTGTGTGTTTCAGAGCTGGTGGCGGAGCTGTATCCTCGTAAACCGCAGCTGGTGGAGCAGAAGGTTCTCCCGCTCTTCTGGAAGCTCCTCGGCTCCTCCGGCAACAGCGGCAGCGTCAAGATGGCCGCCGCTAAGCTAGCCGAAGCGCTGCACACACACATGGGCCGGACGCTGCTGCAGTACGCCGCCTCGCAGCCCGCCAACATCCAGTGTGACCTGAACGAGCTGCTCCGGGCCCGACACACACACTCTACCTGAACACACACTGTCCACAGTGCCTCACGCTGCGACCTCTCACCTGACTGGATCAGTGGCCGAGAATAAAGAATGTACTCTTGTTTAAAATGCACAATAACACAATGTTGTTTTGTAAGGTGTGCTATGGAACATTTCTAAGAGATGTGGTGATTATTATGTAGCTGTTTTGTACTTTATGATAGCACAGTATTAGCTGTACGTCACACACGGACGACCCGGCGGTTACGTGATTATGGTTCTGTTCTAAGTGCGACCCGTCTTAATTCTGTTGCATGATCAAATGAATTGATAAATGAAGCGATCACACAGATCGACGCCTCTATCAGCTCTGGATGTGAAACCGCTGTATTTTTGTGAATGTGAAGCTTTAAAATAATAATAATAATAATAATAATAATACAGGCGAGTTCATGTCCAGATGTAGTTCTCAGTTTAGTGCCAGTCATTCCTCAACAGCCTTTATGAGATTTCAAATTAAATTATATATGAGAGAGAGATTTATCTATATAATAAAGTGTCTTATTTCTGTAAACACTCGTGCTGTGAATAATTGAATGATTGATTCTGGTCAAATTACTGCTTCATTATTCCTCCTTATATGAACATATATGAGCTTAATAATTCTAAATAAATGATGAATATATTGATACTTGCAACTTTAACTGTTCAGTGACAGAAAGCAAAGACGTCAGCAAACCAACATGACAAGTAAAGTACTGAAAATAATTCAAGTATACCATTTATTTATTTATTTATTTTTAATGCAAGTAAACCATAAAAATATGAATCTGAGATGGTTTTCAACGTTTTCTGGTCAAATATAAAGTATAAATACCTTTCAATACAGAGACAAATAAACGTGTAAATATTATAAATGTGTAAAATTGCACCTAGAGAATATTCAGTTATATTAAAAATACTTTTTAAATCCAAACAATAATATTGAGTGGTGAATGAAATAATCACATTGTTTGTATATCAGTCTTTGGAAAGAAGATATATATATATATATACACACACACACACAGAAATAATCTACAAACACCACAGGCACTGAATGATCCATCAAAGCGTTACATGATGAAGCGAAGATAAAATATTCAGACAATAAATAGTTTTTTTTTATGTTTTATTTGAACATTCAGTTTGTGGTACACCAATCGAGAGAGTAAAAAATCCTGCGCACGTCACAGGAACTCAACAACACACCGCTCGCGCATGCGCATGTTCACTCTCGGTGACGTAAGCCGGAAGCGCGCCACATTCGATCAGCCGTTTCGTTTGCGCTCTTGTTTATGTTTGCGTTTGATTGGATTTTTTCTTGTACTGTCTATGGATTGGAGCAGAAAGAGAAGCGCCATGTTTGATTCGTCTCGGTCTGGCAGGATTCAAACGCGTTTGTTGTTTACTGGCAGTAATATTCACTGAAGCTGGAAATGATTACTATTATGACTCTACAATGAGCGCGAATCAGAGGACTTTATTCCAGACATGGGGCTGCAATGTGTCTCGCACCTCAGAACGGAACAACACTACCTCAGAACGGAGGAAAACCACCGCAAACCGGAGAAAAACTACCGTTACCGTTACCTCAGACCGGATTAAAACCTCCGAGAAGACAGACAGCAGGAGTCTGTGGGGTGAGACACCAACAGCAGCCGCTGAGGAAGATGACGATGATGATGTCATGCTCGTGGCCGTGTACGAGGCCGAGCGCGCGCTGGAGGCCGGTCCGGAACCGGGCTTCGACCCGTCCGCGGGCCGCATCTGGATCTACCCCACGAACTTCCCGGTCCGGGAGTACCAGCTGCGGATCTGCGAGGCGGCTCTGCTGAGGAACACGCTGGTCTGCCTCCCCACCGGCCTGGGCAAGACCTTCATCGCCGCGGTCATCATGTACAACTACTACCGCTGGTTCCCCGCGGGCAAGATCGTGTTCATGGCGCCCACGAAACCCCTGGTGGCCCAGCAGATCGAGGCCTGTCACGGGGTCATGGGGATCCCGCAGCCGCACATGGCCGAGCTCACAGGTCAGAGGTCACGACCCCCAAAAACTAATAATCAACTTGAGCTTTTATACTTTCAAGAGTTAAAATAATATTGTGTCATTCTAACATATGGAAAAACTACCATGATTTTCTGTAGCTCTGCTTTGAGTCAGTGTGTTGTGAACTGGACTCTTCATGAGTGTGTGTGTGTGTGTGTGTGTGTGTGCAGGATCCACCGCAGCGCAGGACCGGCGGGAGCTCTGGCGCTCGAGGCGTGTGTTCTTCCTCACTCCTCAGGTGATGGTGAACGACCTGTGCCGGAACACCTGCCCGGCGGCCCAGGTGAAGTGTGTGGTGATCGACGAGGCCCACAAGGCCACCGGGAACCACGCGTACTGTCAGGTAGCGCTTCACTCCTCCCTCCCTCCTGACTGAAGCATGATGGGAAGTCTGGTTCTGATGCTGAGCTTGTTCTTCAGGTGGTGCGTGAGCTGAGCAACCAATCGCAGCGGTTCCGCGTCCTAGCGCTCAGCGCTACACCTGGAGGAGACGTCAAGGTGAGCCGGGGATCATGGGAACCGGGAGGATCTGATCAAGAGTCGCTTAAATGTGTCGTTTTGGTGATCAGAGACGAACCGAACCGTTTATTCACACGGCTGCTGAATTTCTCCAATTGTTTCCAATGGTAGCGCAGCGTGCGCCGACAGTTGAAGAATGCTCATCACTGTCACTGTTTACCCAACCGTCCAATCACAGTGGAGGAGGGGCGGGGCTAATACCACACCGTCCAACCGCCACAATCTGCCCTGCACAACCTCAACAGACGACGACAAAGAGCACAATAGCAGAACTAAATAATGTCAAACAAGAGCCAGAGAAAATACGTTACATTGGATCGACATTTTAATATAGAATCAACACAGAAACAAATGCTAAATTTGATATTAACATTGTCTGTGTAAATGAGTAGTCTTGGACTCTTGCTAAGCAAGAGACACCAGAATATGAATATTCATGATTCTGAAGATGAAATACAGGATTATTTTACACAAACATGCTTGACCTGACAGTCACTATAGACTAATTTCGTGACTTTTTCCTGGTAACATCAGACCTTTGTTATTATCAGGAGCCACAGATATTCCCCATTGCAGTATTATGCATAATATTCAACATTCCATATTGTAGTTTATTGTAATATTGACACTAAAACTCAAACACAATTGTTCCTCTTGGGTGGCCTGTACACATCACGACACATAATGTTGCATTTTTGTATTGCGATAAATACACTGTTACACCCCTAACTCACAGTATATGATATTTATACAGTGCTTCTCAATTAGGCTCTTCCTCGCTTACACTTTGTGTCTCGTGTGTGTGTGTGTGTGTGTGCAGGCGGTGCAGTGATCTTGAAGTAGAGTAGTTTTTGCTTAACAATAACAAAAGCATTGAATAAAATCTGTTTTGACAGGTTCTGAAAGCTGCAGAAGTACAGTAACACTGCTTCACACACTCTCTGATTCTGTGTGTGTGTGTGTGTGCAGGCGGTGCAGCAGGTGATCTCGAACCTGCTGATCTCTCAGATCGAGCTGCGCTCCGAGGACAGTCCCGATGTGCAGGCACACGTGCATCAGCGCAGCCTGGAGAAGATCGTCGTCCCGCTGGGAGAGCTGCTCACGGCCCATCAGACCCGCTACCAACAGGTGAGAGACACAGACCCGGTGGCTTCTCTGCGGTGTTTGCCCTCATCAGGACTCGTGTGTGTTCAGATCATTAAAGTCCCCTGTAGGCCATCATTTATCACAAATCTTTGATCACCAAAATTACACATTTAATTTTTTTTCCTCTTCATGCCTTAAAATATCTTGAATGTAACTCGAGTCGACACCTTCGCTTCATTTAGTATGCGTGCTATGAATATGCAAATGAGCCCCGCCTCCACGCGTTGATCTGATTGGTTACAAGGTGGTTTGTGACGTCAGAAACACCAGCGATTTCAAAGCGTGTTTTTGAGACTGTCTGTGCTTAGCAGATTTTTGGAAGTGAAAATCTGAAAGGTGAATATGGAATTATTGAATTTTTTAATAATGGAAATGTTTTGAATTGAAATATTCACAGCTTAAATATTACAACAACCATGTTCAAAAGTCCTAAAAAACAATGCTTTAAAATGTAGGCACTGCATATTTTTTCAACAAGCTTTGACACATAATGGAGATCAGGATAAAATAAGCTTTAAGTTCAGCTAAAACTCATCTGCATTAGTTTGGGGAATCAGTCAGCGCTGTCGTTCAGCGAGTGCTCCCTCTGCTGGCGTCACATGACTGTTTTCAGCAGGAATATTTACTGGGTTTATTCACATCTCACTGGAGCGCTGGAATGTTTCGGCTTCAGTTTGACCTCTGACCTCATTGAGCACTGCTTTATCCCACAGCAGCCGAACCCCTCTGAGCTCAGAAGAGACTTGAGTTTACATTTCAGCAGGAAAGGGAAGTTGCGCTGCTCTTCATATCGAGAGAAACGCTTCAGGAACAAGAACACATGTGGGCGGGGCTTAATCGTGTCTGTGGGGAATTGATTGGTTTGCTATTGGCTGAGCTCATGTGAGTGACAGGTTATAGCCCCGCCCACATCATCAGAGAAGAGAAGTTATTCTGATTCAGGGTTCGAAGTGTCAGTTATGTTTTCATGGTGATTTTTAACCTGTTAATCTTGTTTTTGTGTAAAGTGATGACGCTCGAGTCGAACTGTGATTCAATAATAGTTTATTGAGATCAGAACAGAAATATGAAGAGAAGCGTTCAGAACTCAGTGGCTGTAGTGTTTACACTGACACGAACCCGATGAGCGCTAGAGTAAAACACACACACTGATCGTGGCGTCTGTTTGCAAGAGCTCATCAACTTCATTCAAAGACACGTGTGTGTGTGTGTGTGTTCAATTCCGAAAACTCCTTCATTTCCTTGTTTGATTGACATCTGCACTTAATGGAGGAATAACAGCAAAGGAAACATTACAAAAATACTTAAAAATAGCACTATGACAATATATATATATATATAAACGTATGTGTGTCTATTATATTGATTAGACGACTACATGAGCATTGATTTATCGAGCAGAACAGAGAGCGTGTGAGTGTGTGTGTATGGTATAACACATGATTGTCTTGTGCATCAGCGCCCAGAGTGCCTCGCTGCAGTTGTGGTGTCTGCATTGGTGTAGTAGCTTATAATCAGTGTTGCGCATATAAATGAGCTTCTGCTCGTGTTCATCAGACGACAGCGAGGAGCAGTGCTCATGGGTAATCGGGAACTAGGACGTGTAACCTGTTGTGTGGACTGACTCTGAGAGGAGCAGAGGATTGTGGGTAAAGCGAGCAGCTCAAGGCCTCTCCAGGAACCAGATCTCGTTCTGCCGATTGGCCGCCGCTGGGTTGGTGTATCCGGCCACGATGAAGGAGTCGTTCACGCAGTCGCCCGGAGAGTCCAGAGCCTCGGCCAGACCGCTGATCTCGCTGATGATGGACAGCTCGTTAGTGGCGCCCGCGAAGGCCCTGAAACACACGCGTGTGGAGTCACATGACTTGTTTGTAGGGGTGCATCGCAGTTTAATCTCGCCCCTGAACGGACACATACACATGAAACGATGTCGAGATACACACGCGAGGAAGAAACCGCATGTGTGTCAGTTCATTCGGTCTTAAAGTGACGGCAGACTAATATCCCTGCAGCTGTCTGTGTCATTAATGTTCATAAAACAACAGAATACAGCTTTAACAAACATGAAACTATCTTCAGTTTCTTCAGTGAACTGTTAGACTTGTAAGTTTGTTGTTTTGTATTGATCTCTGCTTGTAATTTGAGTGAACATGATCCGACCCGTGGCTCAAAAAACCCTCAAATGATCCGAACGGTGATCGTTGTGCATTTGTTGGAGTCGAGGTTGTTTGATTGTTTCGCACCTGCTGTAGACGACCGTGTCGGGCCACTGCTCGATGATGATCTCGGGGTCGTGGGGTCGCGGCGGGTCGCCCTGGTGCACCATGGGAAGGTAATACGCCACAGTGACGGCCCGGGACAGAGTGGTGTGCATCTCATCGGTGCGCACCACCGTCACGATGGGTATGGTCATGCCCAGGTAGCTCCCTGTGGACGGAGGAGGCGGAGCATGAGGGTGTGTGTGAGGCTGTGTGTGTGTGTGTGAGGCTGGTGTTCACGTACCTGCTGTGTTCTGCTGGCAGATGAACCTCATGATCTTCATGAAGCCGTAGCAGATGCTCTGTTCATACGTTTCCTCGTGAACCGTGATGCAGGCCCAGTGCGCCTTCTCGTAGCGCCGCTTCTCGTACACCACCTCCCCGCACTACAACACACACACACACACACACACACCAGCAGAACGTCAGGGTCACACCAGAGCAGTGGTTGAGGACCTCCGTCACTCGTGTCAGTGTGGAGTATATGAGCACTCACAGCGGTACAGTGTTTCCCCGAGGATGGTTTTTAATGGAGAGGGGTCTTATTGATTTTTAGTCATCAAAAATCATCTCTAATTAATTTAAATTATTATTAATAATTTTAAGCAATTATTAAACTTATCATTAAATTACTAAAAAAAAATAAAAAAAAATTGTAGTGTTTTTTTTCTGGTAATCAAATTAAGACATAAAACATTATCGGTAATTTCATTTCTTTTAATCATGAAATCAAACAACGTGCTGCACCATGAGCTTTACTGTTCAAATGCAAATGGAAGAAAAGCTGTTTCGCCCAAACACTGGGATAGTTCACCCTAAAATTACAATTCTCAAAAGACATTTCTACAGGTTTGGAACAACATGAGAGTAAATTACAGATTCAGAAGTGTCATTTTAGGTGAATTATCCCTGTAATAATAGTCTTATGTAATAATTTGGCATAACCCTATTTGTGAAATCCTGCGATTGAATCCGTTTGAGCCGTTCTCATATCTCCAGTACAGGCGCTGGCGTATTCCATGTTGATTTGACATTCGTCACTTCTATCCACTGACTTGTATTGCATTCATGCGTTTATAGTAGTGTGTGTGTGTTTTAATTCATGCATTCCCTGGAAATCAACCCCATGAGCTGCTGTACACTCCAGTTACAGTAATGTACTTAATCACAGAGTAAATTCTCTTCCCAAACACTTTTTACTAACTGAACCCGTCCCGTGTTAAATGATCCGGATGTGAATCGTGTTTCACCTTTTGGAGTATTTTCTTACACAACTCATCAGTATCTGCAGAGGCAATAAACACGTTAAAGGACAACACACTTCTCATCAGACATTTGATGCATTTCATAATATTCACTTTCTCCACACACTTTGGTCTCATCTGGGGATTGTTTTCGGTGCATTTTTGTGTTCGTTTCTGACCTGGATGGAAAGTGTCAATCAATGAAAGTGGGTGGAGTTTAATGGTTTCAGCACCCAATCCATCTTCATCATCCTCCTTCCTGCAGGTGTGTTTAATCACATGTATGTGGTTTATCCACATTTTGGGATATAAAAAAACCTCATGTGACTTTGGCTCCACGTCAGCTGTGATTGGATAACTGGAGTAACCAATGGTGTCACAGCGTCTCGAATGTCGAAGTGTGTGTTCAGAGTGATTGGGTGTAATTCCTCCAGAAGCGTCTCACACACACACGAGTGTGTTTCCGAACACCAGAGAACACTGTGTTTCGTCTGACGCCCGACGCTCGTTTATGATGGAGGGAGAACAGCCGATTGCGGAAACACGCTTTTATTACTGATATTTGAGCCAATTACTCAGGAAGTGATGATGTTTGTTCTCTTGAACACATGAGATGGAAACGCTGCGTTATTCTCAAATGTTTTATGCCATATTCCAGTTTTGGCATAAGTTAATTTCACAGTGTCCATATCACTGATGGTGATGATCTCATCGCTGTTCTAGTGTCATTGTGTCACGTGACGTTACACTCCTGCTGAAATTCACTGCTGTCACACTGTTTACAGTGGTTTTTGAGACCAGTGTTTTGTTCTTCTGCTGTACGTACCTTCTCCTTGCGTGTGAGGAGTGTGTACGGCACCTGCTCCCGTGTGTGTGTGCCGTCGTTATTGCTGGTGATCTGCTGGATGGGCTCGGCCATGTCTGTGAATCGAGGAGCAGATAGACATTATGTTTGTGTACTGAAGCGACAGTTTGATAAGCAAGTAAATCTAGTTGTCTAGTTTCTCATCAGATCCTCATATTAGAGTGATTTGTGAAGGATCATGTGACACTGAAGACTGGAGTAATGATGATAAATTCACTTTACTGTATAGAGAACAGCTGGTGTACACTGGAGTAATATTTCACTGTTTGACTGTATTTATCTCCTAGTATTGCTGAAATGGCACAGTGTGTGTGTCGGGCATTAGTTGTCCTGTGTTTGCAGCAGCTCGTCTGTTCAGCGGGACACTAATGAGCAGCGACAGAAAACACTTCAGTGCACTTCACTAACCCCACTAGATTTATTTATCATGATGTGAACGGATGAGGTGTGTGTGTAGAACAGTGTTGATCAGAATACCTTCACTATAAAACTTGACTTAAACAGCCTTTCCTTTCACAGGAACAAGCACAAATTCATAAAATTACATTAAACTGAAAGCCAGAGAGAAAAAAAAACAAGTCTTTAGTGGGGGTTTAAAGCTATCAACATTGGAAGACAGCCTTAAAGGGATAGTTCACCCCAAAATGAAACTCTGTCAGTAATTAATTCTCGCGCTTTACTTTCTGTGCACAAAACAGTGAGTTACAATAATCCAGCCTGGAGGAAATAAATCTCCAAATCTTTTACTGTTTCAAACGCTTTTAATTTGGCAGAGGATCATTGAATTGATTTGTCGAATTTCAGGCCGTTATCAAAAATCACTCCCAAATTTTTGGCATGAGAATTCCCAGATGGTTTTTTATCTGTATAATAAAAGCTGGTGTTTTCACTGGTCGTAGAGTTGAAGAATGCTCATCACTGTCACTGTTTACCCAGCCGTCCAATCACAGTGGAGGAGGGGCGGGGCTATACCACACTGACCAACCGCCACATTCTGACCTCAACAGATGAGCACAAAGAGCACAATAGCAGAACTAAATAATGTCAAACAAGAGCCAGAGAAAATACGTTACATTGGATCGACATTTTAATATAGAATCAACACAGAAACAAAATATGTGTGAAGGGAGACACTAGTAACACTTTCACGGATATTACAAAACAAGCAAATGCAGCGCTGCCAAAACACTCTATTAGGCTTACACTGAAAGTGACATAAAATCAAATTAAATCGTCAATCTCAATTATTTGCATGATGATTAATCATCAGCACAAAATTCATGACTAATTCATCTCTATGTCAGTGCTAATTTATAATATTGTTCATCCTGTTGCTTCATAATGTATGAGTACATGTAGAAATGAACATTAACCTAGATTAATAAATGTTTATTCATTTTATTGTGCTATTAATGCTTTATTACGGAGTTAGTGTCTTGTAATCTCTCCCGTCATTCAGTCTGAACTGTGCTGGAACTGCAGGAACACATGATCGAGCGATCGATACGGTCTTCTGTTTGATCTGTAATATGATGTTTGCTCTTCACATGAACCGCGGCGTAAAGCGCTTTACTGGACTGGATTTAGAAAGGCCTGGTCTGGATAATCTCGGCGATCTCGGCACACAAACACACATCACCTGATCACACGTCAAACACAAAGCCCTGTGTGTTCAGCAGGACGCTCATGATGATTGACTGCTTTATAAACTCTGTGTCTGATATGGAGAACAGAGTCTTGTGATAATCTGCTGAACTGGGTCAGGACGGCCCGCCTGCAGCCCCAGTGAATCATGGGAAATCCTCCCTGCCTCAGTGATAGTCACGCAAATCTGCCGGATTCATACGAGGAAGAGCTCAGATCTGACATGTGTTTTCATGCACTGGATGGTTTTAAGAGCGATTTAGCTTTTCACAACTAGACGAGCGGAAAGAAAACAAGTGTTCATTTAATTGCACTCTGTGCTGAGTTTGAGTCAGAAACCTCCACTTCGGCAGACTTTACAGTTTTATTCATTCATGATTAATTTATACATTTTACTTTAAAAAACAATGGTGAAAATGTATTTGTCTTCTGCCTGTTGACAGTATTTTCTGATTTATAGAGTGATAAAAAGGGAAATCCAGAATCCTCTCTGTAGAAACACTCAATATGGTGACAAAATCAAACCAGAATTATGAGCCTTTATCCAGTGCTCACATTTCCATTCTGGAAACTAGGGCTAATAGTCGGCGAGAAGAAGTTTAGTTTCATTAGTCGTGTAATGCCAAGTTCACACTGCACGATTTTTGCGATATCGCTGACAAATGCCTGAAATCAGAGGCAGATCTGGAGCTAAATATCTGGACTCCTGCTGTGTGTGAGTGTGTTCTGACTGAAACTTACAGCCAATGACAGAGCAAGATACAGGGCAGTGGGAAGTTTTTAGTTATAGACCAGAATATCATATTTACAGTAATATCAAGCCGAAATATAAAGCACATTGCAAAATGTTTTTATTTGTGATCCTCCACCTCTCTCCCAGCGTCTCCAGCCATTCCCTCCATCTTTGTTCCTTTTTCTCCTTTATTTTATTCTCTGTGTTTTGTGAGAAAGCGGTGTTCTTTTATAAAATAATCACTTGAGAAATAGAGGAAATTGCATTTATTAGGATAAATGGGATATTATAGAAAATAATCCAAACTATTAGCCTAGCCTACATGTTTTAAAATTGGCCCATTACTAATGTTTACGTGCTTTCTTCTGTCTCCGTTTCATTCGCCGAGGAGGAGCTGTGATGAGATATTGTTCTTGTAAACACTTTTCAGCACTTCAGTAGCCTAATAGACGTGTACGACGTGCTACGGTGCTCGGCAGAGGTCAAACCGTGAAGTTTGAAGGGATTTCTACTTGTAGACTCAGAGATGTGCATTCGGACGGCAGTTAAATCGCCACACGGTCTTGGTGTTCGTCAAAAACAGTAGATCATTTGGTGGAAGAAAAACACTGGCATTCTGGATTCGGACGGCGATAAAATCACAGGCGTTTAAAATAGCGTACGACCCCATGATAAACAGTTTGCGCCAGAATAGGGCTAAACTGACTGTATGCTATCACGGGACATTTGAAGCGCTCTTTCATTTAGCACAACTATTCGCTGTATCGCTCCCATAGTTTGAGGAATTATTCACAATCATTCCCTTTAAATACACTCCTGTAGCCTAATGGTTTGCCAGCTGATGTACCTTTGGTTAATATAATTAAAGTTAACAACAATTAGTGTAGTTTCAATTTTATTCTGTGCATAAAAACACTTGAATTTGCCTAATTGAACACTGGGTGTATTAACATCAGAATTATTGTTCGTATATTTTGCATAAATGTATAGAAAGCTTGAAATATCTGCTTTTAAATGAACCAATTTGAATCTAAAACAAATACTCTGATTATGTAATCCATATGAAATATAAACACGTGATTAGTCAACTAATGGCTTACATAAACGACTAGAAACATTTTTAGTCAGGACAGCCCTATTGGAAATGTATACAAATTAGTGTTTAATTAGATAATATGCTTATTTAAACAGGATTTTCAGGGTAAACTTGTAACACGCCAAAATTGTTTTACTGTGATTAATCAACTAGGGAAGGATGGTGATGTTTATGAATAGTTGTCTGTCTCTTTAAATGCTCAGGATTGATTCTGATTGGCTGTTAATGTTTTATCGTTCATCAACTGAAAGTGGTTTCAACCTTATCGTTATAGCTGTGGTGTGAACTGCTCTTCTTTATAGCTTTATAGCTATTGTTATCATTCTTGGTGTGAACATTGTTCCTCAGAACAGTAAGATACAAATTGATAATCGTTTTTGTTATTATTTTTATTATTCCGTGGCGGAAACAAGCTTCCATACAAGTTTAAAGTTTGCTTTATTTATATAGCATCATTAAAACAGCAGAAGTTGACCACAACATCAGATAAAATACAAGCAAAAGCAGTAGAAAACAAACTAATTTCACAAATACAATCAGAGACAATTTTCTAACTAGTTTTGATAGTGCGAGTGAGTGTGTTTTGACACAACAGCTGTTGATCGCAGTTCTGCTCTGATAAATGAGTCGAGGAGTGTTTTATCCGTTTTGTTTACACTTTGCAGCCGTGTGTGTGTGTGTCTGTGTGTGTGTGTGTGTGTGAGCCGCCTATCTAGACCGCATACATATGTGCGCTTCAGTCGCGCTGCTGAGGGGAATGACCGTTAAACTGGCGCGAACGCTCCTCGGTGTAGTTTGTTCACTCGCTGTGTGTGTGTGTGTGTGTGTGTGTGTGTGTGTGTTTACCTCTGGGCACCTCCACCTGGTGTCCTCGCGCCACATCTCTCCAGTAGCGCAGGAGTCTCTCCTGGTCCTCCTGGTCGTCCAGCTCCTCCTCGGGACTGTCTGACAGCTGATCCTCCGACACGGACTCCAGGTCCTCCAGCGAGATCATATCCCCACCGCCGCCTCCGTTCATCCGGCACCCGCCGCGATCCATCGCTCGATCCGTCGATGACGAGGCCGCGCGATCGTGTTCAGAAGCGCCCTCACACTCTTCGGTCACACGGATTTCGCCGTCATGTCCGTGTACCGGAGCACAGGAGGGTATTTAACGTTTATCCCTAATCTCGCGTTATTGACGGCGCTCAGTTCGTACGTGTTGTTTTACAGACGCGACGTGACGTTTTTAAGGGCGGGCCTGGGCGGGCTAACTCCTGGTCACGTGGCCACAGAAGCCCGGCCCCCCGCGCAGGATCATATACATTTATCACTCACTCCCAGCGCTCATATCATCAACTGCTATAACGACGATTACAGATTATAAGTATCCAAAATAAGGATCTAAAACTCATCTAATGTGTGTGGTAATATGACAGAGCAGCAGTTTATGATGGATAGATTCTGTAATCACTGTGAAGCTGCTTTGATTCAATTTTATTGTGAAAAGCGCTATATAAATAAATGTGACTTGACTTGAAGATTTGAAATGCTTTAATGGGCCTTGATTTAAATGTACTTTACTTTATGGAAGCCCTTTCCCCCACAAGCATTCTGCTCTGGTTAATCTTATTTGTGATATTAAAAGTCATAATTATGACAAAGTCATAATTTTAACATAATTAAATTGTTTGGGTTTTTTTTTTATAAACGGACCATGCACAATTTTTAACATAAAATTTCTATTTCGTGTATTGTACCGGATTTCATCAAAGGCTATTTTTCAGCCATAGTCCCAGACAGGACAAAGCTAACAAAACATTACACAGACAAAACCTATGTTCACAGATACATACACATACACTGTCAAGGCCATAAAAAACATAAATAAATTAGTCAATCAATTTAACCTACAACAATCTCAATGGTTACGTAATTGGTTCAATTTAAAAAGTCCATGAGCTTTACACCCTGTTATGTCCTCTGGTAGGGCTGATGATTGTCTTTCACTGCGAAAGATGATAGTCCAAATGCGGAACGGCGAAAGGGAACCAGACACTTACTCATAACAAGTGATTGTCTGGTAGATCTCACAGAGGTTTCACAGCGCAGATTAATAAGGCACGTAATACAGAAGGAGCCAGACCGTTTAGGATTTTATGAAACATACACAAACTTGAATAGAGTCTAAAATTGTCCAATTTTTGAAAATTATGTTACATTTCCTTCAAAAGTGAAAATGGTTAGTTTTTTTACCCAAAAATTTTAATTTCTGTTTATGTAGAGATTTTAAGAGTTTAATAACAGTTTCACCCGCTTGACCCCAACATGTCAAACAGTAAGACGTGAGAAAAGAGTGTAAATTGTTAGATTTTTGGTGATGCCGAGCAGTGGTTTCAGAGGCTCGCCAATGTATTAGATTTCTCAAATACATAAAGTAAGTAAGCTTGACCAGTTCTTGTGGCGAGAAGAATATATTGAAGGTTTGTAGTGTAGCAGTCCTTCAGCAGTGATGTTATCATGTCGCCCTTCAACAATCTTAACCCAAAGTTCTGTCTGTGAGACAGAACTTTATACAGTGTATGAAGTCAGTGAGCTACAAGCTTAGCTAATAGTAAGGGACCTAGTACTGATACTTGGGGTACACACAGTGTATAATGCAGATCACAGGACTTAACCACTTTAATTTTTACACATTGTTGTGTATTATAGTAACTATGAGGATGGGTAAGCCAAAGCTTCAGGATGTCGGCTGTTGGAGACTATGGGCTGAATGCTTATGGCTCTGTAGTCACTAACTTTATTAAGAGAGAGTGTGTGTGTGTGTGTGTGTGTGTGTGTGTGTGTGTGTGTGTGTGTGCGATTCGTTACGGGTTTACTGAGTCCTGTTATAGCGCTCCGTCTCTTTTTCCTGTCTTCCTGGATATTGATGTGCATTTACGTTTTCACATTATGTATATTTGACATATTTCACATATACAGTCAATCATGTTGTTCTGAACGCTGTATTCGGGCCAGATATTTAAATTTTGCTTCATTTTATAGCAAAAAAATAAATAAAATAACAAAGTTCAGAAAAATGTATATGGTCTAAGGTAAAGATGTAGTGACTCTTAATGAGTAAATCATATTTCTACGTCATTTAATCATTTGGAGCATCTTGATCTCTTGATTGTGTTTGTCCTGTATTGGTGATCAGAAAAATATCCTGAAAGATTGAATGTACGTTTTCACAGCAGGGCAGCAAACACTATTATAGTGATGATGAAAGATGAAGGTGCACATGGAGAAATTGGCGTGATTGTGGGTTGAAAAGAGTCTGTGGGCTCCATTGTGCTGCTGAAATGATTTTCACATGTTTTGCTCGCAGGTTTTAGAGAAGTTTACGTCCCGTCTGACCCAGATGAGGCTGTTGAGTCACCGCGACCTCTACTCCCTCTCAATGTACCAGATCATTCTGGCCCGAGAACAGTTCAGACGCAACCCACCGCCATACGTCCAGGTACAGCAGACACCGACTCTCTGAACCGACTCACAGCACTGAACCGACGAACTGACTCACAGCACTGAACCGACGAACTGACTCACAGCACTGAACCGACGAACTGACTCACAGCACTGAACCGACTCGCAGCACTGAACCGACTCGCAGCACTGAAACGACTCGCAGCACTGAACTGACTCACACTCACTGGACTGAACCGACTCACAGCACTGAACCGACTCGCAGCACTGAACCGACTCGCAGCACTGAACCGACTCGCAGCACTGAACCGACTCACACTCACTGGACTGAACCGACTCACTGGACTGAACCGACTCACAGCACTGAACCGACTCGCAGCACTGAAACGACTCGCAGCACTGAACTGACTCACACTCACTGGACTGAACCGACTCACTGGACTGAACCGACTCACAGCATTGAACCGACTCGCAGCACTGAACCGACTCGCAGCACTGAACCAACTCGCAGCACTGAAACGACTCGCAGCACTGAACCGACTCACAGACTCACTGGACTGAACCGACTCACAGCACTGCACCGACTCACAGCACTGAACCGACTCGCAGCACTGAACCGACTCGCAGCACTGAAACGACTCGCAGCACTGAAACGACTCGCAGCACTGAACCGACTCACAGACTCACTGGACTGAACCGACTCACAGCACTGAACCGACTCACTGGACTGAACCGACTCACAGCACTGAACCGACTCACTGCACCGACTCACAGCACTGAACCGACTCGCAGCACTGAAACGACTCACAGACTCACTGGACTGAACCGACTCACAGCACTGAACCGACTCACTGCACCGACTCACAGCACTGAACCGACTCACTGCACCGACTCACAGCACTGACTCACTCCATTCAACCGACTCACAGCACTGAACCGACTCAAAGCACTGAACCGACTCACAGCGCTGAACCGACTCGCTGCGCTGAACCGACTCACAGCACTGAACCGACTCACTGAACCGACTCGCAGCACTGAACCGACTCACACTCACTGGACTGAACCGACTCACTGGACTGAACCGACTCAATGCACTGAACCGACTCAATGCACTGAACCGACTCACAGCACTGAACCGACTCACTGCACCGAGTCACAGCACTGAACCGACTCACAGCACTGATTCACTCCACTCAACCGACTCACAGCACTGAACCGACTCAATGCACTGAACCGACTCAATGCACTGAACCGACTCACAGCACTGAACCGACTCACTTAACCCAACCGACTCGCTGCACTGAACCGACTCACTTCACTGAACCGACTCACTGAACTGAACCGACTCACTGCACTGCACTGAACCGACTCACACCACCTACTCATAGCACTGAACCAACTGACTCCACTGAACCGACTGACTGAACTAAACCGACTCACTCCACTGAACCGACTCACAGCACTGAAACGACTCACAGCACCGACTCGCTGCACTGAACCGACTCACTCCACTGAACCCCACTGCTTTAATCCGTCACCCTGCGGTGATCTGTAGATGAGTGTGTGTTCTGTCCTCAGGGGCCGCAGCAGGGGCCTATCGAGGGGGACTTCGCTATCTGCATTACTCTGTATCATGGCTATGATTTACTGCAGCAGATGGGCATCAGATCGCTCTTCCTCTTCTTCCAGAACATCTTCTCTGGAGCCAAAGGTGCTCAGATACTCCTACACTGGCGCTGTTTGCTGCTGATGCTCCTCACGTCATGATGAGGGTTTTTCTGTCTTCTCAGAGTCGTCTCGAGCGAGGAACGAGCTTCAGAGGTGCCCAGTCTTCATGGACCTCTACAGGGAAATGGAGAGCATGTTTGCCACATCTAGCCGAGGTGATTAATACTGTTCACTCAGCCGATTAATACTCTGTTCACTGATTGTACCTGGTGTTCATGAGCGAGTGTGTTTCATCCACAGGGCCTCAAGATCCGTACGTCTACAGTCACCCCAAACTGCAGAAACTGGACGAGGTGGTGCTCCGGCACTTCCAGACACGGGCCGAGAGCTCAGGTGAGATCGTCCCGTCACCAGAACTGGGCTTTGGTCAGTGTTGTTCAGGGAGTGTGTGTCTGATGAGTGTGTGATCCGGACAGATTCTGAGGTCAGCACACGGGTCATGATCTTCTCATCCTTCCGCGAGAGCGTGCAGGAGATCGCAGAGATCCTGAACCGCCATCAGCCGCTGGTGAAGGTCATGACCTTCATGGGTCAGGCGTCCACTGGGAAAGGGGTTCGAGGATTCACACAGAAAGAGCAGCTGGAGGTACGCGACCGTGTGCCAGTGTTCATTTCATTGATGCATTATTTTCATTATTATTATGAATAATATTATTTTAATGAATAAAAACAAGACGGGATGTGTGCAGAGATCCAGTCCGAGCTGAGGACTTGTGTGAATACACACAACATTATGTGTACATGGAGCGTATTCACGTAAACAGTTGTGAGAATATCGGATGTGCAAATAGATCCAGACATTCGGTCTTAAAGTGACAGTGCGTAATAAACCTAGTGCCGTCTGTACACCTAATATTAACCAAACAACAAAGGAAAAAGAGAAAAGCATTCACTGCTCTTTAATAGCTTTAAAAATCGATTCATTACATATAATTTATACAAATAAATATATATGCTTGAAAGAATAAAGAATGACGTATGCATGTTGTAATAAAGAATGCATTTGAACCATTCATTGAAAAGACCAGGTTCTACTTTAGAAGTGGTTTTATTTAATTTTAAGATATGTTTTTAATGTCACAGCAGTTAAATTAGTGACTATATGACATGTTCAACCTTTAAAATCCTTCATATTAACAGGTTAATGTTTTCTCCAGGAGTATATCATGTGTTTGAGAGAAATTCTAAACGAATGCATTACAATTGAACTAAACCCATTAGATTTTAGTTGGCCAAATCTCAACTAAAATCTTATTGTATTCCATCGAGTAAAACTAAAAGGATTCAGTTGACTAAAATATGACTCAAACTAAATGGCATTTTAGTCAAAAGACTGTCACGTCTCCTTCATCTATCCAGCGCTTTAACACTATAGAGTTTAACAGCAGCTTTAGAGATTACAGTAACAGAGAGTGTTTACAGCAGATCTAGAATAAAGTTATTGATCATCGTATGTCGGAGGACAAACCGCCTCTTGAACGGTGTGTGTGTGTGTAGGTTGTGCGGCGGTTCCGCGAGGGCGGCTTCAACACGCTGGTGTCCACGTGTGTCGGGGAGGAGGGCCTGGACATCGGAGAGGTGGACCTCATCGTGTGCTTCGACGCTCAGAAGAGTCCGATCCGTCTGGTCCAGCGCATGGGCCGCACGGGACGCCGGAGACAGGGACGGATCGTGGTCATTCTGGCCGAGGGCCGCGAGGAGCGAGTGAGTGAAACTGCACGAGGACAGAGAATGCTTTTGTGTGTGTGTGTTGCTGTTCAAGCTCTGCACACAGGGATCGGACAAGAGTTTGACTGGTTGAAATGTAAGTCCTGGAAAACCCCTGAAGACAGCCATATTTATGAAGAGGTTCTCGAGGAGTGCTTGACTTATTTAAATACAATATATATTAAAATTTTCCAGAAAAAAAAAACACAAATACGATTTTTTTCACACAATATGATCACTGCAGTCCATCTATTAAACCCCCATCAGATACCAAGTTTGTCAAAAATATCCTATAAAATATTATTTATTGAACAATAATAGCCATTATAAACTTATATATATAATTAAATGTGTTGTAAGTTGTATTTTGGGGCCTTATATCTGTAACTTGAGTTTAAAAAGTCCTGCAGATATTGTTTGATAAGTGTACAGTCGAGCTTAAAGTCCTTTTTACAGTTTCTGTACGAACCCAGAATGCTCCAGTTCTGTATGAGTGTCAGTGTTCCTGAACTCCTGAAACGCCTCCACTGTAGTCTCGAGTTTCTCCCGGGAACGAACGCGTCACGATATTCCTCATTATAATAATTAATGCGCAGAATAAAGGGGCGGGGCCCGGTTGAGTTAGTTAGTGGAGTGTTAAACTGGCGGTTATGGAAAGGGGCGGGGGTATTTCCCAAATACACTCGAAGCACTCAACCAATCAAAACACACTGCTCCAGCCGACCAATCAGAGCACAGTGTGCTTTTCAGGAGGAGAGGCTTCTTAGAAACAGGAAGTGAACAGAGCGTTACTGACAGACTGGGAAGAGAGGAGCCGCAACAATGGAGAATAATCAACATTCAAGTTCTAGGAGAGCCTGAACACATCATCAGGAGCATAATGTGGCGTCTCTAACATTAAAAAACCTCTCGCTCTCTTGCAGATGTATAACCAAAGCCAGACCAACCGGCACAGCATAAACAAGAGCATCATGGGAAACAAGCACAGTTTCCAGATGTTTCCTCACAGTCCCCGTATGCTCCCGGCGGGCGTCACTCCGGCGCTCCACAAGATGCTCATCAGCGTGGGTCAGTTCGAGCAGACCGCCGCCGCCGGCCGCCGCTCCACCAAGGGCCGCCGCTCAGCGCTGGGCCTCCAGACGGCGGGTACGACTAGCGCTCGCAGTGTGTTCAGACGCCAGTCGAGCTCTCTTCCACATGAGTGCCACCTCAGAAGTTTGTGTGGTTTATGCTTGAAACATGAAAACACTCTACAATAAGATCAACATCAGTTACTCACTGTGAGCTAACATCATCTAACAATGAACAATTGTATTTTTACTAGCGTTAGCAATAATGCTTGAACCTTCCTCCTTCCCTCACACCTCGGGGGTCAAAATGACCCGAAGCCCTAACGTTTAACTTTGAGTCCAGAAAGCTTAATTTATTTCATTTTTCTTTTTCAGGAGCGGAGCAGTCGTGTGTGAAGGACAAGGGGTTTCTGACCGCGGCTGAAGAGGTCGTGTGGAGGTCAACCATGAGGCTGGGAGAGGATGAAGCTCAGCCTGTGTTCAGACCAGCGTCTCTGATGACCTTCAGTGACCTTCCGCCGTCAATCCCAGCACCAGTGTGTTCACGGCACTCATGAACCGCAGTACCTGAGCCTGAGTTTGAGATTTATGTGTTTGACTGACACAGGTTTAACATTAGAGGAGGAATACAAATCTCCTGATCATTTACTCTCCGCTGTAACTAATAACCTTAATGTGCTGCTTATTTAATGAAACGACTAACATTTCTGCACTCAAAACAATCATGCCATTGTTTATTATGGAAGCTTGTCTCTGCTATGAAATATTGCAGGTAACTGCAACTTTTTTCTGAGACTGACACTTTATCACAATTCTGTCTTGTTTTTCATAATTGCGATGGGAAAAAGTCAGAGATAAAATGTCACAATTTATTTTTTGATTCTGTGGCACAAATAAGCTTCCATAATTTATTAACTATTTATTTTTTTGGTAGCATATTTTTGAATGCTTTTAATCACATCATGCATTTAATCCACATAAATCTGTTCATTGTGAAATTTAATCGGTTAAAATGTTTCCACATGGTTATAATATTTTAGCTGTGGAACAAGTGAAATTATATTAGTTAAAATGCATGAGATTTAAACAAATTGGATTTATTTGATAATATATTGACCTGGCTGTTGTGTATTTGAAAGCCTGTGTTTATTGGTTCAGGAAATCTGACCGGTTTCATCAGTTTGATTGATAAACGTGCATCACATGATCTAAAACTGGGCAAAGGCATGGAAATTTCAAATGCAATTCAAATACATTAATCTTAAATTTCAGCGTGTGTGTGTGTGTGTGCAGGAGCCGAGTGTTGCGGGCCTGAATGTTGTGTGTGTGTGTGTGTGTGTGCAGGAGCCGAGTGTTGCATGGCCTGAATGTTGTGTGTGTGTGTGTGTGCAGAAGCCGAGTGTTGCGATGCCTGAATGTTGTGTGTGTGTGTGTGTGTGCAGGAGCCGAGTGTTGCATGGCCTGAATGTTGTGTGTGTGTGTGTGTGTGCAGGAGCCGAGTGTTGCGGGGCCCGTCAGAGAGCTGTCCCTGTGGGAGTGGAGGCACTGGCAGAACCGGCCGCTTCACACACACACTGTGGGACATTCAGAACGATGCCTCCATTTCACATCCATCATGGAGCTGATCGACAGACTGAGGCAGGAGGAGCAGGTGAGCGCTCACACACACACACACACACACACACACACACACACGTGTCCTGATACGGATCTCAGAGTCTTAGTTGTCAAGGTGAAGTGTGTTTGAACACTGTCTTCAGGTCTCGGTGTCTCATCTGCCCATTAGCTGAATTGATTTTCAGGAGTGTGTGTCGGGTTCTGGGAAAGAGAACAGGAGCATCTGCCGGTTCCTCTCGCAGCTGTGCTGAAACAACAGAACCCAGCGACGGAGAGGATCAAACCTGTGTCTGACAAGCTCTTCCAAAGTTCAGCTTTCTATGAGATTTTGATTTGATTTAATATCATTTCTGTCGCAATATCACTGAACAGCAACCAGATACACACTCTCTGTGACTGTAATCTCCTGTTCTCTCTGTAAAGCTGCTGTCAAACTCTATAGTGTTAAAGCGCTGGATAGATGAAGGAGACGTGAGTGTGTGTGAGTGTGTGTCGCTGTATAGAAGGAGACGTGAGTGTGTGTGAGTGTGTGTCGCTGTATAGACGGAGACTCGACTGACATAATGTGTTTATTGAAGATTACAAAAAGACTTGATTCCAGTGTTTTTTACACAGAGTGAATCATAATTGATGATGATTAGTAAAAGATGTAATGGGAGAAAGGCGATGGACGTGATTCATGGCTGTGTGTGTGTGTGTGTGTGTGTGTGAGCGACGTCAGAGAGAGAGAGAGAGAGAGAGTGGTGTCATCAGTCGTCTCGCTCTATGCATGCGCTCTTATGTAAGGCTTCTCAGAACGGTTGCATAAGTGCTGGAAGTGGGTCATCTGAGTGACCTACATCTCCGACTGCGGGATTCTCCGGCTGTTCTCCGGCCCGCTCGTGTTCTCCGGCTGTTCTCCGGCCCGCTCGTGTTCTCCGGCTGTTCTCCGGTCCGCTCGTGTTCTCCGGCTGTTCTCCGGTCCGCTCGTGTTCTCTGGCTGTTCTCCGGCCCGCTCGTGTTCTCCGGCTGTTCTCCGGTCCGCTCGTGTTCTCCGGCTGTTCTCCGGCCCGCTCGTGTTCTCCGGCTGTTCTCCGGCCCGCTCGTGTTCTCCGGTCCGCTCGTGTTCTCCGGCTGTTCTCCGGTCCGCTCGTGTTCTCCGGCTGTTCTCCGGCCCGCTCGTGTTCTCCGGCTGTTCTCCGGTCCGCTCGTGTTCTCCGGCTGTTCTCCGGCCCGCTCGTGTTCTCCGGCTGTTCTCCGGCCCGCTCGTGTTCTCCGGCCCGCTCGTGTTCTCCGGCTGTTCTCCAGTCCGCTCGTGTTCTCCGGCTGTTCTCCGGTCCGCTCGTGTTCTCCGGCTGTTCTCCGGTCCGCTCGTGTTCTCCGGCTGTTCTCCGGCCCGCTCGTGTTCTCCGGCTGTTCTCCGGCCCGCTCGTGTTCTCCGGCTGTTCTCCGGTCCGCTCGTGTTCTCCGGCTGTTCTCCGGCCCGCTCGTGTTCTCCGGCTGTTCTCCGGTCCGCTCGTGTTCTCCGGCTGTTCTCCGGTCCGCTCGTGTTCTCTGGCTGTTCTCCGGCCCGCTCGTGTTCTCCGGATGTTCTCCGGCCCGCTCGTGTTCTCCGGCTGTTCTCCGGCCCGCTCGCGTTCTCCGGCTGTTCTCCGACCCGCTCGCGTTCTCTGGCTGTTCTCCGGCCCGCTCGCGTTCTCCGGCTGTTCTCCGGCCCGCTCGTGTTCTCCGGCTGTTCTCCGGTCCGCTCGTGTTCTCCGGCTGTTCTCCGGTCCGCTCGTGTTCTCTGGCTGTTCTCCGGCCCGCTCGTGTTCTCCGGCTGTTCTCCGGTCCGCTCGTGTTCTCTGGCTGTTCTCCGGCCCGCTCGTGTTCTCCGGATGTTCTCCGGCCCGCTCGTGTTCTCCGGCTGTTCTCCGGCCCGCTCGCGTTCTCCGGCTGTTCTCCGACCCGCTCGCGTTCTCCGGCTGTTCTCCGGCCCGCTCGCGTTCTCCGGCTGTTCTCCGGCCCGCTCGTGTTCTCCGGCTGTTCTCCGGTCCGCTCGTGTTCTCCGGCTGTTCTCCGGCCCGCTCGCGTTCTCCGGCTGTTCTCCGGCCCGCTCGCGTTCTCTGGCTGTTCTCCGGCCCGCTCGCGTTCTCCGGCTGTTCTCCGGCCCGCTCGTGTTCTCCGGCTGTTCTCCGGTCCGCTCGTGTTCTCCGGCTGTTCTCCGGTCCGCTCGTGTTCTCTGGCTGTTCTCCGGTCCGCTCGTGTTCTCCGGCTGTTCTCCGGTCCGCTCGTGTTCTCCGGCTGTTCTCCGGTCCGCTCGTGTTCTCCGGCTGTTCTCCGGCCCGCTCGTGTTCTCCGGCTGTTCTCCGGTCCGCTCGTGTTCTCCGGCTGTTCTCCGGCCCGCTCGCGTTCTCCGGCTGTTCTCCGACCCGCTCGCGTTCTCTGGCTGTTCTCCGGCCCGCTCGCGTTCTCTGGCTGTTCTCCGGCCCGCTCGCGTTCTCCGGCTGTTCTCCGGCCCGCTCGTGTTCTCCGGCTGTTCTCCGGCCCGCTCGTGTTCTCCGGCTGTTCTCCGGTCCGCTCGTGTTCTCCGGCTGTTCTCCGGCCCGCTCGTGTTCTCCGGCTGTTCTCCGGCCCGCTCGTGTTCTCCGGTCCGCTCGTGTTCTCCGGCTGTTCTCCGGTCCGCTCGTGTTCTCCGGCTGTTCTCCGGCCCGCTCGTGTTCTCCGGCTGTTCTCCGGTCCGCTCGTGTTCTCCGGCTGTTCTCCGGCCCGCTCGTGTTCTCCGGCTGTTCTCCGGCCCGCTCGTGTTCTCCGGCCCGCTCGTGTTCTCCGGCTGTTCTCCAGTCCGCTCGTGTTCTCCGGCTGTTCTCCGGTCCGCTCGTGTTCTCCGGCTGTTCTCCGGTCCGCTCGTGTTCTCCGGCTGTTCTCCGGCCCGCTCGTGTTCTCCGGCTGTTCTCCGGCCCGCTCGTGTTCTCCGGCTGTTCTCCGGTCCGCTCGTGTTCTCCGGCTGTTCTCCGGCCCGCTCGTGTTCTCCGGCTGTTCTCCGGTCCGCTCGTGTTCTCCGGCTGTTCTCCGGTCCGCTCGTGTTCTCTGGCTGTTCTCCGGCCCGCTCGTGTTCTCCGGATGTTCTCCGGCCCGCTCGTGTTCTCCGGCTGTTCTCCGGCCCGCTCGCGTTCTCCGGCTGTTCTCCGACCCGCTCGCGTTCTCTGGCTGTTCTCCGGCCCGCTCGCGTTCTCTGGCTGTTCTCCGGCCCGCTCGCGTTCTCTGGCTGTTCTCCGGCCCGCTCGCGTTCTCCGGCTGTTCTCCGGTCCGCTCGCGTTCTCTGGCTGTTCTCCGGCCCGCTCGCGTTCTCCGGCTGTTCTCCGGTCCGCTCGTGTTCTCCGGCTGTTCTCCGGCCCGCTCGCGTTCTCCGGCTGTTCTCCGACCCGCTCGCGTTCTCTGGCTGTTCTCCGGCCCGCTCGCGTTCTCTGGCTGTTCTCCGGCCCGCTCGCGTTCTCCGGCTGTTCTCCGGCCCGCTCGTGTTCTCCGGCTGTTCTCCGGCCCGCTCGCGTTCTCCGGCTGTTCTCCGGTCCGCTCGTGTTCTCCGGCTGTTCTCCGGCCCGCTCGTGTTCTCCGGCCCGCTCGTGTTCTCCGGTCCGCTCGTGTTCTCCGGCTGTTCTCCGGTCCGCTCGTGTTCTCCGGCTGTTCTCCGGCCCGCTCGTGTTCTCCGGCTGTTCTCCGGTCCGCTCGTGTTCTCCGGCTGTTCTCCGGCCCGCTCGTGTTCTCCGGCTGTTCTCCGGCCCGCTCGTGTTCTCCGGCCCGCTCGTGTTCTCCGGCTGTTCTCCGGTCCGCTCGTGTTCTCCGGCTGTTCTCCGGCCCGCTCGTGTTCTCCGGCTGTTCTCCGGCCCGCTCGTGTTCTCCGGCCCGCTCGTGTTCTCCGGCTGTTCTCCGGTCCGCTCGTGTTCTCCGGCTGTTCTCCGGCCCGCTCGTGTTCTCCGGCTGTTCTCCGGTCCGCTCGTGTTCTCCGGCTGTTCTCCGGCCCCCTCGTGTTCTCCGGCTGTTCTCCGGTCCGCTCGTGTTCTCCGGCTGCTGTAACAGGATGAGTCTCTGTAAGAGGCTTGTTTAACAGACACATAACGTGTTGAACCGCTGTTATACTGATGATCTGTGGCTACATCGTTGGAGTCAGAATCACATAAAGCATCTCTTGTCTTCAGGCCGGTTCACATGATGCGTCACATGATGACCTCGTTATGATGTTACGCACTAGTTTATGATTTTATATTTAGCATATTAAAGCTGCAGTTGATGTAGTTATATCATAACTAGTTGCAGAAGCAGGACGTCACATGTCTGGATGGTTACTAACTAGTCACTTATTAAATTTGTATTAACAAGATTGTGTTTGTATTTACATGAAGAAAATATTAATAAAAATATTTATACAAAAAAAAAACTAGTCACTGAAGGACTGTTGATCAGTCACATGACCCTCTCAGACTGTCATCGGAGACTCTCATTTTATTTCTTTAAATGCTCTAAAATGGAGCATTTAAAGAAATATTGTGATAATTACATTAATTTAGGATGTTTTATGTAAATATGTATGATAGATCGATATGTTTTATATTATTGAAAAATAATGCACACTGAGGTGTATAAAGTATTATTTGCATAGTATTCGTATATTTATAGATAATTACATTTATATAATATATTTAATATTTTAAATTTTTATGTTTATTTTTATATATGTGGAGGATTGATGGAGGTCTTCTGTCCTCGCAGGGCGACTGTAGTTTTGAGTCCGAGCTCAAGCTGCATCTACAGAAAGAAGATGTTGATGGAACAACAAACCCAAACGCCGACAGAACCCGTCTGAAGAAGAGGTCGAGATCCCACGATGCTCAGCGGGGAGAGAACGGCAGGACGTCGGCGAGACCGATCCCGAGCGCAGAGAACCGGCTCGACACACACGACGGGTTTGATCCCGAGTCCGATCCGGCATCCCAACACGAGTGTCTGGACTGTTTGCTGGGAGATCCCGAGGACGAGAGCTCGGATCTACAGCACATGTTCTATCAGCCGGAGCAGAACCTCGGCCCGAAACGCTGCCGTCACAGTCTCACGACCAAAGCCTTCCGGAGGATCCTGGCCGACGTGGAGGATCTGCTGTCCAGATCGCCTCCGCAGGAGCCCAGCCTCCCAGACCTCGGCCTTCTCCCGACGGACACGGTTTCTGATGCGTTCCAGGTGACGTTCAGCCTGGTGTCGGCTAACCGAGAGCGTGAGGATCCCGGGGCTCTCTCTCCGGGCTGGGACGAGCTGTTCGACGACGAGGACGAGGCCTTCACGAGAGCGGAGGAGGAACGGGAAGAAGAATGGGAAGAGGAACAGGAAGAGCTTCGGGAAAAGGAACGGGAAGAGCTTCGGGAAGAGGAACAGGAAGAGCTTCGGGAAAAGAAACAGGAAGAGCTTCGGGAAAAGGAACGGGAAGAGCTTCGGGAAAAGGAACGGGAAGAGCTTCTGGAAAAGGAACGGGAAGAGGTTCAGGAAAAGGAACAGGAAGAACTTCGGGAAAATGAACGGGAAGAGCTTCAGGAAAAGGAACGGGAAGGGCTTTGGGAAAAGGAGCGGGAAGAAGAATGGGAAGAGGAACGGGAAGAGCTTCAGGAAAAGGAACAGGAAGAGCTTCGGGAAAAGGAACGCAAAGAGCTTCGGGAAAAGGAACGGGAAAAGGAACAGGAAGAGCTTCAGGAAGAGCAGGACAGCCTGGACCTGTTCGGAGACGACGAGGCTTTTCTTCAGCTGAGCATTCCTGATATCCGGACGCCGGATAAGAGCACTGAACCTGAAGGAGAGCAGGCTGACGAGCATGACCCAGGATCCGGTCAGGCGTTCCACTGCTCGCAGGACTTCTTCTCTGTGAACTTTGACCTGGGGTTAGAGTCCGAGGACGAGGAGTGTGTCGACTCAGTGTCTCGTCCTCGTCCGGTCGCAGGAACCGCAAGATCTCAGCAGTCGCAGACGAGACCCAGCGCTTCCACACCGAGCCGTGTGTTCCCGGGTCAGGCGGACCGTGTGTTCCCGGGTCAGGCGGACCGTGTGTTCCCGGGTCAGGCGGACCGTGTGTTCCCGGGTCAGGCGAGACCCAGCGCTTCCACACCGAGCCGTGTGTTCCCGGGTCAGGCGGACCGTGTGTTCCCGGGTCAGGCGGACCGTGTGTTCCCGGGTCAGGCGGACCGTGTGTTCCCGGGTCAGGCGAGACCCAGCGCTTCCACACCGAGCTGTGTGTTCCCGGGTCAGGCGGACCGTGTGTTCCCGGGTCAGGCGGACCGTGTGTTCCCGGGTCAGGCGGACCGTGTGTTCCCGGGTCAGGCGGACCGTGTGTTCCCGGGTCAGGCGGACCGTGTGTTCCCGGGTCAGGCGAGACCCAGCGCGTCCACACCGAGCCGTGTGTTCCTGGGTCAGGCGGACCGTGTGTTCCCGGGTCAGGCGAGACCCAGCGCGTCCACACCGAGCCGTGTGTTCCCGGGTCAGGCCACTCCATCTCTGAGGACAGAGCTGTTCCAGCGGGGTCTCTCCAGTGCAGGTGACGAGTGTGTTCCCAGTCAGAAAAAACATAGTACAAAATACTATATTATTATAAAAAACTGGATTCTATCTTTTAGTCAACTTGGTTTTCTTCCCATTAGCACAGGTTGTGTGTGTGTGTGTGTGGATCTGATTGTAGGCCTTAATGAGTTTAAGCTCCTCAGTTTATGAGTGAAAGTCTAGCTTCTTTAGCTCAGATATATATATATATATATATGTATATTAGGGCTGTGCAAAAATTAATAGTCCAAAATAAAAGTCTGTGTTTACATAATATATTTGTGTGTGCTGTATATAATTATTTTGTATATATAAATACACACACATGCATGTATATATTTAAGAAAATGTGTTATTCATATATAAAATATTTATACTTGTATAATATAGATTATGTATTTATATATATGTATACAGAATTTACGCGCAAATAATTCTTAAATATATACATGCATGCATAGGTATTTATATATACAAAATAATTATATTCAGCACACACAAATATATTATGTAAACACAGACTTTTATTTTGGGTGCGAATAATTAACTTTTGCACAGCCCTAATATATATATATATATATATATATATATATATATATATCAAGGAAAATTAAAACTGTTATAAAAGGAACTAAGAGTAAAAATATGATGCATAGATAAACTTCTCATCTGGCAAAACACAGAAATTTTTCACAGCTGCTTGTATATGCAGTATATTCAATATTCATATAAATTAACTAAATAAAAATTTTTTTTTAAATCTTAACAACAAAAATGAACCATCACTGAACTTAGTGTTTCGCTCTGCTGTACTGAAACACACACGCCTACAGTACCAACCCTGCCCGCTTGTAATGTCGCTTACGGCTTCCTCTTTATGCAAAGCTGGTTTTCTAGGATGAGCCATAAGCTGACGAACCGGTTCTGTGTGTGTGTGTGTGTGTGTGTTTCAGGGGTGTTGAGCAGCGACAGCGAGGGCGAGACGCCTCTCCGGACTCCAGCTCAAAAGGCCAATCCGGTGTTTTCCCCCGAGGTCAGACTGCTGTGAGATTTGTCATGTGACACTAGCTCTGTTCACTCCACATAAACACTAACATGCTCAGAACTACACATGCTCTTGTTTTGGATCTGATAACATGTCATGCACATAAACTAAGATGGAAACACTTTTCCAGAATAAATCTCTCAAAGCTCATGTGACTCAGCAGAGGCTGTGATTGGATAACTGGAGTAACCAGTGGACCAATGGCATCGCAGCGTCTCTAATGAAACGCAAAATCAGAATTCACAGTCCGCTTAAATTTTTAGTGTTGATTAACACTTCTAATCATTTATTAATCTTAGTTAATGATACTTTCATCGTTTATTGATTCATTATTAAAAGTTGTGTCTGTTAATATTGTTTAATGGATCTGAGCCGACACAGCTTTTTTTTTCATCAATTAAAATTAATACATTCTGTAATAAATGCATTGCTCATGCTTCATGTTAGCATCACCGTTGCGTTCAGTCATCTCGTATGAAGGAGAGGAGAGTCACAGGCTTTTCTGTTTGCTCATCGTTCTATCTTTTATGACTGATATTTTGCGCCGGTTTCCCAGGAAGTGACGATTTTGTTGTCTTGAAAGCATGGGATGGAAACACAAACACTGCATGATGTGCAACAGTCTATGCCATATTCTGACTACACAAGTTTAATTAGCATCTTTGGATGAATGCTGAGATAAAGAGTAATTTAGAAGTGATGCCAAACATGTGTGTGTGTGTGTGTGTGTGTGTGAGCAGTCGAAGATGTGCAGTGACGTGGAGTCGCCCGTTCAGGCTCGCAGGAAACCCGCCGCTGCGCTGATCACGGTACGCCTGCGCTTCATTGGCTCGCGTTACGCTGTGTTTTCGCCATGGTGTTCATTGTGGTGTTTTTCAGTCGGAGGACAGCGACGATTTCCAGGAGGACGCTCCTCATCGGCCCAGCGACGCCAAGCCCCGTCACCGCAGAGAGCCTCGCGTACGTCACACACCCCAACACACGGTCCAGTCGAGTCTCCTTTATTTATACAGCGCAGAGCACAGCTTCACTGAGAGAACAGGACAATAATCAAGCAGATTTTTGTTGTAAAAGTTATTAATTTAGTTCATATACACATGCATATATGTGTCATCGATGATGTCATCGTCCAGCTCAGTCTCATGTAATGCTGTCGGTGCAGGAGATCAGAGATATTGAGGATTATTAAATGTGTGTTCCAGAAGGTTCTGCGTCGCACGGCCCGGCAGTTTCTGGACGAGGAGGCCGAGCTCTCGGAGGAAGAGGAGGTTTCGTCCGATGAAGATGATGGAGATGAACAGAACCGTTCACTGCAGGGGTTTGTGGTCAACACGACCCAGTGCTCTCAGGGTCTGAACGGTGAGATCTGCTGAACACACACACACACGCGTACACACACTGCTGCTTAAAAGTTTGTTTTTTTGTTTATTTTTTAAAACTTAATCAGCAAGAAGTGCCAGTAAAGACATCTATGATGTTACAAAAGCTTCGATTCATCAAAGACTCCTGAAATTGATCTCAGGTTCCTCTGAAATCTGATTCAGCACATCTCCGATAATAATCATAAATGTTTGTTGATCATATCATATTAGAGTGGTTTGTGAAGGGTCATGTGACACTGAAGACTAGGGATTAATCGCATCCAAAATAAAAGTTTGTGTTTACATAATAAATGTGTGTGTAGTGTGTATATTCAATTTGTAAATATAAATACCCACACATGCATGTATATATTTAAGAAAAATGTGTTATTAATATATTTATATTTATATATAATATTAATTGTGAATAAATATATATAAAATATATACATGCACATATTTCTTAAATATATATTTATATTTACAAATTAAATATACACACTACACACACATATATTATGTAAACACAAACTTTTATTTTAGATGCGATTAATCGTTGCCCATCCCTACTGAAGACTGGAGTAATGATTGATTTGATCACAGGAATAAATTACACTTTACTGTATATCCACATAGAGAACAGATGATTTACATTATAATCATATTTTTACTGTATTTCTGATCGTCAGTGTTTATTCTCTCCCTGTAAGAAAGGCCAGTCTCAGAAGAAACATCAAGTAAGGATCATTTTCATTTGTGCCGTTCTGTGTTTCTTCATCAGACTCTGAGATGCAGGCGTTCTATCTGAAGTCGGTGAGGAGTCCGGCGCTGCAGAACCGGGTCCGGATGACGTATAAACCCAAACACAACGTCAATGTGTTCTCACAGGCGAGTTCTTACAGACCACCATCACATCCAATCCCACCACAGCTATCCAATCAAACTGTGTGTGTGTGTGTGTGCCGCAGGTGCCGGAACAGGACGAGACGTACGCAGAAGACAGCTTTGTGTTTGATGGCAGTGAAGATGAAGATGAGGAGGGGGGTGTGTGTGACGAAGAGCCCGTGGAGCTGATCGCCGAAGACTCGTACGTGGACGGCCGGAGACTCTACGCCACGCGCCGCAGGGTCCGCATCCGAGCCGCGAACGCCACGCTTCAGCCGGAGAGAAGCAAGCGCTCCCGGATCCTGCGTGTTCAGGACTCCAGTGAGGAAGAGGAGGAGCGTGAGGGACGAGACTCTGTGTTTAAGGTCCCGCAGTGTGTCCAGAAGCGGCAGAGACTGGCGGAAGAGCTCCACGTCCACACGGAGAAACCGGTGAGACTCGTCATGTGACGTCCTGGACGTCCTTGTGTTGATATAGTGTGTGTAACAGTGTCTCGTGTGTGTTTGCAGGAGAGTGTGTCCGACGCTCCTCTGAGGGTGTTAGTGGACAGCCGCTGCATCAGCTCGGGGTCAGAGGTCGTGTCTCGTCTGCGTCTGCGCCACGGCCTGCAGGTTCAGGTGTGTTCCCTGGTCAGCGCAGACTTCATCGTGAGCAGCCGCATGTGTGTGGAGTTGCAGAGCGAGTCCGAGGTCTCGAGCGTTCAGAACCGCAGACGCCTGACGGAGCGCATCCAGCGGCTGCAGGAGCAGTACGAGCGCGTGTGTGTGATCCTGCAGAGTGACCGCTGCAAACCGGGTACTAATTACTCTCTCTAAAAAGTATTTAATTACTTTGAATTACTAATTACTTTCAAAATCCCATATCAATTTCAACCAGCTGAATAATACAAGGATAGACATGAATCTGTTTTAATTCTTTCAAATAAATACTATAAATTGCATGAATTATCCTTAAACTGACCAAGGTGGAGAAGCTTACATTATAAAAACATACTTTTTAGCATCAGACAATACATTTTGATGTTAAACCCACTGTTGTTTTATGTCTGATCTCATGACATTTCACACTTTTTTCATACATATTTTACAATAATTCATACGAATTTGTACGAGTGCGGTCGTACGATTTAGAAACAGTATTTACCTCAATTAGATCAGAAGTAACTGTAATTAAATTACAGATAAATGAAGAGTAATCCCTTTCTTTACATTTTAAAGGGAAAAGTAATTACATTACAGTAACTAATTAGTAACTTATAACTTAGTAATTAGTTACACCCAACACTGACTGCTCATGATCACGTGACTCAGTGGCTGCGTTTACATGAACAACTTTAGTTTCAATCGGATTGAATTTATTCCGATTGATGAATCTGAGTGTAGTGTTTACATGAGCGTGATCGGGTTGATGTGTGTTAATGTGTCACAAGCTTCAAATCGGAATTTCGTTCCGTGCGCCATGCATCATTACGCTATTTATTTCAACATCATCGCACATGCGCGGTCGCATTTCGGTTTTCAATACGATCAAGACTTTACATGTTCTCTCGATCAGATTAGAAAAGGAATAAACCGACCCTTTCAATCCGATCGAGATGTCATTGGGATGAGTTTTACATGAAGGTGTTTCAGTCCGATAGAGCCGTCAATCCCATTACTAACGGATTATTGGGTTGCACGTTAGTGAATCAATCAGAACTAACTTTATCTGGACAGTAACTTTATTCTAGATCTGCTGTAAAGCCTAAACACTCTCTGTGACAGTAATCTCCTGTTCTCACTGTAAAGCTGCTGTCGAACTCTACTGAATAGATGAAGGAGACGTGACTTGACACTCATGATCACATGACACTTTTCTCTCATGATGTCAGGCGAGGTGGCGCGAGTGTTTCAGCGCAGCCGCTCTTACGACGGGACACTAGCGGCGCTGGTGAAGGCGGGCGTCCGGCTCCTGGTCAGCAACGGCCCGGACCAAACCGCCTCGATTCTGAGTGACCTCACGCATGTGGAGAGCAGGAAAGGTCAGGCTATCGACGTACCCCTGGAGGTTAAAGGTCACCGGCAGCAGGCTCTTCAGTTCTGCCTGACGCTGCCGAACGTGAGCTACATCACTGCGCTGAACATGTGCCATCGCTACAGCTCCGTCGGTCACATGATCCGCAGGTACGTGAACTGCACACCCGTTCCTGAAATGAAGTGACTCTGGCCTGACTGAAGTGAAGTGATTCTGGCCTGACTCTGGGTTAAAGTGAAGTGACTCTGGCCTGACTGAAGTGAAGTGACTCTGGCCTGACTGAAGTGAAGTGATTCTGGCCTGACTCTGGGTTAAAGTGAAGTGACTCTGGCCTGACTGAAGTGAAGTGACTCTGGCCTGACTCTGGTTTAAAGTGAAGTGACTCTGGACTGACTGAAGTGAAGTAACTCTGGCCTGACTCTGGTTAAAAGTGAAGTGACTCTGGCCTGACTCTGGTTAAAAGTGAAGTGACTCTAGACTGACTGAAGTGAATTGACTCTGGACTGACTCTGGTTTAAAGTGAAGTGACTCTGGCCTGACTCTGGTTTAATGTGAAGTGACTCTGGCCTGACTCTGGTTTAATGTGAAGTGACTCTGGCCTGACTCTGGTTTAAAGTGAAGTGACTCTGGCCTGACTCTGGTTAAAAGTGAAGTGACTCTGGCCTGACTCTGGTTAAAAGTGAAGTGACTCTGGCCTGACTCTGGTTAAAAGTGAAGTGACTCTAGACTGACTGAAGTGAATTGAGTCTGGACTGACTCTGGTTTAAAGTGAAGTGACTCTGGCCTGACTCTGGTTTAAAGTGAAGTGACTCTGGCCTGACTCTGGTTAAAAGTGAAGTGACTCTGGCCTGACTCTGGTTAAAAGTGAAGTGACTCTGGCCTGACTCTGGTTAAAAGTGAAGTGACTCTGGCCTGACTCTGGTTAAAAGTGAAGTGACTCTAGACTGACTGAAGTGAATTGACTCTGGACTGACTCTGGTTTAAAGTGAAGTGACTCTGGCCTGACTCTGGTTTAAAGTGAAGTGACTCTGGCCTGACTCTGGTTAAAAGTGAAGTGACTCTGGCCTGACTCTGGTTAAAAGTGAAGTGACTCTAGACTGACTGAAGTGAAGTGACTCTGGACTGACTCGGGTTTAAAGTGAAGTGACTCTGGCCTGACTCTGGTTTAAAGTGAAGTGACTCTGGCCTGACTCTGGTTAAAAGTGAAGTGACTCTGACCTGACTCTGGTTAAAAGTGAAGTGACTCTAGACTGACTGAAGTGAAGTGACTCTGGACTGACTCTGGTTTAAAGTGAAGTGACTCTGGACTGACTCGGGTTTAAAGTGAAGTGACTCTGGCCTGACTCTGGTTTAAAGTGAAGTGACTCTGGCCTGACTCTGGTTAAAAGTGAAGTGACTCTGGCCTGACTCTGGTTAAAAGTGAAGTGACTCTGGACTGACTCTGGTTTAAAGTGAAGTGACTCTGGACTGACTCGGGTTTAAAGTGAAGTGACTCTGGCCTGACTCTGGTTTAAAGTGAAGTGACTCTGGCCTGACTCTGGTTAAAAGTGAAGTGACTCTAGACTGACTGAAGTGAAGTGACTCTGGACTGACTGCAGTGAAGTGACTCTGGACTGACTGAAGTGAAGTGACTCTGGTTTCTGCTGTGTGTTTCAGCTCAGTGCAGGATCTGCAGGCGTGTGCGCGTGTGAGCCGCTCCCGAGCCGAGGGCATCTACCGCTGCCTGCGCTACAGCTACTGCTGCTAATGCTAACTCGCTCACTCTGTGCACTTTAACACATTATGAACTATTGATTTATTATGATGATGTCACACAGACGGGGGAATAATCAGGATCATATCGTGATGTCAGTGTGTGTTTTCTGTTAAGGAAAGTTCTGTACAGATCGGATTATGAATGTTGCCATAATGGTAATTCTGTCATGAAATATTTATGTTTACAGGGGCCATTTTAAGAAATAAAAGAGCTCTCTGTTTTTAATAACTTCTCAGCTGTTTTCTCCTTCAGCATAACTGTGTGTGTGTGTGTGTGTGTGTGTGTGTGTGTGTGTGTGTGTGTGTGTGTGTGTGTGTGTGTGTGTGTGTGTGTGTGTGTGTGTGTGCGAGACTGTGTGAGAGTGTGTGTGTCAGGTTGAGGTCTAGGTTTGAGCCACTAGAGGGCGGTGGACTCCACTGGATCTTCCTCACGGCTCTTCATCATACAGTAATGAACTGGTAAAGTGTGTGTGTTCTCGTCGGTCTACAGCAGGAGTTCACACTGGGACCAGCACAGAAGTCGTCTTGTTTATTCCAGCAAAGGTAAGACAAATAGACTAATGTTCCATACTCATTTATTCACTGCTGATGTGTGTGTAACACGTGTTCCCTCGAGATTCATGAAGTACAAACACTGACAGGCATCGATCCATCTCATACTATTTACATTCATAACACTAGAGAACTAAAACAGATGATGCACATCTATCATATATACAGGAATATGACGTGTCAGCAACTAGCCACATGTTTAAGGTGCGTGTCAAGATTAAATAACATCTAGAAAATGATTCTGTGCATGTAAACATGTAGGACCATGTGACCGTTTCTGGACCAATCTGCTGGTCTGAGAGTCTCTTCATGTAATCGTGACATCAGGAATCAGCTCTTCTGATCTTTGCATTTAAACATTTACTTTTACAATCAATATGTCAAATGGTGTAACTGAAGAGAAAGTAATGCGCAATATCAGGAGACGTGCCAAACTCGTACACTACAGTTCAGAAGCTGATCAGAAATACAGTCAAACAGTGAAATATGATTATAAAGTAATTAATCATCTGTTCTCTATGTGGATATATACAGTAAAGTGTAATTTATTCCTGTGATCAAATCAATCATTACTCCAGTCTTCAGAGTCACATGACCCTTCAGAAATCACTCTAATATGAGGATCTGATGATCAACAAACAGTTATGATTATTATCGGTGTCGAACACATTTCATATTTGTGAGAAAACTGTGATACATTTTATTTTTCAGGATTCTTTGATGAATATAGTTAAAAAGAACAGCATTTATTTGAAATATGGGTAATCTTTTGTAACAATATAAATGTCTTTACTGTCACTTTTGATCAATTGAATGCATCAGTGATGAATTAATTAATTTAAATAATTAAAAAAAATAAAAATAAATATATATATATATATATATATATATATATATATATATTTTTTTTTTTTTTTAAATGCACCCCAACCTTCTGAACGATAGTGTACCAACAGTAGGGCAGAGGCATTAAAATTCAACTTTACCTCAGTTTCCTCTCAAAAATTCAGTGTTTTCATCAAAGACTTTCACTTGTTATGAACTCAGATAAAGATGTTTGCTGTTGCAGCATTAAAGGAACATTTCGCACATCTTTTCTGACAGTGTGATAAACAGCCAGTATGTTAAGACTCTTTTGACCAACTCGCAGTTATTGAATATAATCTAATGTATCCAATCTACCTTTAGGGAACTGAAATGGAAAAGTTATGACCAGTCTTGGATAAAAAAAAAATAAAAAAATTACATGACAAACTTGTAATACTAGTCCAAGCAGTTTATGCAGCCGCCACAGGATGGAAGAAATTAGTTTCAGACATGTTTTAAGTTCAAAAGCTCGTCTGGTCCATCCGTACGTCAGAAGATCCTTCAGTAGAAGCTTGCTACGCTAAAGTCACAGGTTCGATTCCCAGGGAAAAAAGGAACTGATCAAATCTTAAGGCCCGTTCACACCAAGAACGATAAGTTACGAGCGTCCACACCAATGCGTGAGAACGCTGTTTATAATAAGTGCGCTGTCGCTTTAAATGCTCTAGCAACCGTCTGGTGCTCTTCCTATGGCGATCAATGACAGGTTTTATTTCAATGAAAGGAATGTACTATATTTTAGTTTGATAATGTTTTTCATTTAATATTTTGTATTTTTATGTGATTTTATGGTACTAAATTATATTCACGCTGTATTTATATTCCATTTATTCACTTTTTGAGCATAGAGCTGAAATTCCTATTTCCAACTTAAACTGTGGTCAATCTGTAGAGCAACAGACCGAAGTTTGATCTCTTTGTAAATAAGACACTTGGCAGATATTCCTGAAGTGAAAAAAAGTATTACATTTATTGTTATGAAAAACATTTCTGAAGCCGTGGTGTGCCGACTTTTTTCCTTTTTTATGAAAAATGCTATTTTAAATTTTAGGAAATCTATCTTTATTTTAATCAAACATCTAATCAATTTGTGTTCCAAATTTGAGCTTGATATCTCAAAAGTTAGCTTGCGGTCAGATTGTGTTCGGCTGCAGTACCAAACGCCTCCACTAGATGAAATTCGTCTCCCGTCCAGTTCTGACTGCGAGGAGCGCAACTGTGACTATCTTTTTCAGGGCCATTTAACCTTTTCGAATCATGTCCATGATTTTTTTTATAGCAAGTGCCAAAACGTTGACCGAACTTCGTACCATTCCAATTTATCAAAAAATAAACATTTTCGGTCAAAAATGACCAAAGAGCACCAGATGCCGGGTTCAGACTACACAATATCTTTGCCTGTTACTATAGTCACGCTGTCAGATTACCCTGACCAATCATTGTTCCTCGTTGTCATTATCGTTATAGTTGTGCTGTAAACAATTTTAAAAACTATTATCTTTATCATAATAGTTATCATCTTTGGTGTACCTCTGAGAATCCTCGAACCCAATGGAGACTCAGTCGTCCCATTATTTTAGTGGTCCATCAAACGTGGAGAAACGTAAAGATCAGCAAGGTCATTCTCCAGCCTGATTGGTCCTTGTGTTCGCTGGCCTTTTCTCTATTGGACAGAAAGTCGTTCGGTCACAGGCCTCATGGACTCACAGTCCTTCGCTCCTTCGTCCTCGCGCATGTACATGAGGAAGAGCGTGACGGTGGCGAAGGTGGTGGCGTTCACAGGGAACGCCCTCAGGAGAGTCGAGGTCAGGCCGCGAGTGAACGCCCTCCACCCCTCCCTCCGCCAGCTCTGACGCACGCAATCCACGATCCCGCTGTACCTGTTGGCTCCGCCCACTCCGTCAGCCTGGAGGCGGGACTTAATGACGTCCACCGGATAGGTGGAGAGCCAGGATGCGATTCCCGACATGCCTCCCGCCAGGAGCAGCTTGGGAATGATGTATCCGTCGTCGGCTTCGCAGCGTAGCGATCGCGTTAGCGTGTCGTACGTGAGGAAGTAGATGCCGAAGCCTGGCGTCTCGCGGATCACGGTCGTCACCATTCCTCGGTTGATTCCCCGGATTCCCTCCTTCCGGTAGATTCGGATCAGGCAGTCCAGGGAGTTCTTGTAGAGCCTCCGGGTCGTGTTCTTCTGGCCCGTTCCTTGCGTCTGCATGCGGGTCTTGGCGAGCTCCATCGGGCAGCAGATGATGCACTGGATTAGCCCGGCCGCTGCGCCCGCTAGGAACTGGTGCCGCGGCGTATCCGCACCCAACATGCGCATGGCGTTCCCCTGGACGCCGAACACGATGGCGTTGATGAAGGTCAGGCCCATCATCGGGGAGCCGATGCCTTTATAGAGACCCAACATCTGCAGAAACACAAAGGGTTAATGAGGGCTAATGAAGAGCGAAGGGCTAATCCCAGCTAGCATTATCCGTCATTTCTCCGTCTCAGTGAACTATAGACCTGGTATAGTCCGGCTGGACAAAATAACCTTGAGTTTGCTTGTGGTTTTTTTATGATATTCCATCATGTACAAAAGTAAACCGTGATTACAAGGTGTTTGGTTTCATTTAATTTGGTGTTTCATTTCTTTATCTAATTGATGACCAGATCGGGCTGTGGTTTAGACCTTGGCTTGTTTTAGCCCAGACGTCAGGCTGTGTTTGGACAGATATTAGACGTTTTAATTATCGCAGAAGTGCTTGCTGGGATGTGTTCAGAACCTGAAACCCTTCGTCTCTCAGGTAAATATAGATGTTCCCTGAGCCGGATTTAGCTCTGCGTCTCGTCCACGGCTCGAGTGACTCCTGGAGCTCCGCTTATCCAGTTAACTACAACTACTGACATTCATCCTTCTGAATACCACTGGTAAATGATCTGATTTAATGATCCGCCGTTCAAGAACTTCAGTTCAGGTTATATCTTAAGCACATTTAAAGTTAGTAAGCTTTGTTGGGGACATTTAATTTAATATTCAGCAATATCTCTGATCTCCTGCACTGACAGCATTATATGAGATTGATCTGAGCTGGACGATGACATCACGGTTTCTCCAGAGCCGATATACATATATATATATCGCCCACAGGACTGCCACATACTGGATATTTTACCCTTTTCACTCAATTCTTTGTAAACCCTAGAAATGGTTGTGTGTGAAAATCCCAGTAACTGAGCAGATTGTGAAATACTCAGACCGGCCACGCTCAAAACTGCTTAAATCCCCTTTCTTTCCCATTCTGACATTCAGTTTGGAGTTCAGGAGACCACACCCCTAAATGCACTGAAGACACTGCCATGTGATTGGTTGATTAGATAATTGCATTAATGAGAAATTGAACAGGTGTTTATTAATAATCCTTCAGGTGAGTGTATATATCCGCTCTGGAGAAACCGTGATGTCATCGTCCAGCTCAGTTCAGTTCTCATATAATGCTGAATATTAAATGAAATGTCCTGAATTAAGCAAGCCAAAGGCGAGAGAGCCCTGACTAGTAGATAGTAACCGTAATAAATGAATCCCACTCACTGTTTCTTGTCGGACGATGGACTGGAAGCAGTGGTACGTCCCGCGATACAGGGGCTTCTCCACACTCTGGACCTGCAGCCGCACCTGAAACACACACACACACACACACACACACTCATTACTCTGGACTCGCAGGAGCGCTTGACCAACAGCTGAATGAAGAGATCTGGGTGATGTTTGTCCGGCTGTGTGTGGATTTACATTCATTTACTCTCGAGGGTAACCGCCTCTCTCGTCTACAACAGAGCAATATTCTGCTGTGAGAGACCCGTCGGCTGAGAGGTTTGATCAGGTTACAGGACCAGAGGAGGATCTACTCTCACCACGCCGTCCGAGATCTCCATGCCTTTCTGTCTTCAGTGGAAGAGAAATGGAGGTTTTTGAGGAACACACTGTGGGGTTTTATATCTCGGATGTCGTAAGGTCAAGCGTGACGTAGGCATAAGAACAGACCAGAGTTTACAAAGCGGAGTTAAACCCCATTTATAACCTAAACATTTCAAATAAAAGGTAAAACAACGCATCAGATGATTTAGAAGTTGGAGGGAAATGTGATGAGAGTTTTTCGCTCTACATTTATAATCGGGAACACGCGAGACCCGCGTAAAACTCATTAACTCGTAATGAAATTGTCCGACATTGTTGTTTTACCTTTTATTTTTTATTTATATATTTTATAAATGGCGTTTGACTCCATCTCCGCTCAGTCTTCACTGGGTTTGTTCTTACGCCTACGTCACGCTTGACCTTTCACCCTGATCTCGTAATGCAGCTCGAGCAACACCAGCATTAGTGGTTAAAGTATATAAATGTGTATTTTGTTATAAATGTCGCTGGTTTGTCTAGATCAGACTCTTATTCCTCGGCTGGATCGTGTCGAGTCTTTGAAACTCACATCTGACCTTCGACCCGTTGGACCCCATTGAAGACACTATATGGAGAAACCCTGGAGTGTGTTCCTCACAAACCTTCATTTCTTCTGGACTGAAGAACGAAACACATGAACATCTCGGAGGACGAGAGTAACTCATCAGGAGATTGTGATTCTGAAGTGAACACGAGCTCATGTGAGACTCCATCTTGCCCTGTGCCTTTCGCTGTTAGTTTACATTCACAGAAACACACATGCAACACTAATGACAAAACAACCTGATTTACTCAATGTGTTAGCAATACACACCTCTGACCGTTTGTGTGAGTTTCATATCCAGTGAGAGTTTGTCATTATTCTCTTAAATTAAAGACATGCTTCAAAAGATTTACCAGATGCTTTTATCCAGAGAAACTTGAGGTTTTAGATGCATCTACTTGGTTGTTTCCCTTTAATGATCAGTTCTTTTATTTTTTAGAGGAGGATCATCTAAAGAAGAAGAGGAGGATCATCTAAAGATTGGTGTGGAGGATTCACTGTTTGGGGTTCTCCATGAAGCCGTTGATGCCGGTAAAGAACCTTGAGTTTTACGAGTGATTTACATTGAAGTGTGTGTGTGTGTGTGTGTGTGTGTGTGTGTGTCGTGCGTTCAGTGTCGGAGCCGGACGTACCTTCACCGTGTCGAACGGGTGACCGACCAGAACACCAGCGGCTCCTGCAACATCACAACACTCAGTCAGAACTGCGACCCAGAGACTCCCTGGAGTCGAACCCGCGATCAGGTGTTGCGATCTCATGAACTCAGATCATCTATACAGCGACACACTCACGTCTCCCTCTATACAGCGACACACTCACACACACTCACGTCTCCTCCATCAATACAGCGCTTTAACACTCTAGAGTTCACAGCAGCTTTACAGAGAGAACAGGAGATTACAGTCACAGAGAGTGTTTACAGCAGATCTAGAATAAAGTTACTGTCCAGATAAAGTTAGTTCTGATTGGTTAGAAGCCGCTGGTGTGTGTGTGTGAGCATGTCAGGCCTGGTGTGTGTGATGCAATCGTGTCTGAGCTGCAGTCCTTGACCTGCGAAACCTGCGTCATCCGAGCATGTGCCAACAGCACAGAGCCGCGAAACACACACTCGCAGCAGACGTGTGTGTGTTTTCTCTAGTGTGATCAGGACACTATAGTTCACTTCTGTGAGTGACGAGAGCAAATACAGTAAACTGAGACATATTACACACAATAATTCTTCATACGGTGACATTAATAAACTGACTCCTCCACTGTGAGCTGATGATGTTCTGCCGAAGTGTGTTTTCTGCTCTTTTTACACACACACTGAACAACATTCGCATTGCTTGGTCACTGGTTGAGCTAAACTGGTATTCTCTAATTGTGTCGTTCAATTGATCAGCTGACAGATATTCAACATAATTCATGTGTGAGAGTCCAACAGAAGGACAAAACCAGTCACATATCAAACACTGAGTTCTGCTCACATTTATCACCATTTACTCAACTATAGCCCATACACTGATGATGGGAGGAGTGCTGAGTGTGTGTGTGTGTGTGTGTGTGTGTGTGTGTGTGTGTGTGTGTGTGTGACTACTTGTGCTTCACAGGATCAGTTTGAGCTTTACTTCTAACAGAAGGTTTGATGAGCGGAGCTACTAAACAGGTTTCTGAGACGCTCCTCACACACACACACACACACACACACACACACACACTCTGCTGCTGTGTTATCTGTGTGTCTGAAACGCCGCTGTCGAACTGAAGCTCATGCACTGTCGCTCTTCTAACCGCATTATTCGACTGATTCTGTGCTTTCAGTGCAGTGGCACGACTTACCCCCAATGCACCCTGCAGCAAAGTCCATAGCTATTCCTGAGATGATGAAGATGAAGAAGAGCTCGTCCTGATCTCCTGATGGTGTGTGTGTGTGTGTGTGTGTGTGTGTGTGTGTGTGTGTGTGTGTGTGAGAGCTCTCGAGCAGCTGCTGCGGAGGCACACGCTATTTTTACTGAATGAAGTTGATATGAAGGGGAAAGTCCATCGCTGACCAATAGAAGCTCGAGGATGAAGAAACACCCCATCATCATCATCATCAACTCATAATGAGCTGGGTCTGTTTTACAGTCACTTATTATCGTTAACTAGAAACAGAAACACGTTACTAAAAATTTTGCTAACACTTTACAATAAGCTTCAACATTACTGTATTAACTAACAAAGAGCAATAGATTTATTACAGTATTTACAGTAGTTCACAATGAAAATTAATTGTTCATGTTAGTTCACTAATGTTAACTAGTACAACCTTTCATTTTAATAGCATATTAGTAAATATTGAAATTAATATTAATAACATTAATAAATGCTATACATTACAGTATTGCTCAGTCTTAGTTCATGTTAACTAATGGACTTTATTGTAAAGTGTTACCAATTACAATAACATTTATTTTGTTTCCGCTATTGCCAAGGCAACAGTTCTCATCGAATACTAAAGTAACTCAAACGAAATAATAAATGGGAAATGTAGCACAAAAAAAAAAACTATTTATTTTCATTTCAGTTTCAAAGAGTTTATATTTTGCCATTAAAATAGCCGTGACGTGTCCATAAAATATAAACAATTTGTAGAAATAAAACGGATTGTCGGGTTTGATCGTTCAGATCTGCGTCTAAAACTCGCGACTGTCACTTTAAATGTTCCTCCTCCTCGTCAGTGACATGATGAAGAGCAGCGCCACACCGCGGACACACACTGCAGGAACACACTGATCTGACACTCGCTGGCTCTATATTTCATACAGCTGATGTTCATATTTTCTGCGACTGTAAATCATAGAGATAATCAGAAGCAACAGCGCGCGCGCGCCCGTCACTGTGAACGAGTATGTTCTGGACACGGTGACCTTCGGGTTCACATTACCGCAATGACAAAAGCGACACACACACACACACATATCAGTATACAAGACAAGGTACGCGCTTCTCTTCATCATTGTTCTTCATCATCATCAACATCATGAAGACGTTTCTTGGCTGACGTCACGAGTTCCGCGGGTCGAACCGGATGATTCCGATGCTTGTGTTTGATCGGTTCCGATAGGTTCGGTTCCTCTGATCGGTTTTGCTGATTCATTTCCTCTGATCGGTTCTTCTGGTGTGGTTCCTCTGATCGGTTCGGTTCCTCTGATCAGTTCTGGTTCGGATCGCGATGCATCTCGCGGATTTCATCGCCGGTTCTGTCGGAGGTTCGTGACCGTTTCTCAGTGTGTGAATGTGACATTAATAATTCTCCATGGAAGTTTATTTACACAAAGCGAAAGTATCTCATTCATTGCTTCACCATGTATGATACGATTAAATACATAAATTGTTAAAGATAAAAGAGGGTTTTCTGACAACTTGTGTGTACGGAAATGGAAAGTGCAGTTATGAATCTTTCACTTGTGTCTGATGTTAAATGTGCTCTTTTAAAGTTCTAGAAAATGCTAATTAGTGCATCCTAATGGATAAATGCGCACTGGAGAACAACTGTAGATTCTGTAATGCGTTAGATTAGAGTCTTATGAAGAATCATATTCATAAATGAGTCTTGTAGTTTTGAGTGTGTGTGTGTGTGTGTTCAGGAGCGTTTGGAGTGGCGGTGGGGTATCCGCTGGACACCGTGAAGGTAAAACCCTTCATCATCATCATCATCCTCACCTGATCATAGGTGTGTGTCTAACGGCTGCTGATGTTGCAGGTGCGACTCCAGACACAGACTCAGTATTCCGGCGTTTGGGAGTGTGTGAGCAGAACCTGCAGAACTGAAGGCGTGAGTATCAGATTGATCAGATTGGCTTGATTGTGTCTGTGGGGAATGGATTGGATGGTTGTGGTTTGCTATTGGCTGAGCTCACGTGAGCGTCAGGTCATAGCCCCGCCCACATCATGAGATGTTATTCCGGGTTCTCATCACACTGGTGTGTTGCAGGTGGGCGGGTTCTACCGAGGGATGTCGATGCCGCTGACCACCGTCTCCATCAGCTCGTCTCTGGTGTTCGGCACGTACAGGAACGTCCTGCAGTCGCTGCATCAGATGCGGCACAGAAGCGCAGCGGATCCGCATCATAAGGCTGATATCCTTCTGTCCGGGTTCTGCGGAGGCGTCGCTCAGGTGCGCTTCATCGCTTCACACACACAGACTGTATAAAACACTGGGCGAAGTGTGTGTGATGTCACCCGTCGTGTTTTTGAAGCCCAAAGTGGGCGGAGCCGGACGTCGCCATCTTGGCCGCGCGTCACTTCTGGATAAACGTATGTGCAGTGGCGGATTAGCTGAGGTGATATGACACTAACGCTAGCAGTGACATCAGCGGCAATCCACCTGTCACTCAAGTGGCCACGCCCTTAATTATGCAGAACTTTAAGTCTTAATATAATTTAAACGGATGAGCTATGAGAACTCTCACCCGCCTCACAGTCCTCATGAAGGGCAACATTAGCGATATAGAGCAAAACCACTTTTAGCACCAGACTGTAAACATGTTTTATTCTGCATTTTAACAAGCGGGTCAATGGGAGTGAGTCTCTCCTGCAGCGCCTCTAGTGGCCCGTGGAGGAACTGCAGTCTAACTCAGAGAGTCAGAGAGTGTTGAGAGAGAGAGAAACCGCAAGGTGGTGCTTGTTCACACACACACACATTATGTGTCAGTAAAAATGTATCACCTCACAATATATCACAATACAAAAATACAACAATATTTATTGTGTATGGTTCACCCAAAATGAAAATTACTGTGTGAGAAAAAATAGTTCATAATCATGAATATAGTTATTCTGTCGTCTCTGTTGTCCAGCGTGTGTAAGCCTCTGTGTGTGTGTGTGTGTGTGTGCAGGTGCTGGTGATGTCTCCCGCAGACATGGTGAAGGTCCGTCTGCAGTGTCAGGCTGAAGGGCGGCGATACAGAGGCCCGCTGCACTGCCTGCTCAGAATCGCCCGAGACGAGGGTCCGCTGGGTCTCTATAAGGGTTCTGCCGCACTAGCGCTGCGAGACGGACCCTCGTTCGCCACTTACTTCCTCACTTACAACAGCATCTGTGATGCGCTGTCTGCAGAGAACCAGCGGCCGGGTGAGACCCGAGCATCAGGGACATATCAGGAACTGTCAGCAGGCGTGGGCGGGTCTATGCTAATAGGGCGGAGTCTATCAGCAGATGTGGGCGGGTCTATGCTAATAGGCGGAGTCTATCAGCAGATGTGGGCGGGTCTATGCTAATAGGGCGGAGTCTATCAATAGATGTGGGCGGGTCTATGCTAATAGGCGGAGTCTATCAGCAGATGTGGGCGGGTCTATGCTAATAGGCGGAGTCTGTCAGCAGATGTGGGCGGGTTTATGCTAATAGTCGGAGTCTGTCAGCAGATGTGGGCGGGTCTATGCTAATAGTCAGAGTCTGTCAGCAGTTGTGGGCGGGTCTATGCTAATAGGGCGGAGTCTGTCAGCAGATGTGGGCGGGTCTATGCTAATAGGCGGAGTCTGTCAGCAGATGTGGGCGGGTCTATGCTAATAGGGCGGAGTCTGTCAGCAGATGTGGGCGGGTCTATGCTAATAGGCGGAGTCTGTCAGCAGATGTGGGCGGGTCTATGCTAATAGTCGGAGTCTGTCAGCAGATGTGGGCGGGTCTATGCTAATAGGGCGGAGTCTGTCAGCAGATGTGGGCGTGTCTATGCTAATAGGCGGAGTCTGTCAGCAGATGTGGGCGGGTCTATGCTAATAGGCGGAGTCTGTCAGCAGATGTGGGCGGGTCTATGCTAATAGGGCGGAGTCTGTCAGCAGATGTGGGCGGGTCTATGCTAATAGTCGGAGTCTGTCAGCAGTTGTGGGTGGGTCTATGCTAATAGTCGGAGTCTGTCAGCAGATGTGGGCGGGTCTATGCTAATAGTCGGAGTCTGTCAGCAGTTGTGGGTGGGTCTATGCTAATAGGGCGGAGTCTGTCAGCAGATGTGGGCGGGTCTATGCTAATAGGCGGAGTCTGTCAGCAGATGTGGGTGGGTCTATGCTAATAGGCGGAGTCAGCAGTTGTGGGCAGGTCTATGCTAATAGGGCGGAGTCTGTCAGCAGTTGTGGGCAGGTCTATGCTAATAGGGCGGAGTCTGTCAGCAGATGTGGGCGGGTCTATGTTAATAGTCGGAGTCTGTCAGCAGTTGTGGGTGGGTCTATGCTAATAGGGCGGAGTCTGTCAGCAGATATGGGCGGGTCTATGTTAATAGTCGGAGTCTGTCAGCAGTTGTGGGTGGGTCTATGCTAATAGGGCGGAGTCTGTCAGCAGATGTGGGCGGGGCCTGTGCAATGTGACGTCACATTGCTTAACGGCTCATTTTGAGACACTGTTTCAAATTTATTAAAAAAAAATAACAAACAAGGTGGATTGATTGTTGGCACGACGGTTGTGTACACACTGCTGACATGTTAAAAAACAATATAAAAGTGAATTTTGCATAAAAAACGAGACCTTCCCAGACTTCTGAGGTTGTCTATGAAAGCCTGTAAACCGATATTTATTAACATCTTGTACCTTAGCGAGCTTTGCTTCATTTATACAATGTTTCCATCATGTGATCATTTTAGGGATTTGGTTTTAATCGATTAATTTAGCTCTAATTAATTTTTAATTGAATTTTCTGAATTAAGCAGCTCGTAATGATCCTTTATCACTAGAAAGAGCTCTCTCATACGGAGCACTAGAGGTGTGTGTGACCGCAGTGTGTGTTGTGTCGTCAGGCTGGCCGGTGGTCCTGCTGGCCGGTGGGGTGTCTGGGATGTGTGGCTGGGCCGTGGGGACGCCGATGGACGTGATCAAGGCCCGTCTGCAGGTGTCCGGCGTGAGCGGCCGGCTCTACAGAGGCTTCTTCCACTGCGTCACACACAGCGTGCGGACCGAAGGCATCGGCGTCCTGTTCAGAGGCCTGACGCTCAACTGCATCCGCGCCTTCCCCGTCAACATGTCCGTCTTCGCCACGTATGAACTGGTGATCCGCTTCCTGCGTCCGGCGTCCTGAACATCAGCCTCACATCTTCTGGATCCTGCACAATGTTTAATATCATGTGTGTGTGTTGTAATGTGTATGTGAGTGTTTTGCAGTGTCTACCTCAGATGCTGAAGAGCATCATGTGACTGTCGAAGGGTTTGACCCCTAACTCACTAACCACCGTCCTCTGAGACTGCAGTCCTGCGAGTCCCTGAACACACACGAGCGCTCGGCTGTGTTTACATCTAAAGCTGGGAGTTTAACTGGAGTGTTGCAGAATACATTTGAGAATAACGCAGCGTTTCCAAGTCATGTGTTTAATCTGAACGTCATCATCACTTCCTGGAAACTGGCTCAAATATCAGTAATAAAAGTGTGTTTCTGCAATCGGCTGTTCTCCCTCCATCATAAACGAGTGTGTGTCGAGCGTTACCGTAAACGTGTGTGTGTCGAGCGTCAGACGAAACGCAGTCACCGCTGTCGTGTTCTCTGGTGTTCGGGAGCACACTCGTGTGTGTGTGTGTGTGTGTGTGTGAGACGCTTCTGGAGGAATTACACCCAATCACTCTGAACTGAACACACACTTCGACTCCGGCGTTTCAGAAACACCAAACCAACATTAGAGACGCTGCGACGCCATTGGTCCGCTGGTTACTCCAGTTATCCAATCACAGCTGACGCAGAGTCACGTGAGGTTTGAGGGATTTATTCATTTCTATTATATTCATGTGCACGTCTTCTTATCAGAAGTTTAAGCATTTTTATAATTTACCCTCATTTTGTGATTTCAATCCAGCGTTTTGTTTTGCGCGATCTGAAAGCAGTTTGAAGGAAATGAGCGAGTGTTAGTCAGTTAACCCTTTAATGTCAGCGGTGTGTGAGCGTTCACACACACGTCATGCACAGATCAGTGTGGGACTGATATTCAGACCCGTGAGGACAGCGAGTTCATCTCCGTGACGACGGCGTGTCGTTAGCAGTTGAAGTGTAGCTTGCGCGGGGTCATGAAGTGTCGCACCGTCTCGTCGGTCACCAGCTTGCGTCTCTCCTGATGCGCCGCGATCATCGGCTGGAGCGTCTCGATCAGACGCTTCTTCAGCTCGCCCGTCAGCAGCGCTCCGCTCCGGTAGTCCTGACACACACACACACACACACTTACAGGTCATGCTTTTACTTTCAGTGAGTACACACACACACACACACACACACACACACACACACACACACACAGCTCCAACACTTCAGCAGAACATCATCAGCTCACAGTGGAGGAGTCGGTTTATTAATGTCACTGTATGAAGAGTTATTGTGTGTAATATGTCTCAGTTTACTGTATTTGCTCTCGTCACTCACAGAAGTGAACTATAGTGTCCTGATCACACTCGTCTGGTGTGTGTGTGTGATGACATCATCAGTGTTTGCGCTCACCTGCCGGATCTTCTCCAGCTGTTCGTCGTCTTCCAGGAAGAACGTCAGATACATGAAGGAGACGTCCACGTCTGGGTTCCCGCCGAGCTTGCGGTGTTCCTCGACCGTGTCCTTCCCGCCGGAGAACGCGTGTTTGTTGACCTGCGGCGAGAAGAGGGCGGTGTTATCATCTCTCCTCGGCACAACGACTCCAGGTCACATGGGTACTTTTGCCTTCTCGAGTCTCGAGCCAAACACTGTCGTGTGCGAATGAGCAGCCGGAACACATTAAGGGTTTCTGTTCGTGTTAGCGGACGCTAATTAATCACTAACGATCTCTGTAGATCAATCAGAACTAACTTTATCTGGACAGTAAGTTTATTCTAGATCTGCTGTAAACACTCTCTGTGACTGTAATCTCCTGTTCTCTCTGTAAAGCTGCTGTGAACTCTAGAGTGTTAAAGCGCTGGATAGATGAAGGAGACGAGAGTGTGTGTGAGTGTGTGTCGCTGGATAGATGCAGTCATGAGTTGCTGCTAGTTCAGTCGTGATGAGGGTGAGGTGTGTGTGTGTGTGTGTTGATGAGGGTGATGTGTGTGTGTGTGTGTGTGTGTGTTGATGAGGGTGATGTGTGTGTGTGTGTGTGTGTGTGTGTGTGTGTTGATGAGGGTGACGGCACCTTGTTCTTGATCTGTTTGGCCGTGTCCGTGAGGAAGATGGAGGAGTTAGCGTCGCTAGCGCTCATCTTGGTCTGCGCGCCCTGAAGCGCCGGGAAGAAGGTGGAGTGGAGCAGAGCCGGCTTCAGATAGCCGATCCGCGGAGCCACATCGCGCGTCATCCGGAAGTACGGATCCTGAGGAACAGACCATGTGACCTTCAGCAGCGCTTCACTCCATCACAACACTTATCAGCGGTTCAATGCTAACAACAGATGGAAGCATTAGCAGTTGGCTCAGAGTGTGTTACTCGAGCGTCTCAGCTGATCGATGGCACACACACACTCACCTGGTCGATGGCGCACGGGATGAGACACTGAACGTCGCTGCGGTCCCCGAAGATCTGCGGGAAGGAGCTGCTGAAGGACGGCGCCGCTTGGATGGCCGGGAAACTGATCTTGCCTGCAAACACACGCGGTTAATCGCGGCGGACGGACAGCGGATCAAGCGCGCGGAAGCGGCTCTGCTCACCGATGCAGTCGCTGTCCGTGAACCCGAAGATGCCCTTGACCTGGTTAAACGTCACATGTTTCTGGACCTTCACCACGTTCCTGTAGAACGCCGGACTCGCCCTGTGAACGCAGCAAACCAGCAGCGTTAGCGCTAGCACATCTCCGCTAACCAGACGCGCGACACACACTTCAGCTCGGAGGAAACCAATATAATATCATATGGTTACATCACTGATGTTGCGGTTATGTGTGTGTGTGCTCACCCCATGTAGTCGAGGTCGGAGAACAGGAAGGTCTTGTCCGGGTGGAACCCGCAGGCGATGATGTCACGCGCGTTCTCCAGTGTGTATCGATGACACTCCTCCAGCGACAGATCCTTCCACAGATACTTCTCATCATCCGTCATCTGAACCACCAGGGGGACATCAAACACGTCCTGCAGCCACCTGACACACACACACACACACACACCTGAACCACCAGGGGGCGTCATCTGAACCACACAGGGGGCGTCAAACACATCCTGCAGCCACCTGACACACACACACACACACACCCGTCAGCTGAACCACCAGGGGGCGTCAAACACGTCCTGCAGCCACCTGACACACACACACACACACACCCGTCAGCTGAACCACCAGGGGGCGTCAAACACATCCTGCAGCCACCTGACACACACACACACACACACCCGTCAGCTGAACCACCAGGGGGCGTCAAACACGTCCTGCAGCCACCTGACACACACACACACACACACCCGTCAGCTGAACCACCAGGGGCGTCAAACACGTCCTGCAGCCACCTGACACACACACACACTCACACCCGTCATCTGAACCACCAGGGGGCGTCAAACACATCCTGCAGCCACCTGACACACACACACACACACACCCGTCAGCTGAACCACCAGGGGGCGTCAAACACATCCTGCAGCCACCTGACACACACACACACACACACCCGTCAGCTGAACCACCAGGGGGCGTCAAACACGTCCTGCAGCCACCTGACACACACACACACACACACCCGTCAGCTGAACCACCAGGGGGCGTCAAACACATCCTGCAGCCACCTGACACACACACACACACACACCCGTCAGCTGAACCACCAGGGGGCGTCAAACACGTCCTGCAGCCACCTGACACACACACACACACACACCCGTCAGCTGAACCACCAGGGGGCGTCAAACACGTCCTGCAGCCACCTGACACACACACACACACACACCCGTCAGCTGAACCACCAGGGGGCGTCAAACACATCCTGCAGCCACCTGACACACACACACACACACACCCGTCAGCTGAACCACCAGGGGGCGTCAAACACGTCCTGCAGCCACCTGACACACACACACACTCACTTGGTGAAGAGGAAGGGGATCATGTGACCCACGTGCATGGCCTCAGAGGACGGCCCGCGACCCGTGTAGAGATAGAAGGACTTCCGGCTCTCGACCGCGTCCAGGATCTGGTGCATGTCCCTGAGACACCACATGACCAGCAGACACCGACAGCGTTACAGATACGGGTCAAACGGGTTTGGAAAATCTTTCTAAGTTTCATTATTATGACTTTAATATGTATTATTTATTTATTTAAATTTAATTTTTATTTATTTATCAATTTCTAATTATTTATTTGAATCTATTTTTCATGAGCAGTGCAGGAATGTCGATATTTGAGTGTGTGTGTGTGTGTGTGTGTGTGAGAGAGTGAGTGAGTGAGATAGAGTGTGTGTGTGTGTGTTGCCACCTGTGTGAGAAGAAGATTCCTCTGCGCAGGAAGTGATGCGGTGTTTTCCCCGTGACTCGGGCGATTCTGTCCACCAGCTCCTGCTCGATCTTACAGCTGCCGAACCGCACGATGAGTTTGTCGTAGTCGACTCCTTTGGCGCTGCTGGTGCTCACGTTCCAGGGGTCGACCGCGTCTTCCTCCTCCTCCTCATCCTCAGCCGGGGCGGCGTCAGCATCGGTGTGTGTCGGCGGCCGGCCGGCCTCGTAATCCTGACCCGTGACGCGCTTATAGTCCTGCTTCATCCTCAGCAGCAGCTGCACTGCACACTCCACCTCAGCCTGACACACACACACACACACACAACTGTTAGACTTCACATCAGCCTGACACACACACACACACACACACACTCAACACTATTCCCTCAGTTCACTAACAGCAGGGCTTCACAAAAGACAGAGTACAAAAAAGTATATTTTATATTAAAAAAAAAACAGATAACAGTAAATAAATAGATCAATAATTAATTCAATAAATACAATTCTTAAACAAAATTGATTAAAAATGAAATAATAAATGAGCAAATAAATAATGCATCCGTGCAGTGCTATGAGTATAAATAAACATTTCATTAATACATTAAAAAAATAAGATTACAATAAATTACTAATAAATAGGTAAATATAAATTAGATCACAGTGAATAAAAATAGATATATAATAATAGAAATTCAGTATTTTCCGAATAATATTTGGACATATTTATAATATTATAATTTGACTGACTTTATTGGCCTTCTGAGCCTTGAGTTCCCTCACTGCCTGTCCCTGAGCGGTGAGCTGCTCGTACAGGTCCATCGCGCTCGACATCTTCACCTGTAACACACTGACCACAGATCAGACTCATACTGTAAATAACTTATGACGCTTCATAACGAGACTGACATATGCTCGCTGCCGCACGACAGTCTTTAAACACAGATCTGCAATCAGCGCTCACACGAGCAATAATTACACGTCCATCTCAGTATTAAATAGTAACGAAGAATAAATAAACGCACCTTTTTGAGTTATATGGTTTCATTCATTCCACTTGCATCAGACTCCCTGTGCCAGTGTCACACCGATCTCTGCTCTACCACAAGCATCCGCTCCAGGTAGTTCCGGTCGCATGTCTCACACGTCACTGTCAGCAAAAAATATTTTTATTAAAAGCGCTTTTAGTCATACTGTGTTTGACCCAGATAACGGAAATGAACACAACGTGAAATATATAAGATACGTATGTTATAAACAAAATTATTGTTTAGACTCTTATTTTGTCGCAGAAACAAACCGTTTCCTCTACAAATGCTTATCACCATCCATAGACATAAATGTCAATGATCACCATCACTCAGAGAAATAAGTGAAGTGAATCAATATCAAAATTTGGATTATACATGTGTCGTATAAACACACGATTTTAACCCCACAAACCAATGTAACGGTTAATCCAAATAAGACAGCTGACACTTTTAGTCGTAGTCTGTTTTACTCAGATAACGGAAAAGCTGTTCACTAAAACGAGGCTCTTATTTTGCCTGTAAATTTCTCACTCGCGCTTCCGGAGTTTCGCTACCTGATATTTCAAATTAAAAACACCGCACGACAAAAGCGAATATTAATCCTATTATCAAGAATAATTGAATGTCTGTATTATTATTCCAACGATTTAAACCGATACACAGATGCGTGTATTATGAAAGGGATTTGTCGGATCAATATTCGCTAACAGATGATGTCAGTTAACGTTACTCGTCGTGAGTTTTTGGACAATTTAGTGTATTCTGCTGCTTAATTTTTAATTATTAGAATACATTCAAGATACATTTGTCTTTTTACTTACTGTAATATCAATAAATATATATGTGTGTAATATTCATTATGTTTACACTAGTTTAACTCGTTTTATTGGTAAGATTTTATTTCTTTTAAAATCTATTTTTAGTTAATATATATCTATGTGTGTGTTATTATTGATATCGTTGTGGATGCAGACACATGCAGTGGTTTGTGAATGATCATCATGGCTTCACTGGTGGATTATGAGGATTCTGACAGTGATCCGGATCAAGATCTTCAGTCTGCTGCTCCTCGTCCTCACTTGGAGCTTTATAAAGATCAGTCCCCAATCATGAGCTCTTTTTTATCCTCATCATCATCATCATCATCAGTAGTAAGTGTGTCTGGCTGCAGGAAGAGAGCTCAGCCGCAGCCGGCCGTAGTCAGGCCGTATGTTCCTAAGAGGCAGCGAGTGTCTACGGCAGCGGCCCAGACCCCAGAGACACCTCACACACCTCACACACCTCCACCTGCCGGAGCTCGTCTGCTGTCCGAGGTCTCGGAGAGGGTCCGGCCGTTCCTGGCACTAAAGGCCAGTCGGGTCGAGCTGCCCAGACGAGTGCAGTGTCTCCTTCAGGCCCACCAGGGTCCAGTGAACACACTGCAGTGGAGTCCAGTGGATCATCTCAGTCACCTGCTGCTCTCCGCCTCCATGGACAACACCTGCAAGGTATGAATTACACAACACAAGCTGACACAACCTAACCTATCTCAACACAACCCAACCTAATGTAACCCAACAAAACCCAACCTAACTTAACCCAATCTAATCTAACCTAACCCAACCCAACCTAACCTAGCTTAACTTTAACCCAACAAAACCTAACCCAACAAAACCCAACCCAACCTAACCTAACTTAACCCAATCTAATCTAACCTAACCCAACAAAACCCAACCTAACCTAACTTAACCCAATCTAATCTAACCTAACCCAACAAAACCCAACCCAACCTAACCTAGCTTAACTTTAACCCAACAAAACCTAACCCAACAAAACCCAACCCAACCTAACCTAACTTAACCCAATCTAATCTAACCTAACCCAACAAAACCCAACCCAACCTAACCTAGCTTAACTTTAACCCAACAAAACCTAACCCAACCTAATCTTACTTAACCCAAAAATACCTAACTCAACCCAACGTAACTTAACCCAATCTAATCTAACCTAACCCAACAAAACCCAACCCAACCTAACTTAACCCAATCTAATCTAACCTAACCCAACAAAACCCAACCCAACCTAACGTAGCCTAACCTAAGCCAACAAAACATAACTCTACTCAACCTAACTCAACCCAACCAAACCCAATCTGACCCAATCAACTTAAACTAACTTAACCCAACAAAACCTATCCTAACCTAACTTAACTTTAACCCAACAAAACCCAACCTGAAGTTTCAAGGTTAGTCGCATGTACTTATGCATAATTTACAAGTAAAATATGTAACGAGGGAACTGTAAAATAAAGTGTCACTAAATCAGTGAAGCAACATCAGAATTTGGATGATATTAGTCACATAAACGCCTGATTGATCATCTAACCCTGTAAGGCCAATACTAGGAGAATCCAGTCAATCCTTCAAAAAGATCATCATTAAAACTCTGCATGATAATTATCCGCCTCGTTTATGCACTTTTTTATGCAGATTTTCAGAATGTATGAGGATCTGGGCATTTCCATCCAGCATTTTTATTCAATATCACAAATTCACATGAAGTGTGTGTATGTAAACACAGCTCGTGTTCAGGATCAGATGAGTGTGTGTATGACTGTCTTCCATGTATGTGTGTGTGTGTGTGTCTACCTGCGATGCGGCTCCATCACGGTCCGGTGATTATGTGTGTCGAGACCCATGAGGAGACACACACACTCACACACACACACCAACATGACATCATGACTTTTGCGTAAACATATATGCCACTTTCGCGCCAGGTGGCGTGTCATCTCTACGCATTTTGAGCTATCCGCGTGTATCCGCGTGTATGCGTGTATGTCTACGCCATTAACGTCCGCGTCATTCCGCGTGTCTGTACACGACGTCAAATGTCCAGTCATGAATGCCATTAACCCCAGTGACGGTCAGGTTTAGGGACGGGGTTGAGGTAAGTCACATATTTATATAACGTTAAGTCAACGGCGTTCATAAACACGCTGAAAGGCGATTATGCGTCTTGATAACACGCCAAAAATGGAAATACGAATTGGCGTGTCATACACACGCTACTTCATGAGATCAGTCTGCACTCACGCTCATGTCCTGAGAAAAGGTGAACTCACACACATGCAGACACACTGAACTGCTTTCTTCATGATCAACCGCTGAGATATTGGTGAGAAATGTTTCCTGTTCCCTGTGGAGCTAAACCCGTCCTGTTTCTGCTGGTGTATGGATCACAGTGTGTGTGTGTGTGTGTGTGTGTGTGTGTGTGTGTGTGTGTGTGTGTGTGTGTGGACCTCAGCCCGGTTCAGTCGGATCTGATTGTGAGGTGATGTTGATCACGGACAGCTTGTTCTGTCCACAGAGGATATGAGAGCCAGCGCTATCAGATGCTGTTTCGTGTGTGTGTGTGTGTGTGTGTGTGTGTGTGTGTGTGTGTGTGTGTGTGTGTGTGTGTGTGTGTGTGTTTAATAATGAAACACAGGACGTTCACTCTTCCTCTCACCGCCGGCTTTATCTGTAGGGATTCGGGATGATTCCTGTCAGTGCAATTCAATACTACAAAAAACACGGAAAGAATATAAACCTCTATTGCATCTTGTCCGAATGAAAGCCCATTTCACATAAGAAAAATAATCACGTTTCATCATTTTACTTTTGTCATAATTATGTATCATGTCATTATTTTTTTCCATAATTGTGCCAGTCCTAAATGTGACTTATAACTATGACTTGGTATGTCATGATTTACTTAAATGTCATTACTTTTCATGGCAATTTTGACCAAAAACTAATTATGTCTCAGCATGTCATATTTCAGAGTTTTAATGTAATAAAGTCAGATGTAACTGTTATTATGGCATATCACTTTTTATGCCATAAATATGATTCATAATTTCAGTTTATGTCATAATTAATATTTACCAAAGCATGATTTTTCCCCTTGTTTAGCAGAAATGTGATTCCATATGTAAGAAACTAAATGAATATAAAATATGTGAAATTATAGTTCGTCCGTTTCTGCCCCGGGTCACTGACACACATGAGTTTGTGTTAATAAATATCTTTAAAAGTAAACTGAGTCTTAAATTTCATAAATTGTCTTGTATTTCATATTTTATTCGTTGATGATTTTTACATTTTTTTACCTGACTAAAAAAAAAATAATTTTGGTTATTTTGGACCGGCACCAGAGGGTTAATAGAGTAACAGAGACACTGAGCTGATGTGTGTGTGTGTGTGTGTGTGTGTGTGTGTTTATAGGTGTGGGATGGTGTTGATGGGGGGCGGAGCTTACGCACTTACTCCACCCACAGGGGCGCGGTGCGTGATGCGTGTTGGCTGCCGTGTGGGCGTCGCCTCCTCTCGGGGTCGTTCGACGGCACGGCGGCGCTCACTGACGCGGAGACGGGTGAGTTCGCCGTTATCCTGCCGGACTGCAGTCATCCATTACACTGGATATTACCTGCTTCTGAAACTACATTAACATTTGATTGATTGATTGATTGATTGATTGACCCATTGATTGATTGATGGTGTCTCCTCAGGTCAGACAGTCGCTCAGATGGACAACGGTTTTAAGGTGACCTGCGTCGCCCCGCGACCTTCCGACCCCGACGTGTTCCTGAGTGGCGGCTTCAGTTCAGAGGTCAAAGCCTGGGACGCCCGCTGCCGTAAGGTAAGTCTGATCCCAAACCCTTCCCATGAGCCTCTGCTTTGCGCGTGTGGCTCAGGCGCTGTGTGCCGCAGGTGCTGCGCGTGTATAAAGCCGCGGTTCAGCAGACGCTGGACGTCCTGTTCCTGAGCGGCGGCCGCGAGTTCGTGAGCAGCACCGACGCCGTGAGCCGAGACTCGGCCGAGCGAACGCTCATCGCCTGGGACTTCCAGACCACCGCCAAACTCTCCAACCAGATATTCCACGTAAGATACACACACACTCACACACACACACTAGGGTGCGCTCGGGCTCTATGATTTACATCCAGGAATCCAGTCACACAAACTGAGTTTACTTTAGAACGCAGAACTTCACAGAATTAGTCATTTTTAATGAATGAATAAAAATCAGGTCAGTACACGTAAACCGAATTTTTAACACTATTTAAATATTACACCTGCATGTGTGTGTGTGTGTGTGTAATTCCACATTCTGTCAAACATGTGTGGGTGTGTCGTGTGTTTGCAGCCTCTGCATGAGGACATGAGCTTCAGCCCAGCAGCACTTCACCCTTTGAAGAAATTAAGAATTAAATTTAAAATTAAGTTAAATCATTTAAATGGAATCCAGAAAACTTGAAACGGAAAAAACAAAGAATTCAGTAAAACTGAATTTGAGGAAATAAAATAAACCGTATTTCATTAGGGCCCTAAACATGTCATTTTTGTCAAACTTTTAATAAAGTGTTGTTGAATTGTATGTTTAATTGTTTCAATTAATTAGACATTGTTTTTTATTACTAAAATTTAAGTCCAAAAATTTTAAATAAAATATAAGTTGTGAAAGAATAAACCGGATGTCTTAGGGCTCTAAAACACTACGTCCACACTCTTTTTCCTTTTTTTTCAAAAATATCTGAATTTTTTTTGTTTGTTATTGATGTTTGTGTTGTTGTTGTTTATTTTGACGTTGTTGTTTGTCGATGATGATGTTTATTTATATTGATGATGCTGTTGTTGTTGTTGTGGTGTTAGGAGCGCTACACCTGCCCGAGTCTGAGCGCTCACCCGCTGGACGCTAGCTTCATCGCTCAGACTAACGGCGGCTACATCGCGCTGTTCTCCGCCCAGAGGCCGTACCGCATGAACAAGAGACGCCGATACGAGGGTCATAAGGTCAGCGCCAAATCACGTCACATGATCACCCGCATACTCCTGTGACTGTAGGCTCTGGACAGAGAAAACACTGATTCCAGTTCACATCGATACGTTACAGCGACAAAAAGTTCTGTATTACGTCTGCGCACATATTGCATTACATATTGCATATGTTGCAGGTGGAGGGCTTCGCAGTGCATTGTGGGTTCTCTGCAGACGGAAGCGTGCTTGTCTCTGGCAGCTCCACAGGATCTGTTCACTTCTACGACTATCAGAGCTCACGGACCCTGAAGACGCTGGACGCTCATGAACACGCGTGTGTGTGTGCCGCGCTCCACCCCGTGCTACCCGCCGTCACGGCCACCTGTGATTGGACAGGAGAGATCAAGATATGGACCTGATCTTTCTTCTGCTCAAGGACATTCAATAATAATAAACAGATTTATACTTATGTGACACGGAACTTTTCCTTTCTTTCAATGCTTTCATTGTTTCAACATGAAGCTTTTCCTTATCAAACAGCAAAATCTGCGTTGAATCAACACAGAAATATATAGAAATATATCCTTGCATCACAACGCAATTATATTCATGTTTTAGAGATCACAGTACAACATCTTAAAGGAACTCATAGTTTTATATGATTTTTATTTCCATTACAGCTGGAAAACAGATCTTCTGTCTCGATGCGGTGTGTGTCCACTGTATGTTGATATCTGTTTACTTAATAACACGTTAAAATAATGAATTAACAATGAAAATTACTTCAATGGCATTTATTAATCTTAGTTCATCTCTAATTTACTCATCAGTTCACACTAATAAACGACATCAAAAGAAGTCCATCGTTCAGATTTATTTAGTGAAAATATGGAAATGTGTCTAAACCGTTTTCCTGTAATGGCGTCGATCATCATCGTGACGTAAGCAGACGAACACCTGGTCGATCGACAGCGCTGGTTATGGCTGCCACCGGCCCTTCTCTTCAGTCACCTGTCCCGGGAGATGTATCCACCGAATGTCCCTGTTTTCGAAAGGATACGTGAATAATGTAAGTTCAACTCACTACTTTGTCTCCACGTGAAGTACCGTATGCGCTCGTGTCTCTCGCTGTAGGGAGTAACGTTAGGGCGTGTGACGTAGCCTACCCAGGCGTCTGTGATGCGGCTACTAGGCCTACACATAGATCTCTATGGGCCTACAGAGTGTGCAAAACCTGTGCGGAGACGAAGAGGAGAGTGTGTTCACAAACACTTACAGGCCAGTAAAAAAAAAACTTTCAACATACTTTAATAATGACTGGATGAAAAATGACAAAATCCACATGACAAGCGACACACTTTATAAAAGTGGATAGATGTGGTATGGTAAATGCAAAAATAATATATATATATATATATTAGCAAATTACCAGATCTAAGCAATCAGGTAAGCTGAGGGAGATCCTCAAATATGAGAATACTTGTGATGTTTAATATAAAACTGGACTGTGCACAATCTTACTGCACAAAGGCCAACTTTATCTTTTGGTCTAATGTCCAATCAATGGACATCTTCACTTGCGGTCGGTCGGGTCATCGACATGTCCAGGTTTTTTATCAGACACAGGTTGTAACCCTAGGCTTCATCCATGAGGATGATCTTCTGGCTGTAACACTCACACTCACACACACACACACACACACACACACACACACACACACTCACACACACTCACATCAATGCCTTCGGCAGACACTCAGATCACAGTGAAGGTTTCGATATACTGGAGTCACAGCTTTTATCACTGTTTCTAAATAACAATATATTGCTTTCTCATTACAACGGACATTAAATCATTTCCCTGATGGATGTCGGTGTCCTCAGAGAAACATGTTTCCTAATACAGTTTTAACACTAGATTGTCCTAATATCCACTCCTGTGATCTCGGAAATTAACTAGACGTTGAGTATAATTTGGTAGTAAAGTGTTGCACATTTTAATGCTTTTTATCACGTAATTAGAAGATGCACAATTAAACTGTGTTGTTGTTTGTTACATAGTGATTATTAAACAGACATTTAGATCATAACTGTACTTGCTCTATGTTCAGGTAATCAGACACTACACACTTGCTTCTTACGCCCACTTGACATGTGTCATACAAGTACTCAAGTGGTCGAGTGTATATACTGTATTGGGACGGGTCTTTCCATCCAAGATCCTTTAATTAACAAAAGCCACTTCCTGAAATGACATCACCTTTGGGAAGTGACATCACTCAGCTGGGACATCAGCTACACACACACACACACACACACACACACACACACACACACACACACACACAGATGAGTAGCTGCAGTGCATTTGATGTTGGTTTGAGTCACTCATGTAAGTTTGCCATCAATCACTCACTGAACAATGAGTGAGCTCATCAGGAACTAAACCTGCTTTATCCTTTCATAGAAATATATCCATCCATCACTACACAATCATATTCACGTTTTAGAGATCACAGAACAACATCTTACAGGATCATATGGTGATCTTATTTCCATTACAGCTGGAAAACAGATCTTTCTAATACAGATCTCAATGCTGTTTTATGATGGACAGATGCACTTTTATGATGGACAGATGCACTTTTATGATGGATAGATGCGCTTTTATGATGGACAGATGCGCTTTTATGATGGACAGATGCACTTTTATGATGGACAGATGCACTTTTATGATGGACAGATGCGCTTTTATGATGGACAGATGCACTTTTATGATGGACAGATGCACTTTTATGATGGACAGATGCGCTTTTATGATGGACAGATGCACTTTTATGATGGACAGATGCGCTTTTATGATGGACAGATGCACTTTTATGATGGACAGATGCACTTTTATGATGGACAGATGCACTTTTATGGACTTCAAAATAGAAACGCCATTCACTGCTTCACTTAAAGCTTGTAAGAGCCAGGACATTTTTTATATAACTCCAATTGTATTCGTCTGAAAAAAGAATGTCATATACACCTATAATATCTTGAGGGAGAGTAAAGCATGGGCTAATTCTCATTTTTTGGAGAACTATCCCTTTAATAAACTGAAATCATAATTGGCCACACACTGATGTCTAGTTAAGCAGCGTTCCATACAGCTGTGCTCTGTTAAGACTGTCTTTACGACTGAGTCCCGTGTTTCCAAACTTTCGATGCTGTGGCGAGTTTTTCCGGGGATCCCTCTTGTAGTGCGGGGCGTCCCGTCTCTGGTCGAGAGACTCGTTGGAGCTGCTGGGACTTACGTCTGCGTAATCTCTCCGCAAAGCTCCTCCAGTCGTGCTCGGCTTGTCTTTGGAGAACCAGCTTGAGTCCTGAACTGAGCGGAACATCAAACCTTTCTTTAGAGCGTTCAGACTGATCTTCGGGTTCAGCGCAGGACTGGATCCGGCTGACGCAGGGAACCGCGGATCCGGTGCGTGTGCTTGGAAAGCGTGCTCTTCCTCTGGGAAGCTGCTGTAAAGCGGACCCAGTTTGATCTTAGCGGGACCGACTGCAAAGTTACGCTCTTGGAAACTGAAGGGTTCAGGACTGCAGAAGAAGGAGTTCACGTCTTCAACGCTCATCTGATGCCAGCTTCCCGTCGGGACGCTCCTATTCCCGCGGGAACCGTATCCGTGTGCCGGAGAACCTCCGTTCGGTGAGCCGTGAGAAACGTGTCTCGACTTAGGAAAACCCGGATGATCTTTTCCATACGAGGGGTTCTTTTGCTCATAGTCTCCGTCACGCCAGTCCGTGAACAGATTCTGCTGGGATGAGGACGATACGTGAGCCGGATCATCCAGCGCTGTGCTAAAGCTGGTGTGCCGGATGGAGGCCGGAAGAGATCCGAAAGGAAAAGCGTCTTCGTGTAAAGAGAAACTGTGAGGGAAACTCTGGTCTTCCGGGTTGCAGTCGGTGTGTCCTCGGATCCGGCGCTCGTGCCGACGCTCATCCGCGGGACAGTACAGCGCCGTGTCGCTGCAGGACAGGTCTGACGACTTATACGCCGCGTGACGCTGAGCTTTATCCGCGTTTGACGGGAACTCTTGAGGACTCGGGGAGCGCGTGACCGGACAGCTTCTCCCGGGCTCCGGTTTCTCCAGGACTCGGCCGATGACGGCGGTGGGAACGGCATCGGAGCCGGAGTGACGGAACGCTACGCTCTGCTTCTCCATGTGGGAACTGACTCGCTCCTGCAGATCCACGGGAAGCTGAAAACACACACAGAGACACCAATGAGAGAGACTTGAAGATGTGAGACCGTATGTGAAGAATGTACCATGTAATCACACTCGTACCTGTTTTCTACAGAGAAAGGGACCTGGTGATCGAAAATAGTTAAACATTTGCATTCTCTCACAAAACATTAGTTTTTTATCACAGAATTATTGCATTCCCCTGACAAACATTTGCGTTCTCTTGCAAACTATTGTGTTTTCTCATAAGACTATTTCGTTCTCTCGTAAAACGATTGCGTTTTCTCTCGTAAAATGGTTTATTTCTTTCGTAAAACCATTTCTTGTAAAACCATTTCGTTCTCTTGTGAAACAATTGCGTTCTTTGCGTTCTCTTGTGAAACGATTACATTCTCTCATAAATCTATTGCGTTTTTGTAAAACTATTGTTCTTTTTTATAAAACTATTGCGTTCGTTGGTAAAACGATTGTGTTCTTTGCGCTGATTGTATGATCACACCTGAGCTGCGATATGATGAATCCTCTGTGTCCATCTGAAGCTCTCTCTATCTCTCTTTCTCTCTCTCTGGGCCCTATTTTAACGATCTAAAACGCAACTTTGTGGGCGGGTCTCGGCGCTGTTGCTCTATTACCGGCGGGATAAATGACTCCTGCGGCCGACTCAAGTTTAAAAGGGGTTGGTCTGAAGTAGCTTCATCATTCATAGGTGTGGTTTGGGCATAACGAGTAACAAACCAATCAGAGCGTCATCCAACATGCCCTTTAAGAGCAGGTGCGCGTGTTGCATGACGGATTGTTATTATTATGGTGATTTTACCAGGTGAATTTCCCAGTCTTCGGATCTTGACGGTCAAACTAACTAATTTGTCAGATGTCCTTATATACATATGTGTCTCGCCACGATTGGGCAAACAGGTCTGATCCGTCATTACTACAATTAGCATGAAAAATTTTGGTAAATGTGTAAGCTAATTTCCAGCAGTGGCGGAATAGTTTTCTGGATCTGCAAAATGGGCTATATGCACGCATAAGTTCCGCATTTGACGCAAGGATGCTCGTCCATTTCCGGTTGTGGAGATTAAAGCGGAGGAAAACCGAGGAAAACGGGATTATGCCAGAGTCTTCAAAACGTACATACGTTTAGATGTAATTTTATATATAGTTATATTTATTTAATATAATTTTAAAAAGAAGCATAAACACAACGAGGGGTGTCTGTCTTATCTGTTTTTGTGACTAACGTTTCTTTAGTATAACCATGGAGTATAAAATTCAATATAAATTCTCGGTATTGTATTGGACTCTACGATCGGCGGAAGTTATCGAGCATCCTTAATCCTTCACCGGAAATACCGCCGTGCATAAAGCCCATTGCACTAGGGAATGTTTACGCCGAAACACGCCTCCTGTCTGTACCGACCCGCCCAGGGAGTGCGAGTTCATTCTCTAGTTTACCGACGTGCGTCTGTGGAGGGAAAAGCCTGCTTTGCGCGGGTGCAAAATAGGAATGAGACATGCGTCAGTGTATGAAGTCATTTGCGCCGGATGCAAGATAGAGCCCTATCTCTCTCTCTAGTCTCCATCTCTATCTCTATCTCTATCTCTCTCTCTCTCTCTATCTCTCCATCTCTATCTCTCTCTATCTCTATCTCTCTCTCTAGTCTCCATCTCTATCTCTATCTCTCTCTCTCTCTCTATCTCTCTCTATCTCTATCTCTCTCTCTATCTCTCCATCTCTCTGATTAGCTCATGAAGCGTTTCAGTAAACAGATTGTCAGCAATATTTCAGCACATTTCTCTTTCTGCCAAGATCAAAAGAAGCAAAGGAGCAGAGAGTTTATATTGAAATGAACCCGTCGCGCCTCCGGGAGGAAGAGTGTGTTTGAAACCTGTGACCGCAGGATGAGAGTGAAGAGGATTCGCTGCGCCTCTCGACTTTCTATAAGGTTGGGCTATTTTTAGGATCAGTTTTCCTCCGAGAAAGCTCATGTTTGGCCCCTATGAGGAAAACAGCTTATAAATCATAATAAGAGATGTTTTTTTTTTTTTTGTAAAATGCTGAAAGTGTTCTGTGATGGGTAGGTTTAGGATTAGGGTGTGTGTGTGTTTGTGTGAGCATGCGTGTGTGTGTACATGTTTTTCTATCCCGGTGGGGACTTAAACCTGAATGCACACACACTTACGGGGTCTCGTGTCACTGAGGGCCTAAATTGAGTCCCCATGGGTATACACACTTATAAATCATACAGAACTATTATCTTTGAAAATGTTAAAATGCAGAATGTAAGTTTAGGGGTAGGGTGTGTGTGTGTGAGTGTGTGTGTGCGTGTGTGTGTGTGTGTGTGTGTGTGTGTGTACCTCAGACAGTCTGTGTACTCTGTAAGGAGATTTCCCGCACTGGAGAAGTTGAGCCGCTAGATTACAGTCTTTCCTGTACAGATCCTGCAGAAAAACACAAACCAACAATACCAACATCAAACGTATTCATGTACGTACGTTATCCGCTCAGGTGTGTTACGTACGTTATCCGCTCAGGTGTGTTACGTAGGTGTGTGTTACGTATGTTATCCGCTCAGGTGTGTTACGTAGGTGTGTGTTACGTACGTTATCCGCTCAGGTGTGTTACGTACGTTATCCGCTCAGGTGTGTTACGTAGGTGTGTGTTACGTACGTTATCTGCTCAGGTGTGTTACGTAGGTGTGTGTTACGTACGTTATCTGCTCAGGTGTGTTACGTAGGTGTGTGTTACGTACGTTATCCGCTCAGGTGTGTTACGTAGGTGTGTGTTACGTACATTATCCGCTCAGGTGTGTTACGTAGGTGTGCGTTACATACGTTATCCGCTCAGGTGTGTTACGTAGGTGTGTGTTACGTATGTTATCCGCTCAGGTGTGTTACGTAGGTGTGTGTTACGTACGTTATCCGCTCAGGTGTGTTACGTAGGTGTGTGTTACGTATGTTATCCGCTCAGGTGTGTTACGTAGGTGTGTGTTACGTACATTATCCACTCAGGTGTGTTACGTAGGTGTGTGTTACGTACGTTATCCGCTCAGGTGTGTTACGTAGGTGTGCGTTACATACGTTATCCGCTCAGGTGTGTTACGTAGGTGTGTGTTACGTACGTTATCCGCTCAGGTGTGTTACGTAGGTGTGCGTTACATACGTTATCCGCTCAGGTGTGTTACGTAGGTGTGTGTTACGTACGTTATCCGCTCAGGTGTGTTACGTAGGTGTGTGTTACGTACGTTATCCGCTCAGGTGTGTTACGTAGGTGTGTGTTACGTACATTATCCGCTCAGGTGTGTTACGTAGGTGTGTGTTACGTACGTTATCCGCTCAGGTGTGTTACGTAGGTGTGTGTTACGTATGTTATCCGCTCAGGTGTGTTACATAGGTGTGTGTTACGTACGTTATCCGCTCAGGTGTGTTACGTAGGTGTGCGTTACGTACGTTATCCGCTCAGGTGTGTTACGTAGGTGTGTGTTACGTACATTATCCGCTCAGGTGTGTTACGTAGGTGTGCGTTACATACGTTATCCGCTCAGGTGTGTTACATAGGTGTGTGTTACGTACGTTATCCGCTCAGGTGTGTTACGTAGGTGTGTGTTACGTACGTTATCTGCTCAGGTGTGTTACGTAGGTGTGTGTTACGTACGTTATCCGCTCAGGTGTGTTACGTAGGTGTGTGTTACGTACGTTATCCGCTCAGGTGTGTTACGTAGGTGTGTGTTACGTACGTTATCCGCTCAGGTGTGTTACGTAGGTGTGTGTTACGTACGTTATCCGCTCAGGTGTGTTACGTAGGTGTGTGTTACGTACGTTATCCGCTCAGGTGTGTTACGTAGGTGTGCGTTACATACGTTATCCGCTCAGGTGTGTTACGTAGGTGTGCGTTACATACGTTATCCGCTCAGGTGTGTTACGTAGGTGTGTGTTACGTATGTTATCCGCTCAGGTGTGTTACGTAGGTGTGTGTTACGTATGTTATCCGCTCAGGTGTGTTACGTAGGTGTGTGTTACGTACATTATCCGCTCAGGTGTGTTACGTAGGTGTGTGTTACGTACGTTATCCGCTCAGGTGTGTTACGTAGGTGTGCGTTACATACGTTATCCGCTCAGGTGTGTTACGTAGGTGTGTGTTACGTACGTTATCCGCTCAGGTGTGTTACGTAGGTGTGCGTTACATACGTTATCCGCTCAGGTGTGTTACGTAGGTGTGTGTTACGTACGTTATCCGCTCAGGTGTGTTACGTAGGTGTGTGTTACGTACGTTATCTGCTCAGGTGTGTTACGTAGGTGTGTGTTACGTACGTTATCCGCTCAGGTGTGTTACGTAGGTGTGTGTTACGTACGTTATCCGCTCAGGTGTGTTACGTAGGTGTGTGTTACGTACGTTATCCGCTCAGGTGTGTTACGTAGGTGTGTGTTACGTACATTATCCGCTCAGGTGTGTTACGTAGGTGTGTGTTACGTACGTTATCCGCTCAGGTGTGTTACGTAGGTGTGCGTTACATACGTTATCCGCTCAGGTGTGTTACATAGGTGTGTGTTACGTACGTTATCCGCTCAGGTGTGTTACGTAGGTGTGTGTTACGTACGTTATCCGCTCAGGTGTGTTACGTAGGTGTGTGTTACGTACGTTATCCGCTCAGGTGTGTTACGTAGGTGTGTGTTACGTACGTTATCCGCTCAGGTGTGTTACGTAGGTGTGTGTTACGTACGTTATCCGCTCAGGTGTGTTACGTAGGTGTGTGTTACGTACGTTATCCGCTCAGGTGTGTTACGTAGGTGTGCGTTACATACGTTATCCGCTCAGGTGTGTGTTGCGTACGTTATCCGCTCAGGTGTGTTACGTAGGTGTGTGTTACGTACGTTATCCGCTCAGGTGTGTTACGTAGGTGTGTATTACGTACGTTATCCGCCCAGGTGTGTTCCGTAGGTGTGCGTTACATACGTTATCCGCTCAGGTGTGTTACGTAGGTGTGTGTTACATACGTTATCCGCTCAGGTGTGTTACGTAGGTGTGTGTTACGTACGTTATCCGCTCAGGTGTGTTACGTAGGTGTGTGTTACGTACGTTATCCGCCCAGGTGTGTTCCGTAGGTGTGCGTTACATACGTTATCCGCTCAGGTGTGTTACGTAGGTGTGCGTTACATACGTTATCCGCTCAGGTGTGTGTTGCGTACGTTATCCGCTCAGGTGTGTTACGTAGGTGTGTGTTACGTACGTTATCCGCTCAGGTGTGTTACGTAGGTGTGCGTTACATACGTTATCCGCTCAGGTGTGTTACGTAGGTGTGCGTTACATACGTTATCCGCTCAGGTGTGTTACGTACGTTATCCGCTCAGGTGTGTTACGTAGGTGTGTGTTACGTACGTTATCCGCTCAGGTGTGTTACGTACGTTATCCGCTCAGGTGTGTTACGTACGTTATCCGCTCAGGTGTGTTACGTAGGTGTGTGTTACGTACGTTATCCGCTCAGGTGTGTTACGTAGGTGTGCGTTACATACGTTATCCGCTCAGGTGTGTTACGTAGGTGTGTGTTACGTACATTATCCGCTCAGGTGTGTTACGTAGGTGTGTGTTACGTACGTTATCCGCTCAGGTGTGTTACGTAGGTGTGCGTTACATACGTTATCCGCTCAGGTGTGTTACGTAGGTGTGTGTTACGTACGTTATCCGCTCAGGTGTGTTACGTAGGTGTGTGTTACGTACGTTATCTGCTCAGGTGTGTTACGTAGGTGTGTGTTACGTACGTTATCCGCTCAGGTGTGTTACGTAGGTGTGTGTTACGTACGTTATCCGCTCAGGTGTGTTACGTAGGTGTGTGTTACGTACGTTATCCGCTCAGGTGTGTTACGTAGGTGTGCGTTACATACGTTATCCGCTCAGGTGTGTTACGTAGGTGTGTGTTACGTACATTATCCGCTCAGGTGTGTTACGTAGGTGTGTGTTACGTACGTTATCCGCTCAGGTGTGTTACGTAGGTGTGCGTTACATACGTTATCCGCTCAGGTGTGTTACGTAGGTGTGTGTTACGTACGTTATCCGCTCAGGTGTGTTACGTAGGTGTGCGTTACATACGTTATCCGCTCAGGTGTGTTACGTAGGTGTGTGTTACGTACATTATCCGCTCAGGTGTGTTACGTAGGTGTGCGTTACATACGTTATCCGCTCAGGTGTGTTACGTAGGTGTGTGTTACGTACGTTATCCGCTCAGGTGTGTTACGTAGGTGTGTGTTACGTACGTTATCCGCTCAGGTGTGTTACGTAGGTGTGTGTTACGTACGTTATCCGCTCAGGTGTGTTACGTAGGTGTGTGTTACGTACGTTATCCGCTCAGGTGTGTTACGTAGGTGTGTGTTACGTACGTTATCCGCTCAGGTGTGTTACGTAGGTGTGCGTTACATACGTTATCCGCTCAGGTGTGTTACGTAGGTGTGTGTTACGTACATTATCCGCTCAGGTGTGTTACGTAGGTGTGTGTTACGTACGTTATCCGCTCAGGTGTGTTACGTAGGTGTGCGTTACATACGTTATCCGCTCAGGTGTGTTACATAGGTGTGTGTTACGTACGTTATCCGCTCAGGTGTGTTACGTAGGTGTGTGTTACGTACGTTATCTGCTCAGGTGTGTTACGTAGGTGTGTGTTACGTACGTTATCCGCTCAGGTGTGTTACGTAGGTGTGTGTTACGTACGTTATCCGCTCAGGTGTGTTACGTAGGTGTGTGTTACGTACGTTATCCGCTCGGGTGTGTTACGTAGGTGTGCGTTACATACGTTATCCGCTCAGGTGTGTTACGTAGGTGTGTGTTACGTACGTTATCCGCTCAGGTGTGTTACGTAGGTGTGTGTTACGTACGTTATCCGCTCAGGTGTGTTACGTAGGTGTGCGTTACATACGTTATCCGCTCAGGTGTGTTACGTAGGTGTGTGTTACGTACGTTATCCGCTCAGGTGTGTTACGTAGGTGTGCGTTACATACGTTATCCGCTCAGGTGTGTGTTGCGTACGTTATCCGCTCAGGTGTGTTACGTAGGTGTGTGTTACGTACGTTATCCGCTCAGGTGTGTTACGTAGGTGTGTGTTACGTACGTTATCCGCCCAGGTGTGTTCCGTAGGTGTGCGTTACATACGTTATCCGCTCAGGTGTGTTACGTAGGTGTGTGTTACATACGTTATCCGCTCAGGTGTGTTACGTAGGTGTGTGTTACGTACGTTATCCGCTCAGGTGTGTTACGTAGGTGTGTGTTACGTACGTTATCCGCCCAGGTGTGTTCCGTAGGTGTGCGTTACATACGTTATCCGCTCAGGTGTGTTACGTAGGTGTGCGTTACATACGTTATCCGCTCAGGTGTGTGTTGCGTACGTTATCCGCTCAGGTGTGTTACGTAGGTGTGTGTTACATACGTTATCCGCTCAGGTGTGTTACGTAGGTGTGTGTTACGTACGTTATCCGCTCAGGTGTGTTACGTAGGTGTGTGTTACGTACGTTATCCGCTCAGGTGTGTTACGTAGGTGTGCGTTACATACGTTATCCGCTCAGGTGTGTTACGTAGGTGTGTGTTACGTACGTTATCCGCTCAGGTGTGTTACGTAGGTGTGTGTTACGTACGTTATCCGCTCAGGTGTGTTACGTAGGTGTGTGTTACGTACGTTATCTGCTCAGGTGTGTTACGTAGGTGTGTGTTACGTACGTTATCCGCTCAGGTGTGTTACGTAGGTGTGTGTTACGTACGTTATCCGCTCAGGTGTGTTACGTAGGTGTGTGTTACGTACGTTATCCGCTCAGGTGTGTTACGTAGGTGTGCGTTACATACGTTATCCGCTCAGGTGTGTTACGTAGGTGTGTGTTACGTACGTTATCCGCTCAGGTGTGTTACGTAGGTGTGTGTTACGTACGTTATCCGCTCAGGTGTGTTACGTAGGTGTGCGTTACATACGTTATCCGCTCAGGTGTGTTACGTAGGTGTGTGTTACGTACGTTATCCGCTCAGGTGTGTTACGTAGGTGTGCGTTACATACGTTATCCGCTCAGGTGTGTGTTGCGTACGTTATCCGCTCAGGTGTGTTACGTAGGTGTGTGTTACGTACGTTATCTGCTCAGGTGTGTTACGTAGGTGTGTGTTACGTACGTTATCCGCTCAGGTGTGTTACGTAGGTGTGTGTTACGTACGTTATCCGCTCAGGTGTGTTACGTAGGTGTGTGTTACGTACGTTATCCGCTCAGGTGTGTTACGTAGGTGTGTGTTACGTATGTTATCCGCTCAGGTGTGTTACATAGGTGTGTGTTACGTACATTATCCGATCAGGTGTGTTACGTAGGTGTGTGTTACGTATGTTATCCGCTCAGGTGTGTTACATAGGTGTGTGTTACGTACATTATCCGCTCAGGTGTGTTACGTAGGTGTGTGTTACGTACGTTATCCGCTCAGGTGTGTTATGTAGGTGTGTGTTACGTACATTATCCGCTCAGGTGTGTTACGTAGGTGTGCGTTACATACGTTATCCGCTCAGGTGTGTTACGTAGGTGTGTGTTACGTACGTTATCCGCTCAGGTGTGTTACGTAGGTGTGTGTTACGTACGTTATCCGCTCAGGTGTGTTACGTAGGTGTGCGTTACATACGTTATCCACTCAGGTGTGTTGCGTAGGTGTGTGTTACGTATGTTATCCGCTCAGGTGTGTTACGTAGGTGTGTGTTACGTACGTTATCCGCTCAGGTGTGTTACGTAGGTGTGTGTTACGTACGTTATCCGCTCAGGTGTGTTACGTAGGTGTGTGTTACGTACGTTATCCGCTCAGGTGTGTTACGTAGGTGTGTGTTGCGTACGTTATCCGCTCAGGTGTGTTACGTAGGTGTGTGTTACGTACGTTATCCGCTCAGGTGTGTTACGTAGGTGTGTGTTACGTATGTTATCCGCTCAGGTGTCTTACGTAGGTGTGTGTTACGTATGTTATCCGCTCAGGTGTGTTACGTAGGTGTGTGTTGCGTACGTTATCCGCTCAGGTGTGTTACGTAGGTGTGCGTTACATACGTTATCCGCTCAGGTGTGTTACGTAGGTGTGCGTTACGTACGTTATCCGCTCAGGTGTGTTACGTAGGTGTGTGTTGCGTACGTTATCCGCTCAGGTGTGTTACGTAGGTGTGCGTTACATACGTTATCCGCTCAGGTGTGTTATGTAGGTGTGTGTTACGTACGTTATCCGCTCAGGTGTGTTACGTAGGTGTGTGTTACGTATGTTATCCGCTCAGGTGTGTTACGTAGGTGTGTGTTACGTATGTTATCCGCTCAGGTGTGTTACGTAGGTGTGTGTTGCGTACGTTATCCGCTCAGGTGTGTTACGTAGGTGTGCGTTACATACGTTATCCGCTCAGGTGTGTTACGTAGGTGTGCGTTACATACGTTATCCGCTCAGGTGTGTTACGTAGGTGTGCGTTACATACGTTATCCGCTCAGGTGTGTTACGTAGGTGTGTGTTGCGTACGTTATCCGCTCAGGTGTGTTACGTAGGTGTGCGTTACATACGTTATCCGCTCAGGTGTGTTATGTAGGTGTGTGTTACATACGTTATCCGCTCGCAGCTTCTGGATGGAGATCTGGGCCTCCATCAGGTGTTTCTTCAGCTCCATGATCTCTCGACTCAGAGATCTCTTCTCCTCTTCGTAACGCTGAGTCTGAAACACACACACACAGCTGCTGTAAAACACCGAGTCATTCATCAGCAGTTTCATGAACACAGAATATTAAATTTATTTATTTATTTATTTTTTATATAGCGCTTTTCACAATACAGATTGTATCAAAGCAGCTTCACAGTGATAACATGAAAGTAGCACAACACAGATCAATAATATTGCTAAACACTAAATATCCCCAACTGAGCAAGCCCAAAGCAAGCCAAAAGCAAGGCGACAGTGGCAAGGAACCAAAACTCCATCAGATTGGATGGAGAAAAAACGTTGGGAGAACCCAGGCTCAGTCGGGGGCCAGTCCTCCTCTGGCTTACATTCATATTGTTTACATATAAATATTAAATATAAATATTGTTTATGTATAAAACGGCGCCATAACTTATCGCAGGCGTTGAGTCGTCTCTTTACACATATTTGTACATTTATTTGTACAGCGCTTTTCACAACACACATCATTTCAAAGCAGCTTTACACATTAGTTTACAGTGATCTGTGTTATATCTGTCGGAGTTATGCATGAGTCAGAAATGTACATATACAAAATTACAGTTAGTGAAAAAGGTATTAATTTAAACAATGTAATAATTTGATGCAGAAAAAATGAGCTAATTGAAGTGATGGATATCAGACGTTATCAGTGTTCAGTAGACCACAGAGCTCATGTTAAATCTGCGTATCAATTAGACGAGTTTCAAAATTTCGATTTTATACAAAAGTGTGTGTGAGAGTAAAAGAGTGTGTGTGTGTGTGTGTGTGTGTGAGAGAGAGTGTGTGAGTCTTGGGTTGAGTCTCAAGTCCCGCGTGAGCCAATTATTTATAAACTGAAAGGCTGAAAGTATCAGACGCTCATTTCTTCTGGAGGCTGAGCGTGTGTGTGTGTGTGTGTGTGTGTGTGTGTGTGTGTGTGTTGCTCAGACTGTGGAGTGAATGGAGACGTGTGTGTGAGACTCTGTCACCGGATCAAACTGAAGTTTAACAGTGACGCTGCCGGCCTCTGGACTCTCACTTGTGTTTTCACTGAGAAACTGAGAGAAACGAGGACACAAAACGGCACATTCAGGAAAAACACTGAACAACATCATTAGATTCAGCAGCAGGAGCGTCAACATCAAATTAAACATTTATAAATCAAGATGCATTTACTGGAGATGCAAAAAGACTGAAGAAAAGTTAGTGAAGTGAGTTAATGATTGAACTAAGAACAAATATCTGCCAGTGGGATCAGCAAAAATAAAGTCTTATATCTAAGATATCTTTGGCAGATATCTGTTCTGCAAAACAAGACTTAAAAGTTAATTTACTAGTTAGATGAAAGGTAATCTGATTACGTTACTTGTGTGTGTGTGTGTGTGTGTGTGTGTGTGTGTGTGTGTGTGGTGTTGAGTGAATCTCTGCAAGGACTGAAACACATGAGCAATCGTGGCCTGAAGCGAGCAGTTCCTCTAATCTGAGCTGAAACACAAAATCATTATTTTTTGCATCAAGTTAATGTTTCGATTCTGTAAATGGCTTGAAACTTTCATCAGATTTAAGATGAAGCGCTTTGATGGCAGGACCGTCTCTGATGGTGTAATGGCTCTGAGAGTGAGGATCTCGTGTGGTGATCGATCTCCTGCTGCTCCGTCTGCCTTTTATCTCCTTAATTTCTCCTGTTAAACTGAGCTTGAACACATCCGGCACATGTTGCTCGCTGAGCGAGACGTCGAGAGAAGCGTCCTACAGCGCTCGCTTGTGTCTACCAAGAGGTGCTGCGTTTATGGTAAAGCAGGCAATCAGAAACATGCTAGTTTTATTCGAACGATCAAGCAATGATGAGACGACCAAAAGAATATTTAAGTCATTCGAGTGTTTGTCATTTTGGATTTTTTAAAAATAATTTGGTTTTAAAGATGATATATATTATGCCCATATCAAATTTCAGCTCAAATTACCAGATTTGTCAAATTTTCCTCTTTTCGGGTGTGAACAAAAACTTGTGTGTTCCTTTAAATGCAAATGATCTTTAGCTCCGCCTCTGTTCAGAAGAGGGCGGAGCCTTTACACAAGCTTCAGAGACTCAACACCGGCCGATCTCAGTTGACTTGAGAACAGTTTCAGGTGTCGCTGGATCTTCTCCAGTGCGTTAGAACTGCTCTCCGAACCCAATGGCGTCGGTGTGTGTGTGTGTGTGTGTGTGTGTGTGTGTGTGTGTGTGTGTGTGAGAACGTGCAGATTAAGGGCTGGGAATATTATAATAAGATCCTCTTCATATTTTTTGACATGCTCTCAGAGAAAGGCTCATGTTTTCTGTGTGGGTAGAAGCGCCGGACCCGATCACAGCAGATTTCATGATATGTCCCCTTTAAATCAATCAGATCAGGATCTCTTACCGTTCTGTGTATTTTCTCCTCCATGTCCTGGTTTATTCTCTGTAGTGCCGCATAGCTGCTCTGAATCCTGCAGGAGAGATGATGAAGATGAAGATGAAGACACTCTCTGTCATGAGTTTACAGTGGAAGTTATTACAGATATTCTTCTCCAGGCCTTGAGCTTTAAGACTTGGTCAAATTAAGACTCTTGTGTGTGTGGTTCATGTGGACTGGCTGTTAGTTTCAGATCAGTACGTGTGTCGACTGTAAATGCACTATTTACTTCTGGACAGGTTCCAGATCAGCTCGTTCGTTCAGTGAGCGCCTTCATGTTGTGCTTCTGACCTGCGCAGTTTCTCAGTGAATTTGTCCAGCTCTTCTTGTGCTCGCCGAAGCTCCGTCTCCAGAAACTCACGCGTCGTCTTAAACTCGTTCTCCAGCAGATGCAGTTTGTGTGTGGTGATGCCAAGACGCCTGCGCAGATCTTCCTTCTGCTCCTGCACTGAACTGCACACACACACACACAGAGAGAGAGAGAGAGTCAGACAGACAGAGAGACAGATCTCTCTCATTCATGTCCAGTGTCGGAGGGAATGCATTACTTATGTAATCAGATTACTTTTTTCAAGTAATTGACAAAGTAATGCAAGAGTACTTTTATTGACAACTTTTAGTTTTTTAAAACTTTAGAAGTTTTTCCTTTGAGTTTTCTGTGAACAGACGGCACCATTGTCACTATCCACATAATCAATGAAAACAACTAAAAATGTTAAGCAAACCAACAAAAAAAATGTATATATACTTTGTCAAGTCAAGTCACCTTCAAGTCATTGTCCAGCTTAACTGTTTTAAGTAAGTATAGGAAATCATTATTTTATTGTTAGCTTGTAAACGCGTTCTGGCTGCTCATTTGCTCGGCAGCAGTGTTTGGAGGCCTGAGAACGCAAACTTAGAATCAGGTTTCATAGACTTTATTCAGAGCAGCGCCATGACAGGTATGAAAGTGAGGCTGTGAGGGATAGACTTACCGTGTTTCCAATGGCATCCGCAGTAAAAAGCTGAATAAAGCGGCTAGATTACTTACAATTTTCCACAGCTTACATTGTCGGGAGTTTTTAGTCAACTGACATTTCTTGGAAAGATATTTTTCCAGTGTTTCATGAGCAGAACAATCCGAAAACACATTAAATAACAGTACAGCCCATTGAAGAGATGCATGTCTATCCCTCACAGCCTCGCTTTCATTCTCATTAAAAATCAAAGATGGCGCTGCCGTGAACAAGGCGTATAGTGCAGGTTTTAGAGAACGAGTTTTGAAAGCTATACCGTTCTCATCTCTGTCTAAACTTCAAAACCGTGAATCTGTGGAACATAATCTGATATTACGTGTTTAGTCTATCGGCATGTGTGTTTGAATGACCCGAGCTCATCCTCTCTCCGTCCGCCCTGCACCTCCTCAGTCCTCCTCTCTAATGGAGTTCAATAACTTTATTTTTGACTGGCAGAATTTGGTCTCTGTGTTCTTTATGTCGCTTCCCTAGAGCCAAAATGGGGGCTCGTCCGGGATGGTTGGTAAAAAGCTTTTTTTCCTTTGATACGTTGGGACTGAGCTTTTGTACTTCCCTTTTAATTCAGATCTTTTGGTGAATGCAGTGGATTGAGTATTTCTGAATGTATGCATGAGTTTCCCCGGTTATGTAGGGTGAGAGTCACAGCTGGGTTTGAATATTCAATCCTTTCATCGGTTCACTCTTTGATATTTCTCCTTTTTTATTTTCGTGGTTATTCTGTGTGGAGAGAGACGTGTTCTCTGTCGGGGGGCGCAGTTCATTGATCATAAGCCCACCCGGTCCTCCTCAGGAGATTCAGGAGTTAGGAGACACTAGAAGGATCCGGCTGGTCTCGTGTGTTAGTGGGTTTGGGCTCTGCAATTACGCACACTTTTTGGTACACTGAAAAGTTAGGAAAAGTTACATGATTTTACATTGCTTTAACTCATCAAAATAAGCAATTTTCAACTTTTTTAATACGCTATACAACATTCAACTCATTTTTTAAGTCAGTTTAATGTAATTGATTGTACTTAAAAATTTAAGGCAGCAACTTTTGTTTATAGTGGAAAAAAGGGAATATTTAGGTGAGTTGATAAATACAAAACTTAATGAATAAGTTAGGTGAGTTCAACTTTTCTGTGTTTATTTAGTGTCTTGGCAGTTTTTGTGTGAAGCTCCTTTGCGGACTTTAATGTTTGCCTTGAGTTTCGTGATTACTGAGTTGCATTATAAGTATTAGCTTGTCTGGGGTGAGTAATCTTCTGTGTTTGTAGTCTGTTGGGTTTCTAGCTCTACGTCTGTGTTATAAAAGAGCATTTGTTGTTGCTCGTCATGTTAGCGGTGTGCTATATGGAGCCGTTGTGTCGGCTGCACGTTTGTGTACGGTTCAGTGGAAGCTACTCTTTTTCTGTTTTGTGCTGTTTATTGTCTGCATTTGCTGCTCAAGAAACATTTCTGATTATTATCAATGTTGAAAACAGTTCTGCTTCATATTTGTGATGGAAACCGTGATCCACTAACTTTCAAAAGTTTTGGGTTTGAGAAAACAATAATTTTATTCACCAAAAACGCATTAAATTGATCAAAACATTGAAGACATTTATAATGTTGTTACAAAAGGTTCTGTTTTAAATTGTTGTTGTTTTTTTACTTTCTATCCACTAAAGAATCCTTAAAAATAAATGCATCACAGTTTCCTCAATAATCAGTTTTCAACACTGATAATAATCATAAATGTTTCTCAAGCATCAAACCCAGATGATTTACACTGGAGTAATATTTCATTGTTTTACTGTATTTTCAAATGAATTCAGCTTTGATCACAGGAATAAAGTACCTCATGCTCACTCAGCAAACACAGTCTTAGATCAAAAGCACTCAACGTGATTTATTCATGCACTTGTGGAACATCCATATGCATGAGATATTAAAGTTATACTTTAATGACTGAAAATCATAAAATGAAAGAAAAACAATAATAATTGATTCGTGTCACATGACTGCTTGTTTCGTAGTTATATCATTCAACTGTATGCGAAAGCTAAATATATATATATATATATATATATATATAACCAAAGTATTTAACGTTAGTAGTTAACTTTAACCCGGTTAACGTTCGGTTCAGCTTCTCTCAAAGTTATGAACACACGTTATCCTCCAGTAACATTAACAGAACGTTCTCTCAAAGCTCTCTGCTCTTTAATAATGTTCTCTAAACGCACAAAAACATTGTTTATACATCTTTCATGAAGCGTTTAAAAAAACTTTTAGTTGGACGTATGTTTAACACTCAAAAGTATTTTTTATAATTTAATGACAATATTAGTTAAATGTTCTTAATTTATTTATTTTTTTATCTGGGAGCCCAAATGTCAGTCCCTGTGCCTTTAATGTTCCCTGCGATCCGGATCAGGAAATGATGTCACTGATGTCTGGCTGATGTCTGATGGGTTTGAGTAGCGATCGATCCTAACAGGATCAGATGATGATGAGTGCAGATGACATTCAGATGAAGAGTGATGGATCTCTCTCTCTCTCTCCACTCTTACCTTCTCTTCTGAGGTTTACCAGCATTTCTCTGAGCTTTCACCGCAGTTTTCCCAATATAAACCTTTTTCATGGTTTCTTAGTGTGTTTGTGAGTGTTTCCTGCAGAATCACAAGCACACACACACAGACGGATGGACGAACGAGTCAACAATAATCAGCACATAATTATGCAGTATCCCAACAACACACACACACACAAGCTGTTTAACTAAACCGGAGGATTGCATTACAGAACTATTGTGAGCGTCAATATTTGTTTAAAACCATTCGCTTCTCAACAGCAAACAGAGACAGCAGCTCAAGATCCGCTGTAATCATTAAAGCGTAAAATAGATTTTTGCTCCTTGAAATGAAATAAAATTAAAAATAAACTTTTCATGACATCTCAAGTAAAGCTTGTCAACAGAAGCTCTGGCAGCTTTAGTGACACAAAACAAGCATCTGTCACGTGACTACTGAGACACCACACACACACACACACACACACACACGCACAAACACACACACACACACACACACACGCATAAACACACTTACTAACACACACACTTACACTCACAGACAAACACTTACACTCACTACATACACACACACACACTTGCTGACACACACATACTGACACATATTCACACATACTCACACTCATTACTCATACACACTGATGGTTCTTCAGTTGTTGTAATAACTCTAAAGGAATATATGAGTGTGTATCTGGAGCTGTGTGTGTTTGTTCAGTCGGACTGTGTGTGTATCAGTCGCTTCTTTCTGTGCAGCAGAATATCAAATGAACATGTTCCCAGTGCAGAGAAACAGTAGAGACGAGTGTGTGACGAGTGTCTCCCACTGCAGATATTTGTTCAGTGTGAGAAAATCATCATTAATGAGAGATTATCATGAACACAAGATCCGTTTTCATTCCATGCATTTAAATATGTTTTTGTGTTTGTGTGATTTTGTGGTAGTTAAACACATTCGGGCTCCCGTGAACCGCTGCAGTTAAACCGGAGCCCAAAGGAGGCGCTCTTCTGTCAGTGACCAATCTCTTTAAAGCTCATCTTTTTTCATACTCTGCATTAAACGGATTATCCAGAAGAAGTAAAAAAGTGTGTGAGTGATTGGGTGAGTGAGTGAGTGAGTGATTTTATTGAGATCGTGAGTGAGTGAATGATTGTGTGAGTGATTGACTGTGTGAGTGATTGTGTGAGTGTGTGATTGAGTAACAGTGAGTGACTCAGTGTGTGTGTGTGTGTGTGTGTGAGTGAGTGATTGACTGTGTGAGTGTGTTTAATTGTGAGTGAAATACTTCTGCAAATGTACTCACAAAAACAGTAAACAGTAAAGTGAGTAAAAGGGAAAGTAAATCATCATGTTTCTCATTTAGAGCTCAAGAATCTCCATTAAATGATCAGCATTTTCTGGTCATATTAAAGCACTGTTATAGTAATATCAATAATCTATCATCATCTATCATTCTACAATAGTTTTCTAGATACAGTTGCAGTGAAATATTAGACTCAGAGAATCTCAAACACGAGCGACTCACACACATTAAAACATGCAGCTCTTCACGCGAGTTACTCACCGTCTGTAAAGCTTGCGTTTCATGATCAAATACTGTAAGCTCGATATACACGTCAACACACACACAGCACGAGACAAACCTTAGCTAAACACACGTCAACACACACACACACATGCAGCACGAGACGAGCCTGAGCTACACACGTCCGTCCACAGTCTCCACACACACACACACACACAGCGTGAGATGAGTCTGAGCTACACACACACAGGAGGAGGAAGACACAGAAGAGAAGAAGAGCATCTTTACCTGCTGCCACCATCGTCTTCATCAGAGTCCTGGAGGAACAGAGGGAAAACACTGACGGTTACTCGTGACTGACAGCTGTCATCAACACGTCACACAAACCCCATTCATCACTGCTCTCAGTCAGTAAACAATCACTGCTCGTTTGTTTAGGGAGATACTGAGTGAGCTTACGCACGCCAATTACACACACTTACACCGATTAAACACACGCACACCAATAACACACACCCAATAACACGCACTCACACCAATAACACCAACACTCACATTCACACCAATAACACACACACACACACATGTTTTTCCTGCAGAACATCTTCATAACCAAGACTGTCATATGGCAATGATCCAATATTGACTAACACTGAATATCATCACAGCTGAAGCCCATTATTCCCACTCTGTCACACTGTTTTCTCAATCCATTTATTTCTGAGCGACACACACTGTTATCCAGACCGTCTCAAAACTCCCCGCCTCAGATCACACCGATCCTTCTCCTCAGACACAGTTGCTATGGCAGTGACTCCAGTTGTCCTGTTGCTCCAGAACTACACAGCCTTTATGACTGACATTTTCACTTTAATGCAAAACAGACCAAATGAATTATTAATACGGCTGCTGTTCCCCGGCAGATGAGAGAAGTGTGTCCAGGCAGTGGCGTGAATAATACGAACCGCTGATGTATTTTTAATAAATTCTGTCATAGAGCAGCGATGGGCTCGATTACTCCTGTGATCTCAAAATAATGTTTGATAAGAGCCTTGCATATTGTTTTAAAGGACGGTATATTTTATACAGCAAGTAACTTGCATTTGGTGACTTCCCAGCTAACAGGAAACTTTCTCAGAACTTTAGTTGAATGTTCATATAATATTTTCAAATGTTTCAGAACATTCAGAGAACTTTCAGAAATAACGTTATCATAATTTCATTGGGAACATTAACAAAAACCCTCTTAAAAATCCTCAGAAAAAATCCAAACCAGTTCCTTCAGAAAGTAAACAATTTAAGTCAGTCAAAGCGCTTTTAACAATATAAATGTTTCACAGCAGCTTTACAGTGATATCAGGAGATTACAGTAACAGAGTGTTTAGGCAGATCTAGAATAAAGTTATTGTCCAGATAAAGTTAGTTTTGATTGATTGACTTCCGTTGTAATGATCGTTAGTTATTAACTTTGGATCCGCTTACACGACACCTTTCAACTGAAAACATAAAACTTTTAATGCGTTCTGGCCGTTCATTTGCACGACAACGGTGTTTGGTGGCTCGAGAACGTAAACTTTGAAATATGTTCCAAGATAAACATACAGAAATCAACAACTTCATTAAATATTCAAAAAACAAGCTAGAACACGACACATCTGACTCTCACAGTCGTAATGTGGATGTTTGTGCGGAGCCACTGAACAGAAAGCCCTGATTCAGGGTTTATGTGTGGATTTCTCCGAGACTCACCGGGTTGTTGCCCGCAGAGGGTCTGGGAAGCGAGGTGGAGCGGTATGGTGGTCGCGGCGCCCCGTCTGAACGCTTTGAAACTGGACACTGGCGTCTGTGAGAAGATTCACCGCTCATAGGTAAAGTTCTGTTCTCCACGTCTCTTGGATGTGTTGAGCTCACTTCATCTTCCCTCCTCACTTGGTCGATGTCAGTCTCTAGGTAGGTCCTTCCCAATGTTCCCGATCCCTCTTGAGTCCTTCTCAGGATCTTGCTGGCGTCCAGAATCTTGCAGCTCGGCATGCACTTGGCCCACTTGTGCACGGAACCATCCCTGGAATCACAGACAGAATCCCTACTAGAAGCAAACCAAGGGCTGCAGGGGGGAGAACTGGAAACTGGAGTTTGATTTAAACATTGGAGAGATGAACTGACAAGCGGCTCCTTCTGATGGACATGCGCTCCGAAGGCTTGCAGACACTCGGGCTTCAGCACCCGGCATGTCACCTCGTTCAGAAACTGAGAAAACTTTAGCTTCTCTTCGATCTTCTGCTCTAAGTGTGTAGAGGCCGCAGAAGCAGTAGAGGACCCCGAATCCCTGCGGACTAACGCCACCTGCTCCTCTCCCTCCTGGCTCTCCGATCCCGGGCAGCTGTCGGAGTTCTGGTAGCCGGTCTCAGAATCGCTCGTACCTCCTGGTTGGCTCGCCGATTTTGCACGCACCCGAAAAACCTCCTCGCTGTGCTGTTTAATGGAGCTGCGCAGGAGACAGGTGGCACCGGAGCTCCAACTGTTGGTGTCCCAGCTGTCGTCCTCACTGGAGCTGCGCAGACTGGGACTGGAGCTGCGCAAACTGGGACTGGAGCTGCGCAAACTGGGACTGGAGCTGCACAGACTCAGACTGGAGCCCTGCAGGACCGAGGATGTCGGAAAGCTCTTGAGGCTGCTCACTGAACCCTTTAGGCTTGGCAAGGATCCTTGCAGGCTGGAGATCGAGCTCTTCGTTGAGGTGAAACCATGCAGGGTGGGTGAGGAAAGGCTCGACAGACAGCGAGGCACCGGCTCTTCATTTAAATCGCATCCGGAGAACACGGGACAAGAGGCTGTGGATGAACAGGATCCGCGCTCCTCCCTGACGGACGCCGTCTTGGGCCTCGGCTGCCTCTTCAGGGTGGACGCCGTCCCATTGACCGTTACCCCTCTTCCCGTTTTCGATGAACCGTTTTGCATTTTCGAGTTTTGAGTGCACGGGAAACTGTTGCATGATGATCTGGGCTAGCCAGATTTTGCCGGCTCTCACGCCCAGCGTCTCCCTCACACCGTCGCCCTACATGCAATTACTGACACACTTTCTCAAACTTCTCCCGGATCTGCAAGGACAAACGCGTACAGACTTCAATACATACTGATTATTAGGTGAATAAAGGCGATAACACAATCTTTTCTGGCATACGCATAGCGAACAATCCCTCCGTATGTGTCCTGTTGATAAAGTCTAACAGGAATCCTGGTCAACTTTCCAGGTCAGTTGCTCTTTAGAGCAGGACATTGATCATGATGCCACATGATGGACGGGATGTGGGGCAGAACTTGTGTTCCATAAATCAATTTTTCATTGAAGTTTACAAAGGCAGACTAAAGCTGGCTCTGTGTGGTCAGGATTGCTGGTCCATGATGGAGATTATGGCTTCATTACGTATGTAGTTTAACGGAGCATCAGAGCCGAGTGTGGTTGAAGAGATGAAGACGATGTGAGGTGAAGATGTAAACTGCAGTATCTATTCAGTGTCAACTAGAGACTAACTAAAAGCAATGAGATAGCTGGCGTTGAAAAGGTTCGAACAGACAGAAAACTGTGGGCACGTTTCATTATCGAAACGGCATATTGGAGCCTTTTGACTTTTCATTGTATGTACAAAAACAAAATACTGAGACATTTTGCGCAAAAGAAAAAGCCATTCGTGTTTGGAACGGCGAGTAAATGATCAGTTCTGGGTGAACGATCCCAATAATGTGGTCCATTCAATCTCTGATTTAAAGAAAGTTTTGTGCTGTATCGACTAGCAAGCTTTTGAATCAGTGATGAAGGCTGAAACTAAGAAACCTCTAGGACACAAAACACATTTTGCTGTCTCTTGGGTCAAGCCTATGGAATCACATACATTTAACAGACAATTGAATGGAACATTGTTTAGAATGAGCGATGACTGAACCATTGACTGGCAGATTCATCAATACACACATCAATATACCCTTAAGGTCAAGGTCAAGGTCAAGGTAAACTTTATTATCCCACAAGGGGAAATTCATGTAGTCATTACGCGCTGTTATCACAAACAAACCTTCTAAAAACAAAACATTAAAAAAGAAACACAAAAGGTAATAACAATACTGTGGATTTGACAATCACAATCCAACATTTAAAGCTAAAACTATAACAACTTGCGATGTACTTGATCATTATACAATCTGATTGATGTAGGTACAAATGATTTATTGTACCTCTCTGTTCTAATTCTCTGTTGTATAATTCTACCAGTTGACCTATTACTTCTCATAAATTTATAATGAAGAGGGTGAGCAGGATCCTTGAGGATCTGATCAGTTTTTTTTAAGATAAGTTCATTATACAGTTCAGCTACCGACACCTGGTCAATTCCAATGATCCTGCTGGCCATCTTAATCATGCGCTGCAGTTTCCCTTGATCTTTAACATGCATGTTACCAAACACACAGATAAGGCCAAAGGACAGAACAGACAGAACCTTAAGCAACATGCTGAGCAGCAAACACACACACACTCACACACACTCTCTCTCTCTCTCTCACACACACTCACACACACTCTCTCTCTCTCACACACACACACACTCACGCACACAGTCTCTGTCTCTCTCTCTCACACACACACACACACTGAACATCGTGCTGAGGAAGATCTCAGATGTCGTGGGTCGTTGCGTGGACAGAATCAGCACTGATCAGGCCAAACAAACCTCTGTAGACTCTGAACATTCATATTATGCTGTTTTTCCATATTTTACATTTTATTAAAATTTGATCTTATTTTGAATAAGTTATCTGAGAAGATATTTGGCAGACATTGAATACATGACTTATCATTTATATTTATATATGTTGACCTGCCACACGACCGTAGAAATCAGTTATCGTCCAACAGGTTAGATGAGCGTGTGACGGCTCGGCTTCAGTTCAGCACGTCCTCCTTCTGGTTCCTCTCTTCCCTGTGTAAATATCATCCGAAAAGTTAAAGGATCTTGAGCCGAATTGAATCTTGAGGGAAATTTCCTCTGTTGTGAGAGTCCATCATTAATATCAACGGAGCGCAACCCTCCTGTGAGAGAGACCGTAGATCATCGCTGGTGTTTATGCTTTATGATCAATAACTGTCTGAAAGAAGCCGATGAAGAGATTCTGAAGCATGAGCAATAATCATCTGCGTGTTACTGTACTGCGGAGAAAAGAGTTTCAATCTGTGCCCGTCTATCAAAAATATGTTCTGTGTAAATCTCAAGTATGAATGATTTGTGTCGTCTGAATACCGCATCTACATTTATGCATTTGGCATTTATGCTTTTTTTCAAAGAAACTTACATTACATTCTAGTTATACAGTATGCATTTTTTCAGTTCAATGCATTCATTTAAATGCAATTCCCTGGGAATCTAACCCATGATCCTGATTAACTCGAGTCTCACGCCACTAAAATCATCAAATAGACCTTCTGGAAAACGTACAACTATATTGCATTAATGAATGCAGACAACTTTAGTGTGTGTGTGTGTTTGGGAGTGTGTGTGAGACAATATGTGTGTGTGTGTGTGTTGTGTGTGCGAATGGATGTTGTAATGAATGCAGCCAACTTCTTTTTGGGATAACGTTATAGATGAGTTTAATGGAGGTTCTGTGAACTTTAACTGGACATCAGATTCTGGTCTGACCTTTGAGATCAGATGTCGGGAGTGTGGACTGAAGCAGAATGCTCATCAGTGTTTGATTTCTTTCAGTTCTCATTTTAGTTTCAACAACGACGATTCCCACGAGAGCCAATGAAGCGTGTGCGTTCTGCTCCGCCTCTTTTCCTTATATGGCGCTGAATGGAAGCCGTTCGGCAGAGACTCGCTCCTCGCACTCAGCTTCATTACGGCTTACGTCATCATCACGCCTTTATAGATGATGTACAGTATTATCCAGTGTTCTCATTTCCTGTACACAATGTAATGCTTTATTTTTAATAATTGAAGATTCAGTCATATCTGATTATCATATCTCAGTGCAGGAGTTCTGCGAGAGATACTCGTTCAGATACACATATTCACATCTATAATTGTAAAACAATGTTCCTTTATGAGATAGTGGATTTAATTATCTATTACATATCGGTGTGTGTGTGTGAGTGTGTGTGAAACTGAAAATAGATCAGGAGAATGTGTTGGTTCCCCCTGTTACCATGACAACCACTGGCTGCATATGTATTGAAACGGGCTCATATCCACCAGGACCCAATTATTTTTCAGAGGTACGACACAATAGAGACGCACTGATACACACATCTATAGTGGATCACCACATCTGAGAAACAATATGAGATGTGCGGATAGATCCCAATGGGTTTTGATGTATATGAAAAACATGAAGAGTTTTCAGCACCTACTGGTGAACTCACACACACACACACACACACACACACAGAATCAGACAGGGTTGAGCAGCGCTGTTGAATGTCGATCAGTATAATCAAACTTTTAGTATTTGATGCTTTGAGTGATTAATCATCACAGTTTACCTGGAAATCATCTGCGATTGAACACATCTTAAAGCGTCTTGATTTGGGGATTTTGATCTCCGTGTGTATACACACACTCTTCCTCTGTGTGTGTGATTATATGCTCTAATCCATCATCAGAATCTCATCACTCATTATAAATACTTTAAAATCACCTGAATCACTTATAAACAGTGGAGATGCAGGGATCAGTGTGTGTGTGTGTGTGTGTGAGTGTGTGTGAGTGTGTGTGAGTGTGTGTGAGTGTGTTCAGAGCTTCACAGACAGACTGATGGGAATGAGATGCAGGGATCAGTGTGTGTGTGTGTGTGTGTGTGTGTGTGTGTGTGTGTGTGTGTGTGTGTGAATACTGATGGTCCAGAGGATCTTCCTCATCTCTGTCTCTCATTAGTGTTTCTTACCCCGATGTCTTCTCAGTCCTTCTGTCCGGCTCACGGTCTGGCTGATAATAATGATATTACAGTATCTCTGCGTATGATAAACAGTGCCAGCATAAAGAAGAGCTGGTCTGACGTGCGCTGATGATCTGCTCATGATTTACGGTTCGGCTCTTTATTGTCCCAGAGGGAAATCAGTCTTGGCCTCAACGCTACAGCCACTGCGTCATAAAACCAGTAAAACTGACAAAATAACACAAAACAATAACACCATAAATTAGAGAAAGGAACAAAAGGATTGTGTGTTGGACATGGGTGTTTGAGCGATGGGGTTTATATCATTGTGCGCTTATGGTAAAAAATGAGCTGGTAACTCCAGGAAATGTAAGAAATATAAACCAAACTTGTGCATCAAATCTCAGCTGTGATGATGTTAACTGTTGACACACACAGTAAAGCCACAGAAATAAATATACACTATCCAGCAAAACTCTCGCCTGCTTGACTGTTGATATCGTGGGAAAAAAACGAATCGGTTTCCTGACGTACCCTCGGTTCTCTCTAGATGAGGGAACGAGTATCGCGTAAGTTAGCTTACTCTGTGGGAAAGATTCGTCTTCTCGGGATATTGAAGCCAAAAAATTATCCTTCATTTTGTATTCATTGTGGAGCGGGCATCCTAGCGTGCTAAGAGGAGCACTGAACGGCGTGTTCCCCTGACTGTGGTAACAGAGATATAGGAGGGAAAGCATACAGCGGCTGGGCAAGGATCGGGTCCTTGTTCTTTCAAAAGAACTGTGGGCAGCGAGAGGTCGACTTCCGCCATATTAACTGGACTGTGTGGAGTGCACGGATAAGAGAACTATATTATCATAAAGCTGGAATCTTCTAAATTCAAAATTAAATTCCTTCATAATGATTTTCTGTTCATGCTTCGAGTAATAAAGCTGTTGAATATAAAAGCTTTGCAGTTTTAAAGATCAGAGATAAATGGAGATTTTGTTTCCTAAAAGAAAGAAGTGATTCTGAACTGAAGCGAGTCGTCAGTAACTCAGTCTCACTTCCTGCTGTAGGTTTATAACTCATTAGCATAATGCCAGCCTGTGCTCCTGATTGGCTGAGCAGCGTCTCTTAGCTCCGCCCTCAAACCCTAGTGTATCTGAGACTGGGAGAGTCGGGCTCGTGTTGTTGGTGTCCAGAAGACGCTGTTCTCCACTTTGATGAGATTGAGACGGTGAAACTACTGTTCGTATCACTGTGATCAAGAGCTGAGATTCAGATCTGACCAATCAGAGCAGAGCAGCTCTCAGAGAGGCGGGGCTTAGAGAGACACTGAGAGGAAAGAGGTGCAGATTATGAGGACATTAGTGTGTTAAATGTGTGTGTCAACATTAGGCTTTATGATGGCATACATTATATTGTGATGTTCTGTAAAGCTGCTGAATCAATGTGTATTGAGGAAAACAATATATAAATAAATTTGACTTGATGTTCAATGAATTGTTAAGAGACGTGCAAGGCTGATTATAACAGGACACACACACCGTCCTCACAGCAGATCAGACTCATCGAGGGACACAGATATCATCTTCCTCTTCCTCTTCCTGCTTTGTGCATCGTTCCCATGGCAACGTGACCGGGAGAGAGAGCCGCAGGTTCTGCCCTCGTTCTGTCGCTTTTGTTGGCAAATCCTGATGCTTCATTACAATCCTGGAAACACACACACACACACACACTCACGTCTCGCATGATGAATGAGAGCGAGCTTATAAAATTAGGTAGGCCATCACGGCAGCTGCGCGCGCACACACACACGCGCACACACACACACACATTCTGAAGTGACTCCACAGGAAGCTCCTCGGGAAGGGAAAGAAATCAATACCTTTATAGTCCAGAAATCAATGAATCAGCCCGAGGGTCTGAATAACAGATGCTAACACACACTCCACAGGAATCAGCAGCAGATTCAGACCACTCACACACACACACACACACACACACACACACACACACACACAGTGTGAACAGGCTTCACTACACTTCTCTCCTGTAAAGGTCACGCAGATCTGAGAAGAACAGCTCAGTCACACCAGCGTTCATCACACACACCAGTGTTTATTACACACCAGTGTTTATTACACACCAGCGTTCATCACACACACCAGTGTTTAACTCTCGTCTTTCATCTTTCTGCATTTCTGCTCGGATTCACCGAAGCTTCTGATCTTCCTGAGTGATGTAAGACTCCGGTAACTTCATCATCCTCACAAGTCGATGTGACCGAGATCCTCACTAACTCCAAAAACAGAGAAAACACCATCAGATTTTCATTTAGGGAGAATTGGGACATGTCACTTATTCACAAAAACAGCTCCTACTTTGCGTTTCTCCTCCGCTCTCGTCTCGATCTCGTCTCCTTCAGGCTTTTTAAAAGGATGCATTTTAAAAGCGTCTCTTAAATGCATGAATGTAAATGTTATTAAAAGGGCAAAACCAGTGATGCACTTTCGAAAGTAGTACACACAGTAACATTACACACTATAACTTTATACACACTATAACATACACATTATTAAAGCTGAAAGCAGCGATGAAAAGGCCCTCGCACTCGTGCTAATGCCACCCGGTGGCTTTAGGAAGACAGAGCACAGCACAGTGGACAATGTGCTTTTAATTACGTAAATTTAGGTGGAGTATGTCAAAGTCAGTTAAAAATGTCCTTTATAATGGGGATAATAGCATGCGTTATTACTCAGACAAGTGTTGCTAACGTGTTTAGAACTCAATGAAATATTTAAAATGTTGGTAGTAGTACATCACACTGTTAAATATGTCACTTCTTGTGACCAGCAGGTGGCGCTGTGACTGTAACTGAATATGAGCATGGACATGTGTTCAGGACAGAGCTCTTATCAAACGCGTGAAGTTTGGAGCAGATTGGACATTGTTTCCCTGAGTTACAGCAACTTCCTGTTTCATGGCGAAACATCTAAATTTGTCAGGCCGCCGAGGACACGACCTTCAACGAAAACTCAAGATCTTCGCAATTTAACGTCGCAAAGGCCTTACGATTACACTCACCAAATTTGAAGATGATCGGATTGAAACTGTAGGAGGAGTTTGTTAAAGTACGTGGGCTGAAAATGGCAGAAAATGGCAGAAAAATCAGAGAGGAAGATCAAAATGGCTGACTTCCTGTTGTGTTTTGGGGTACGCTCCAGGAGACTTTTTTGTAGGTCTTGGGTCATTACATGCATGAACCTGTTAAAACATCACTTCCTGTTACCAGCAGGCCATTATCTCTAAAATCGTCGTCAAGTACGGATATTTGAAGACGTATTTCATCCAGCTTTTGGCATTTGATTAGGTCTGAGAACGGTGATTTGTGGTTTGATTCTCTGGGTTTCTTGTCTTGATGTAATTTTATGTGTCTGTGTGTTATTTGTTGCCTGTGGACAGCACTTTGGTCAATTTTAATGGTTTTGAAAGTGCTTTAAATATAAATTGAGTTGAGTTGAGTAAACATGTCACTTCCTGTGGCCAGTTGGTGGCGCTACTACTATAAATGAATATTCTCATGTAGTTGTGTTCAGGCCATGACTATTATCAAACATGTGAGGTTTGAGGCAGATTTTAAATTTTCACATTGAATCCTATTTGTTCTTCTTCCAGCCCAGCTGTTGAGCGTGTAGTTCTCTCCATTATAAAGAGATTAGTGATGTTAATTATACTGGTTTAATTAAAGTGAATCAATGAGGCTCATCCAACTAATATTAAATTGCACTTGAGGTCAAACCTCTTTTCATTGAGTCATGCATTTGATTTTTTAATACAAGCATTTTCAGGAGCTCTATGATATCTAAACTGAAGATTTGTGCGATAATAACTAATGACCTGCCAGTCCAGCCGCAGCTGTTATTACTGTAAATATACAGCATGAATCAGACGTTTATGGCCGAGTCCATTAAAGTGTCTCAAATGAATCGACCTCTTTGTATTTCATGTAACGGTTGTACTGTATATATATCATTAACTCTGCAGGAATGAGGCCATCTGCTCGTCTCACTGCTTATTGTGTTTGGTTTATAAATATAGCGCATTAAACATCATTAAGTCCGCCTGTCCTGCTGAGTTATAATTACTCCAGAAGATGAAGCAGGAGAGAGCCGAGTGTTCACCTTCAGATCTCTCGACACCGTTGTTCATTTATTCATTTTCCCTGTTCCCGCTGTAATCAATCATCGCTGAGTGACGGACGCTTGTCCACGGCCTCCCGCTGAGCCGAGAGACTCTCGGGACGGACGACGTCTCAAATGAGATCAAAGTGGCGCAGATCAATGCCAGATCCCTGTAAATGATAATTGAAAAGCTCATATTTCATAGCAGCCGCTGTGCTGGTTATAAAACACTCAAATGAAGTTGGAAGGATTGCTTTTCTGACAAGATTGAATTGGGGCTTTTATTTACAATCCCCCTGTGGTTTCACCCTCATGTACAAATCACAGCCTGTTTTTCCAGCTAGTTTATCAATGTTTACATCCAGATCGGATCAGCACATCACTAAGAAAAGACATCAAACTCATTTCACAGTTCCTTTGGTGAAATTCAACAATTTAGAGGCCAAAACAACATTTAAAGGGCCTAAATTCTCATAAACAAAAATTCTCTCCACTATATCCAAAAATAGCATATATGAAGAGTTAGTGTGGTTCTCTCGGCGGGGTTCTTTAGGTTCTTTATTGGCATCGATGGTTCCATGAAGAATCTTTAACATCCACAGCATCTTTCCACTGCACTAAAGGCTCTTTATAACGGAAGAAGGTTCTTTAGATTAGTTTAGATCTGTGGTGTTTGTGTGTGCAGTTGGAGGTGTTTGATGGGTGGAGTTTACATCTGTGGTGTTTATGTGTGCAGTTGGAGGTGTTTGATTGGTGGAGTTTAGATCTGTGGTGTTTATGTGTGCAGTTGGAGGTGTTTGATGGGTGGAGTTTAGATCTGTGGTGTTTGTGTGTGCAGTTGGAGGTGTTTGATGGGTGGAGTTTAGATCTGTGGTGTTTGTGTGTGCAGTTGGAGGTGTTTGATGGGTGGAGTTTAGATCTGTGGTGTTTATGTGTGCAGTTGGAGGTGTTTGATGGGTGGAGTTTAGATCTGTGGTGTTTGTGTGTGCAGTTGGAGGTGTTTGATGGGTGGAGTTTAGATCTGTGGTGTTTATGTGTGCAGTTGGAGGTGTTTGATTGGTGGAGTTTAGATCTGTGGTGTTTGTGTGTGCAGTTGGAGGTGTTTGATGGGTGGAGTTTAGATCTGTGGTGTTTATGTGTGCAGTTGGAGGTGTTTGATGGGTGGAGTTTAGATCTGTGGTGTTTGTGTGTGCAGTTGGAGGTGTTTGATGGGTGGAGTTTAGATCTGTGGTGTTTGTGTGTGCAGTTGGAGGTGTTTGATGGGTGGAGTTTAGTGTCTGACTGAAGCAGCTGCTGCTCGCGGATTCATCGATCAAACTGGACTTTCTCAGAGGAGTTTCTTCATTTCCACAGTGTCTGTTTTCTTGAAAGATTATGGATAGTTTACGGATAAGTAAGTTTGTATGATGATGATGATGATGTGAATGCGATTATTAACGGAAGCTCGAGTCCCGGGAGGATGAATGTATTTCTCCGGCTCGGATTCTCATCTCTGCTGCTCTTCTGCGCGCCCGTTTCTTCTCAAGGTGAATTATAGAAATATAGATCTTAATATCTTCGTAACGTCGCTCTTAATTGACTGACTAACTGACGCGCATAATCAGATCTGTTGCATTTCTACAGCTGTCAGTCAAACTTCGTGTGTTGGAGTGCGCGTGAGACGCGATGCGTGACTCCGGACAGATGATTGCTTATTCGTCAGTAATGTGTGTGTGCGTGTGTGTGTGTGTGTGTTCAGGTCCAGATTGTGCTGCTGGATGTAATGGACAGCACGGGTTCTGTGAGTCTGGAGAATGCAGGTGAGTGTTGAAAACGTCATTAACCTTTTTTAGAAATAAATGAAATGTATAGAGATGCTGTCAGTGTGTGTGTGTGTGTGTGTGTGAGAGAGAGAGAGAGAGAGAGAGAGAGAGAGAGAGAGACTTGCATTGAATTGTCCAGACGCTCATATACAGTCAAACCACAAATTATTCAGACACCACCAGATATAATTTTTGATATTTTTCTACTACGGTGTGCAGGACACTTCATTTATGTAAGTGAGGAGAGCAAAATAATTACATATTACAGAGACATATTACACACAATAACTCTTCATACAGTGACATTAATAAACTGACTCCTCCACTGTGAGCTGATGATGTTCTGCTGAAGTGTGTTTTCTGCTCTTTTTACACACACACTGAACAACATTCGCATTGCTTGGTCACTGGTTGAGCTAAACTGGTATTCTCTAATTGTGTCGTTCAATTGATCAGCTGACAGATATTCAACATAATTCATGTGTGAGAGTCCAACAGAAGGACAAAACCAGTCACATATCAAACACTGAGTTCTGCTCACATTTATCACCATTTACTCAACTATAGCCCATACACTGATGATGGGAGGAGTGCTGAGTGTGTGTGTGTGTGTGTGTGTGTGTGTGTGTGTGTGTGTGTGTGTGTGTGTGTGTGTGTGTGTGTGTGTGTGACTGTACATCATGGATACTTTTAAAACCAGTTAAAGGTCAGTGATGGACTCAGGTGTGTGTGTGTGTGTGTGTGTGTGTGTGTGTGTGTGTGTGTGTGTGTGTAAAAGCAGATGTGTGTGTTTTTGTGTAAAGGCAGGTGTGTGTGTGATTTTCAGGTGTGTGTCCGGCTGGCGCGGGCCGGCGTGTGATCAGTGTGTTCCTCCGCTCGGGTGTGTGTACGGGACCTGTGAGGAACCAGGCCAGTGCATCTGTGAGCGCGGCTGGACGGGAGCGCGCTGCGACCGAGGTCTGAAACACACACACTCTTCCAGATCCAACACCTGAACAATCTCAGATCAACACGTGTGCTGGACAAGCAAATCTCTTCAAATATATATATATATATATATACAGTATATTAACGTTTATTTGTCCAGCCCTTTCCACAACACACATCGTTTCTAAACATCTTTACAGAAAGTGCACGAGTCCACATTACACTGTACAGAGATCAGTCATCAGACGACACGCACTTATGCATTTCAGAAATATACATAAACAAAATCACAGTTACCTAAAAATGTATTCATTTAAACAGTGTAATAATTTAAGGCAGAGATGATGAGCTCACTGAAGTGATGGATACTTGTTTGATAACAGATGATTATGACATTTAGAGAAGTGTTGATTCAGAGTCAGCCTCATCTGAAGTCAAAGTCAATATTATAATTATGTTTATGCTTAAAGTAAGTAATATTTTTTCTTGTTTTAAGCATAAAATCAATAACTTTTCATAATATCTTCAGTCATTTTGCTTCTCCAGTAAATGTATCTTGATTTAAGAATGTTTAGATATTTGATATTATGTCAGATGATATGCTCTACAAACGTTTGGCTGATATTCTCATCAAGTTATTAAGTTGTTCCAAGTTTTGCTTGAAACAATCCACTGTTTCGTTCTTTTAAACATTGTGTGAACGAAATTGTTGAATGTTTTCTAAATGTTATGAAACTAGTATTTAAAAAAGTTAGACGAACGTCCAACTGAAACATAAATGATGTTTAAATTACCCAGCAAGCAATTCTGCGTTTAAAAAACTAATATCCGTCCACACACAGCACAGCCCGAGGATCTGCACTAGCCATCAATCAGATAACAAAGAAATGAAACCAAACACCTTGTACATGTTGACTTTGCTTACATGATGGAATATCGCACATTTTGCGAGTTATTTTGGCCAAAACAACATTTTTATTATTTTGTGTAGAAGTGTGTGACTCACCGCCGGACTACACCGGGTCTGTAGTTCACCGAGTCGGAGAAATGACGGAGATTGCTAGCTGGGAACATTTTGTGTGAATATTTTGAGAACATTAATAAAGACCAAATCATTGTCCAGCACAGCTTCAGTGTGTGTGTGTGTGTGTGTGTTTTCCTCTCAGACGTGCGGCCGTGTTCAGCGAAGCCCTGCTCGGGGAACTCCAGCTGTGTGTCGATGGAGGCCGGAGGACACGCGTGTGTGTGTGCTGGAGACGGGTAACACTGACCACTGTTTGCTCTGTTTAACGTGTGTGTGTGTGTGTGTGTGAGCGAAAAGCATGTTTACTCGTCCACAGAAATATTCCTTGTGATATTCGCGAGCAGACCTGCTGAGATTATCCAGCGCTGGCATTAATCAGTGTTCGCATCGATCCATCTTATTTGACCTTTACAAAGAAATCAAGAGCAATCCATCAAGTGTGCAACCGCTGGCTAACAAATACAGTCGTCACAAAAACTCCTTAAAGGCTTAGGTCACCCAAAAATGAAAATTCTGTCAGTGTTTACTCACCCTCATGTTGTTCCAAACCTCCATGTGTTTATTTGTTCTGCTGAACACCAAGGAAGATATTTGGAAGAATGTTTTAATCAAACAGATCTCAATCCCCATTGACTACCGTAGTGGGTGAGTACATGAGGGTGAGTAAATACTGACAGAATTTTCATTTTTGAGTGAACTAACCCTTTAACATGTCTGAGCTTCACTGCATTAGATGCGTAATATAAAGTTATGTTTATTTCTACTGTGCTTTATGAGGTTCAGATCGATGCAAAGCCGCTTCAGTAATAAACACAATCAAAGATGGAAACTTCATTAAATATGAAACTCTACAGAAGACGATACCTGTTGATGATGGATAGGGCCTATAGCTGGGCTGGGTGGAGTCATTATTCAGATCAGGTTTTGTTCGCATCTCAGTTCGCTCAAATCAACAATATTAATGAATATTAAGTGTCTTTCAAATGCCAAATAAACAAGCTCAAACTCTGCCAGGTGACAGAAACACAATCACATGATTAGATACTGTGATGTATAATGGAGTGAGTGGTGCTGCTGAAGCTAAAATAATGATGATGATGCGTGTGAAAATGGCGTGTGACAGGCATATGATGATGCGTGTGATGATGCGTGTGATGATGCGTGTGACAGGTGTGTGATGCGTGTGACGGAGGTATCTGATGACGCATGTGACAGGTGTGTGATGCGTGTGATGATGCGTGTGATGATGCGTGTCCTGTGGTCCGCAGCTCCCGCTGTCATAACGGAGGGTCGTGCTCCGGCAGCCGTTGCCTGTGTCCTGCTGGGTTCACCGGCGCGTTCTGTGAGATCCCGCTGGACGTCTGCGAGCCCAGTCCGTGCCTGAACGGAGGCCGGTGTGTTAGCGGGACCCGCTGCTCCTGTCTGCCGAGATTCACCGGCCCGTCCTGTGAACTTCACGTCAAGAAGCTGAAGCTGAAGGCCCGAGGTAAAGCTCAGCACTTCTCGGCTCCGGCGGTCCACAAGCTCCTCCGGCCGGTCCCGGTGTCCCGTCCGCTGGTGACCCGCAGCCAGATCCTCTGCTTCGCCGTTCTGGGTCTGCTCACCTGTCTGGTGGTGCTGGTGACCACGGGCCTGATCTTCTTCCCTCGCTGCGAGGTGTGGGTCGCCAACCGCAGGTACAGACGGCTGGTTCAGGAGAACCAGAGGAACCTCCTCCAACACGCGCCCGTCAACATCATCCTGCCGGAGCAGATGCGGCTCAGTCCCCACGGGCCGCGCTACACCTCCATACGGCACACCGCTGACCCTGATCTCTGATCAGATCACAGGCTTTTGTCTGATGCACACGTGCAAATATACAAACATGATCATGTGAGGCTGACATTCGAAAGCCATCTGTCTTTTATAAACACACATTAGATTCTATTACCTTATACATTATTGTACTTTTTTCTACTCTCTTAATTAATGTACTGGTAAATGTATTATTTACTTATTCATTCATTTTTAGTCATTTTTAAAACAAATCTCAATTTTATTAATGCATTTTTATCTAATTTATTTGCTTATTGTTTATTGGATTTATTTATTACTCATATATATTTTCATTTTTAAACTCTCATTACGCTCATGTTTTCATGCACATATTTTAATGTGAACAGATGATTAATGTAGCACCAAATAAACCAGTATTTATTGATGTAGACTTCTAATACGCATTCTCAAGTGATGATTATACTCGTGTTATGTCTTGTTAATATGGTTTTGCATTTTAGTTTTTAAAAAATGAAAAGAATGACCTTTGGGAAATCTCGTGGTTGATTGTGTTGTCAGAAATCATCATTTGTTTTCCTCCTGAAATGTAGATGTTCTGTGACGGACGGTGTTTGCCGCCATCTAGCGGTGACCGCAGCTCAAGCGCTTTCCCTCCTCGTCATGCATCACGTGACGCGGCTGTGATAATGGCGGTAATTCTGCGTTTGTCCAGCAGGGGGTGGGCGATACAAACACGAGCTCTCCTGCTGTTCTCAGCTAAATTAATTAACAGTTGATTTGATGGATCGTTGCTTCTAAAGTTCCTGATTCCAGCACTCATATTGCTTGTATTGTGTTTGCTGTAGATTTACAGCAGTGTTCTGTGTATGCCACAGGGGAAATACGTGCCTTGGTAAGCCACAATCGAGTCAAGATAAAAAGTTTTTAAAAAGTCGAAATTGCGATGTTTTCTGTCATAATCTTGGCTTATTCATAATCTTATTCATCCTTAAATTAAGCCAATTGGTATAATTTTACTGGAGAAGCTGAATAACTATAGAAATCGTCAAAATTAAATGAGCGTATGCTAAAAACAAGTACAAATAGGCTTAGTAATGTTGTATTATCCTGCGATTGGGACACAGCCCGGGGACCGAGGACACATGCTGATGTGGTTCAAAGTGCTGTAAAAGTCTCAAATAGTTTGTTACTGAGACACATTTAAATTTGATATTGTTAACATTTTAAGGCAGTAAGATCATGAAGTGGGGACACAGAAGGACCGAATCCCAGGAACGGTCTCTCACATAATCTGCTGTCTCCACGAGATAGAGGACCGGCTGAAAACTCATTTAGCTACCCCTTTGCTTTGTAAGTATATATATTTGATCGGAGACCTCATTGAGTTTCCTGGAATCACAGAACAACATGATTCTGAATGTGTCTTTTGTTCCTCTGGAAAAATCCCTCCGTGTTCTTCTTATCATCATCTGGAATATGAAGGAAGAGTGAGTAAATGTTTAGCTAACATTTTCTAAAATGCAGCGTTCCGGTTCTGGATGCTGATTGGTCAATACAGTGCGCTGCATTCCAGCTTTATTCATAACCAGTTTCGTCCCATAACAGAACAGCGTGACTTTATGTAAGGACGCTCAATTTCAGGAAAATTTCTAATATATATTCTTATTTGTATATTTAAATCTTTGCCCGCCAGAATAAAAAGTAAATAAAGTGGCAGCCATTTTGATCATTTTTACAAACCTGTCATGGTCCCTGTTGGAGTCATGTGATGTTAATGTCATGTGACCAAGGGTAAAGGTGGGGTTACACACCTGTAGTGTGTGTGTTAGCATGGAAGTAAGGTTCGCTGCTCGTGGATGATGTCTCATGATGAGAAGGGTTATGGCACAATGGGATCTCCAACACGACAGGAGCGACGTCTCTGGAACCGGTAGGACACGGGTTCTTACATCTCTGGAACCGGTAGGACACGGGTTCTTACGTCTCTGGAACCGGTAGGACACGGGTTCTTACATCTCTGCTTGTGTTTGCGGATGGGTTGATGAATTGTTGTCTAAACCGCTGGGCTTTTGCATTTCTAAAGAAACTTTTCCAATGATGTGTGTCGTTTGGCTTGTGTTTGCTTGTTTCAGAAAGGGTTTTGTGTGTTTTACATTAAGACGGTGATGTGTGTGTGCTTCAATCATGAGTGAGCTTGAAACTGGATGTTGAACAGGATAGGTGTAAAGGAAAAATTAAAATTACTGCAAACAGTTTGACTTGTAAAAGAAAAGAAATGTGATTAGAAGTTCAATACCAGCCGTCAGAGAACTCGTTTTAAAGAGTCAAGCTTCACGACCCCAGTATTCCCTGGCGACGAACAAATCAATGAATGAGTGTCTCAAGCATATATAAACACAGCGATGCATTTATAAGACAGAGCCGTGGAGAAAGGAATTGCGAGGTCAAGTGATAACGGCCAGGATGAAAACAGCGGATGCTTCGATAGGATTCAGGAATCGAGATGATATAAACCCAAGTGCCAGACGGAGCTCTTCAGCACACACTCGCCTGCCGTCCGACCCGCTGTGTCCCCGGGCCCCAGTGTGGACAAGCATGGGAAAGTGTGTGTTTTGTGTTCAGTGTGGTGTGACGCTTCGGTGAAGGACAACAGGCGCTCAATGCTGGTCAAAACCCTTGATTGGAAACGCGACACGAAACGCGACAGGGCAACGACCCCAGCGGTCCTCAGACTCGGACTCTCGACAGGGCAACGACCCCAGCGGTCCTCAGACTCGGACTCTCGACAGGGCAACGACCCCAGCGGTCCTCAGACTCGGACCCTCGACAGGCCAACGACCCCAGCGGTCCTCAGACTCGGACCCTCGACAGGGCAACGACCCCAGCGGTCCTCAGACTCGGACCCTCGACAGGGCAACGACCCCAGCGGTCCTCAGACTCGGACCCTCGACAGGCCAACGACCTCAGCGGTCCTCAGACTCGGACCCTCGACAGGCCAACGACCCCAGCGGTCCTCAGACTCGGACCCTCGACAGGGCAACGACCCCAGCGGTCCTCAGACTCGGACCCTCGACAGGCCAACGACCCCAGCGGTCCTCAGACTCGGACCCTCGACAGGCCAACGACCCCAGCGGTCCTCAGACTCGGACCCTCGACAGGCCAACGACCCCAGCGGTCCTCAGACTCGGACCCTCGACAGGCCAACGACCCCAGCGGTCCTCAGACTCGGACCCTCGACAGGCCAACGACCCCAGCGGTCCTCAGACTCGGACCCTCGACAGGCCAACGACCCCAGCGGTCCTCAGACTCGGACCCTCGACAGGCCAACGACCCCAGCGGTCCTCAGACTCGGACCCTCGACAGGCCAACGACCCCAGCGGTCCTCAGACTCGGACCCTCGACAGGGCAACGACCCCAGCGGTCCTCAGACTCGGACCCTCGACAGGCCAACGACCTCAGCGGTCCTCAGACTCGGACCCTCGACAGGGCAACGACCCCAGCGGTCCTCAGACTCGGACCCTCGACAGGCCAACGACCCCAGCGGTCCTCAGACTCGGACCCTCGACAGGGCAACGACCCCAGCGGTCCTCAGACTCGGACTCTCGACAGGGCAACGACCCCAGCGGTCCTCAGACTCGGACCCTCGACAGGGCAACGACCCCAGTGGTCCTCAGACTCGGACTCTCGACAGGGCAACGACCCCAGCGGTCCTCAGACTCGGACCCTCGACAGGGCAACGACCCCAGTGGTCCTCAGACTCGGACCCTCGACAGGCCAACGACCCCAGCGGTCCTCAGACTCGGACCCTTGACAGGCCAACGACCTCAGCGGTCCTCAGACTCGGACCCTCGACAGGCCACCGACCTCAGCGGTCCTCAGACTCGGACCCTCGACAGGCCAACGACCCCAGCGGTCCTCAGACTCGGACCCTCGACAGGCCAACGACCTCAGCGGTCCTCAGACTCGGACCCTCGACAGGGCAACGAGCCCAGCGGTCCTCAGACTCGGACCCTCGACAGCCCAACGACCTCAGCGGTCCTCAGACTCGGACCCTCGACAGGCCAACGACCCCAGCGGTCCTCAGACTCGGACCCTCGACAGGCCAACGACCTCAGCGGTCCTCAGACTCGGACCCTCGACAGGGCAACGACCCCAGCGGTCCTCAGACTCGGACCCTCGACAGGCCAACGACCCCAGCGGTCCTCAGACTCGGACCCTCGACAGGCCAACGACCTCAGCGGTCCTCAGACTCGGACCCTCGACAGGGCAACGAGCCCAGCGGTCCTCAGACTCGGACCCTCGACAGGCCAACGACCCCAGCGGTCCTCAGACTCGGACTCTCGACAGGGCAACGACCCCAGCGGTCCTCAGACTCGGACCCTCGACAGGGCAACGACCCCTGCGGTCCTCAGACTCGGAC